AACACTACCCAATGACTAACACTGCCCATAGACTAACACTGCCCATAGACTAACACTACCCATAGACTAACACTGCCCATAGACTAACATTGCCCACAGACTACCACTGCCCACAGACTACCACTGCCCACAGACTAACACTGCTCACAGACTCACACTGCCCATAGACTAACAATGCCCATAGACTCAACACTGCCCACAGACTAACACTGCCCATAGACTCACACTGCCCATAGACTAACACTGCCCATAGATTAACACTGCCCATAGACTAACACTGCCCATAGACTCAACACTGCCCACAGACTTACACAGCACCTAGACTACCACTGCCCATAGACTACCACTGCCCATAGACTAATACTGCTCACAGACTAACACTGCCCTTAGACTAACATTACACATAGACTAACACTGCCCACAGACTGCCCACAGACTAACACTGCCCACAGACCAACACTGCCCACAGACTAACACTGCCCACAGACTAACACTGCCCACAGACTAACACTTCCCACAGACTAAAACTGCCCACAGACTAACACTGCCCACAGACTAACACTGCCCACAGAATAACACTGCCCATAGACTAACACTGCCCATAGACTCACACTGCCCACAGACTACCAGTGCCCATAGACTCACACTGCCCATAGACTGACACTGCCCACAGATTAATATTACACAAAGACTAACACTGCCCATAGACTAACACTACCCATAGACTAACACTGCCCATAGACTAACATTGCCCACAGACTACCACTGCCCACAGACTACCACTGCCCACAGACTCACACTGCAAATAGACTAACACTATCCAATGACTAACACTGCCCATAGACTAACACTGCCCATAGACTAACACTACCCATAGACTAACACTGCCCATAGACTAACACTGCCCACAGACTACCACTGCCCACAGACTACCACTGCCCACAGACTACCACTGCTCACAGACTCACACTGCCCATAGACTAACAATGCCCATAGACTCAACACTGCCCACAGACTATCACTGCCCATAGACTCACACTGCCCATAGACTAACAGTACCTATAGACTAACACTGCCCATAGATTAACACTGCCGAGAGACTAACACTGCCCATCGACTAACACTGCCCATCGACTAACACTGCCCATAGACTAACACTGCCCATAGACTAACACTGCCCATAGATTAACACTGCCCATAGACTAACACTGCCCATAGACTCAACACTGCCCACAGACTTACACAGCACCTAGACTACCACTGCCCATAGACTACCACTGCCCATAGACTAATACTGCTCACAGACTAACACTGCCCTTAGACTAACATTACACATAGACTAACACTGCCCACAGACTGCCCACAGACTAACACTGCCCACAGACCAACACTGCCCACAGACTAACACTGCCCACAGACTAACACTGCCCACAGACTAACACTTCCCACAGACTAAAACTGCCCACAGACTAACACTGCCCACAGACTAACACTGCCCACAGACTCACACTGCCCACAGACTAACATTACACATAGACTAACACTGCCCACAGACTAACACTGCCCACAGACTCACACTGCTCATAGCCTAACACTGCCCACAGACTCACACTGCCCATAGACTCAACACTGCCCACAGACTCACACAGCACCTAGACTACCACTGCCCATAGACTAACACTGCCCACAGACTAACACTGCCCATAGACTCACACTACCCATAGACTCACACTGCCCATAGACTAACACTGCCCATAGACTGACACTGCCCACAGATTAATATTACACATAGACTAACACTGCCCATAGACTAACACTACCCATAGACTAACACTGCCCATAGACTAACATTGCCCACAGACTACCACTGCCCACAGACTACCACTGCCCACAGACTCACACTGCAAATAGACTAACACTATCCAATGACTAACACTGCCCATAGACTAACACTGCCCATAGACTAACACTACCCATAGACTAACACTGCCCATAGACTAACATTGCCCACAGACTACCACTGCCCACAGACTACCACTGCCCACAGACTAACACTGCTCACAGACTCACACTGCCCATAGACTAACAATGCCCATAGACTCAACACTGCCCACAGACTATCACTGCCCATAGACTCACACTGCCCATAGACTAACAGTACCTATAGACTAACACTGCCCATAGATTAACACTGCCGAGAGACTAACACTGCCCATCGACTAACACTGCCCATAGACTAACACTGCCCATAGACTAACACTGCCCATAGATTAACACTGCCCATAGACTAACACTGCCCATAGACTCAACACTGCCCACAGACTTACACAGCACCTAGACTACCACTGCCCATAGACTACCACTGCCCATAGACTAATACTGCTCACAGACTAACACTGCCCTTAGACTAACATTACACATAGACTAACACTGCCCACAGACTGCCCACAGACTAACACTGCCCACAGACCAACACTGCCCACAGACCAACACTGCCCACAGACTAACACTGCCCACAGACTAACACTTCCCACAGACTAAAACTGCCCACAGACTAACACTGCCCACAGACTAACACTGCCCACAGACTCACACTGCCCACAGACTAACATTACACATAGACTAACACTGCCCACAGACTAACACTGCCCACAGACTCACACTGCTCATAGCCTAACACTGCCCACAAACTCACACTGCCCATAGACTCAACACTGCCCACAGACTCACACAGCACCTAGACTACCACTGCCCATAGACTAACACTGCCCACAGACTAACACTGCCCATAGACTCACACTACCCATAGACTAACACTACCCATAGACTAACACTGCCCATAGACTAACACTGCCCACAGACTAACACTGCCCACAGAATAACACTGCCCACAGACTCACACAGCACCTATACTACCACTGCCCATAGACTACCACTGCCCACAGACTAACACTGCCCACAGACTAACACTGCCCACAGACTAACACTGCCCACAGACTAACACTGCCCACAGACTACCACTGCCCATAGACTAACACTGTCCACAGACTGACACTGCCCACAGACTTACACTGCCCACAGACTAACACTGCCCATAGACTCACACTGCCCATAGACTAACACTGCCCATAGACTAACACTACCCATAGACTAATACTGCCGACAGACTACCACTGCCCATAGACTACCACTGCCCATAGACTCACACTGCCCATGGACTAACACTACCCATAGACTCACACTGCCCTTAGACTAACACTGCCCATAGACTAACACTGACCATAGACTAACACTTCCCATAGACTAGTACTGCCCATAGACTCACACTCCCCATAGACTAACACTACCCATAGACTAACACTGCCCACAGACTAACACTACCCATAGACTCCCACTGGCCATGGACTCACAACACTGCCCACAGACTAACACTGCCCATAGACTCACACTGCCCATAGATTCACACTGCCTATAGATTCACATTGCCCATGGACTCACAACACTGCACCTTCGATTCGCACGGTTGACTACGTACGGTGCGAAAAACGTTCAACATACACAATACTGTACTCATACCATCAGCCGCACGGCCCTTCCTTCTGGAGGTATGTGTGTGTGCACATTGAACTTCTTTAGGACCGTATGTAGCCAGCCGTGCTCATCGGAGACGGTGCACCATTGGTTCAACAGGAGCGAATCTCCAGACCACTGCTTTACGGCATTCAACGCCTCATCAGCAGAGCCCGGTTCGTCCTGCTCGACCCAATGCTGGCCCCTTGCCAGACGTTATAGGCGAGGGCCTTCCCTGTGAGACACGGGGTCCCCAGTGAGGGTTCCTCTTCGCCGCTTGCGGGGTTTTCGTGAGTGGTGCCAATCCCTCTTGAGCACGGGGGTCACGGGAAAGCGGGGGTCGGGAAAGTTATTCTGGCACTGCTTTGTGAGCTGTCGGCTGTCGGCAGACGGCTGCGTTGGGTGGACAAGACTGACCCTGGCCATGGGAACGTGGAATGTCCACGACCTTTTGGTGAAAAAAGACGCAACAGCTGGGAGTCCCGACGGTATAAATCACGATTATTTTGATTGCCGTTATTTGCATCCATGATCGAACATCGTCGACATTAACATAACTAACATCATCATTAACATCGTCGTCATTAACACTGTCAATATCGTCATCATTAACATAATAATTAACACTGTTATCATCATTGATATCGTCATCGTTAACATTGTAAACATCTTCATAATTAACATCGTCAATATTAACATCATTAACATCGTCATTAACATCGTCATTAACACCGGCAATATCCTCATCATCGTCAATATTAACATCATCATTTTCGTTAACATCGTCAGCATCATCGCCGCCTTCACCAGAACGCGCAATATCAATGCTATTGAGATCATCAGTGACATCGTCATCACCCATTATTGTCGTCATCATCATCATCATCGATTCATTGTTTATTTTTGGTTAGGCCCCAAACTGATCTCAGGAAACGTGTTGCGAGACCCTCCAGCACCCGACACAGCTACGCGGTGCACAGGCGTGCGACTCGCTCACATCCACACTCACCAGGTGAGTTAGAGAGTGATCCTCACCGCGAGGCTGAGCAGTGATTGGATCCGCAACGTTTCCCCTGAAACCGTGCCGAGCATTTTTATGAAGTGATACTTTGATTTGTTTGGCTGTGTCGGGTGGTGGTGGAGCCTTACAACACACCTTTATGCAAACCTACTACATGTAAATCATCGTCGACATCGTCATCACATCTACAGTGATATTGCTCTGCTCACCACTCTATAACTCTGATCAGCATCGTCACGGAGGGTGATGTGGGAAGGGGGGCGTGAGGGGGGTGCAGGAGGAGAGGGGGAGATGGAGGGAGAATAGGGAGATATAGAGGAAGCAGGGGAAGAGAGGGGGGGGGAGATGGAGAAAGCACGCAGGGGGGAGATGGAGGGAGCAGGGAGAAAGAGGGGGATTTGGAGGGAGCTGGGGGGAGAGGGGGGAGCAGGGGGAGAGAGAGGGAGAGAGGGGGAGATGGGGGGCAGAGGGAGGAGCAATGTTTGATCCCACGTGGCAGTGAAGGCCCCTCTGTGTTCTAGACCGTAGCCGTGGTGACTGCGGGGAGCTGCAAAGGCCCCTGTCAGCTTCTCGGCACGCTCGAGGGACCCAGGGACGTCCTGGATCCACTGTGGTGGTGGTGGTGGTGGGGCGGTGGTGGTGGCGATCCGGTGGTGGTGGCCCTACATCTTGGTCTGCTTGAGCGGCTCATCGTAAACTCCAGCAAGCTCCATGCCTCCTCCGTGCTCCTCCTTGGATTTTTCTCCTCCTTCTCCTCTTCCCGATGCTCGCCGGTGCTTCTCCTCCTGGTCGAGGCGGTCGAACTCTCGCTCCACCTCGGCGGGGTCCACGTAGGTGTAGAAGTACGCCATGACGGCAAAAATCATGCTCAGCGCGAAGAGCAGCCCCGCAAACAGGAAGAACTCAGCGTACTGCCGGGACACGCGGGGACACGGAGACACGGGGACACGGAGACACGGGTCACGGGGACATAGAGATGCGGACACGGAGATGCGGGGACGCGGATCATGGGTACACAGGGACATGGATCATGTGGACACAGGGACACGGATCATGGGGACACTGGTCACGGTCTATGAGACACACGGGCGCAGAGATACGTAGACACGGGAACACTGACGCGGGGCGTGGTGATGTTTGGAGTTAAACGAGCGCAGCCAGAGTCTGGCACAAGCGCGGCAGTGACATCACCGTCACTTAGTGGTGAATGACAGCTGCTAATGTTGTTGTATATGTGTGGTGTGTCACTGTGTGTGTGTGGTGTGTCACTGTGTGTATGTGTGTGGTGTGTCACTAAAACGCTTGTGCCGGAGGCCCCAGGGGCACAGGCGTCTATGACATCTCCTGGACAAACCCCAATTGGCGGAGCCAAGAGATTGCATCTCTACCCTCGGGGCTCCTCCAGAAACAACAAAAAGCCACTTCGTGTGGCCATGTGGAATGTTCGAACGCTCACTGCAGAGGAGAGGCTGCCACTCCTCTGTCGGGAGCTGGACCGGTACCGCCTGGATCTCTGTGGCATTCAGGAGGTCCGGTGGACCGGTTCTGGCTCCTGCCACCATGAGGGGTGGACAGTCCTCTACTCGGGGCAGCAGACTGCCAAACAACAGGGTGTGGCTCTTCTTTTGAACAAAAGAATGAAGGGGGCGTGGGAGCGTGGCGGTGAGGTGTGGGAAGCTGTAAGCCCCAGGCTACTTTGGGCTCGCCTTCCCATCAACCAGAGGTGAGGAGTGGTGGTCGTGGTTACTTATGCCCCCACCGAAGACGAACATCCGTGAAGGGATGCAGGCAAAGCCGATGAGTCAGATGCCTTCTATGACCTCCTGTCACAGGTGCTGGCTAAAGTGGCCCCTCGGGATAGAGGCATCTTGTTGGGTGACTTCAATGGCCAAGTTGGTCATGATGCTGGCACCTGGTCTGGAGTGATTGGAGGGCATGGGCCAGATCAGCTCAATAACAACGGTAGGAGGCTGCTAGATTTTTGTGCAGCCCATGGGCTTGTAATTACCAACACGCTGTTCCGGCATCGGCGCATACACACAACATCATGGATGCATGCCGGGTCCAAGCAAGAACATCTGCTGGACTACATAGTGACGGACCAGCAGATGCGAGCCCATGTCCTTGACACCAGGACCTACCGTGGAGCTGATCTGCCTTCTGACCATCGACTTGTCAATCTGTAAAATGCGCCTGCCATTCTTCCACTCTGGTGGTGGGTATACACCCAGAACCCCATTCCAACCTAAAGTGGCCTGGTCTCAGTTAGCTGATGAAAGTTTCAAGCGAGAATTTCATCATCCTTGCGGCTGGGGTTTGCATCGTCCCCCACTTCTCCTGATGTCGAGGGTAAATGGGCGAGGTTTAGGACTATGACTCATGCAGCTGCAATGGCTGCTTTGGTTACGCGGTCCAGACCTGCCCAGAGACCCTGCCTGACAGAGGTGGTGTTCAGGATAGTTGAGAAAAAACGACAGGCCCACTGTCATCGGCTACAGAATCCCATGTCAGAGAAGGAGGAGGCTTACCGCAGCCTTCGCTCGGAGGGTCGGAGAGCCGTGAGGCGCTGCAAGGATGAGTGGTAGTCGAGGGTTGCTGAGGAGATGGAGTCTGCCTCAGTGGCCCGGGATCACAAATCTCTATTTAACTCCATCAAAAAAGTAACCTGCAGCACCACACCTATTATCATCATTAGGGGAAAAAACGGTGATCCAATCTCGGACCCCCAGGAACAGGTTTGCAGATTTGCTGAGCATTCTGTGAGGTCCTGGGGGAGGGGAAATCCCTCAAAGCAGGAAAACATCGTGGCACAAAGTGAGGATGACCCTGCCGAGGCTGCGGTGCCTCAAATATTGTAAGAAGTAACCCCCTGTGAGTGGCTGGCTGAGGTGTCATCTGTTGAGGAAGTACTGAAGGCGATCCGGAGTCTGAGACCAGGAAAGGCACTGGGCAGAGATGATCTCCCAAGCGAAATGCTGAGGGAGGGTGGCATTTGTGCACAGACTGCCCTATATGGCATCATAACAACAGTCTAGACCACTGAAGGGGTTCCGCAGGATTGGAAGGATGCCCTGGTGGTCCCTCTCTTTAAGAAGGGGGACCGCACAGACTGTAACTACAGGGGCATCTCACTCCTCAGTGTGCCGGGAAAGGTCCTGGCAACGATTATTCAACATCGCCTTGCCAGGCACGCTGAGGAGAGGCTTGCGGAGCCCCAATGCGGTTTCAGGAAAGGGCGGTCCTGCACAGATGCCATATTTTCTGTCCGTCTGCTACAGCAAAGGTGTAGGGAATTCCAACAAGACCTACATCTCTGCTTTATTGACCTGGTCAAGGCCTATGAAACCATCAGTAGGCCTGGGCTCTGGGTTGTTCTTCGTGCTTTTGGAGTGCTTGACCTTCTGCTCACGATCATTAAGGACCTTCATGATGGTGAGCGGGCCCGGGTAAAGCTACGTGGCCGGGAGTCAGAGCAATTTCTTCTACATCTTGGCGTGCGACAGGGATGTCCTCTGGCTCCCCCATTATTTAACATCTATTTTGACCACGTAGTTTGTGAAGCCTTCAATAGCTGTACCGGGGGAATCTCCATTTGGTACAGATATAATGGGAGGCTGATCGATGCCCGGGTGCGGTCAAGGGATGGCTCCCTATTACTCAACCACGTTATGTATGCCGATGATTTGGTAATAACTTTTCATTCAGAGGAGGAGTTGGAGACGCTGCTGCTGAACCTGGAGCGTGCCACTAAGATATGGGGCCTTAGCATCAGCCCCACAAAAACTAAGCACCTGCCTGGGTATTTTGTACCATCAGACACTCCACCCCCTCAACTCCCAATCGGTGATGGGGCAATTGTGGAGAGAGTGGAGAGTTTCCCATACCTGGGCAGTGTGCTTATGACCGGCTCCAGTTTAACAGCAGAGGTCTCACTCCGAATCAGTCGAGCGGCAATATATTTTCATCGGTTGTGTAACGCTGTGTGGAAGCTACTTGGTCTGTCGCTCCACACTAAGCTTCAGGTCTTCTCGGCCACGGTCATTCCCTCCCTTCTCTACGCTTGGGAAAAGTAGACCTCCCGAATGGAACATCTTCGCCGGTTAGAAACATTTGGGCTAGCCTGCCCACGATCCATCCTGGGTTTGACCAGGCTGGATTGTGTGAGGCGCTCACAAATCCTTGAAAGATCTGGACAAGGTCCCATCGGTGAGCTCCTCCGGCAGGCAAGGCGGCGTTGGCTGGGTCATGTAGCCTGCATGTCCAGCCACCACATGCCTAACCAGCTTTTGTTCAGCCGGATCGAGGGGGCTAAACGGGCGCAGCATGGGCTAGAAAAGAGATGGAGTAATGTGGTACAGGAGGACGTGGAGCTGAGTGGACTGGCCGATGCCTGGTACCAGCGGTGTCAAGATCGGCCTCTATGGAGGAGGCTCGTGAAAGACGCTACTCGGCAATTGGAGGCAGTTGCCCTCCAACAACAATGGAGGGCGGAGGAGAGACGCTCACAACAACGAGCGGAACGCCGGGTGGCTAAAGAACAGTAGGTGGCACAGGTGGTGCATCAGCCAGTCATCTTAGTCAGCCGACCCTTGGCACTTGGGTCCGTCCCGTGACCTCCTGCCAGCGGGCATTCGACACTTCACGTGGCCTCAAGGTCCACATAGCCTGGCACAAGCGTCGTGGTGACGTCACCGCCACTTAGTGGTGAATGGCGGTTGTTGTTTTTGTTGGTGTGTCACTGTGTGTATGTGTGTGGTGTGTTACTGTGTGTATGTGTGTGGCGTGTCACTGTGTGTATGTGTGTGGCGTGTAACTGTATGTATGTGTGTGGCGTGTAACTGTGTGTATGTGTGTAGCGTGTCACTGTGTGTATGTGTGTGGCGTGTCACTGTGTGTATGTGTGTGGCGTGTCACTGTGTATATGTGTGTGGCATGTCACTGTGTGTATGTGTGTGGCGTGTCACTGTGTGTATGTGTGTGGCGTGTCACTGTGTGTGTGGTATGTCACTGTGTGTGTGGTGTCACTGTGTGTGTGGTGTGTCACTGTGTGTGTGGTGTGTCACTGTGTATATGTGTGTGGTGTGTATATGTGTGTGGTGTGTCACTGTGTGTATGTGTGTGGTGTGCCCCTGTGTGTAAGTGTGTGGTGTGTCACTGTGTGTGTGGTGTGTCACTGTGTGTATGTGTGTGGTGTGTCACTGTGTGTATGTGGTGTGTCACTGTGTGTATGTGTGTGGTGTGTCACTGTGTGTATGTGTTTGGTGTGTCACTGTGTGTATGTGTGTGGTGTGTCACTGTGTGTGTGTGGTGTGTCACTGTGTGTGTGGTGTGTCACTGTGTGTATGTGTGTGGTGTGTCACTGTGTGTATGTGTGTGGTGTGTCACTGTGTGTATGTGTGTGGTGTGTCACTGTGTGTATGTGTTTGGTGTGTCACTGTGTGTATGTGTGTGGTGTGTCACTGTGTGTATGTGTTTGGTGTGTCACTGTGTATGTGTGTGGTGTGTCACTGTGTGTGTGTGGTGTGTCACTGTGTGTGTGGTGTGTCACTGTGTGTATGTGTGTGGTGTGTCACTGTGTGTATGTGTGTGGCGTGTCACTGTGTGTATGTGTTTGGTGTGTCACTGTGTGTATGTGTGTGGTGTGTCACTGTGTGTGTGTGGTGTGTCACTGTGTGTGTGGTGTGTCACTGTGTGTGTCACTGTGTGTGTGTGGTGTGTCACTGTGTGTATGTGTGTGGTGTGTCACTGTGTATGTGTGTGGTGTGTCACTGTGTGTGTGGTGTGTCACTGTGTGTATGTGTGTGGTGTGTCACTGTGTGTATGTGTGTGGTGTGTCACTGTGTGTATGTGTGTGGTGTGTCACTGTGTGTATGTGTGTGGTGTGTCACTGTGTGTATGTATGTTGTGTGTCACTGTGTGTATGTGTGTGGTCTGTCACTGTGTGTGTGTGGTGTGTCACTGTGTGTGTGTGGTGTGTCACTGTGTGTATGTATGTGGTGTGTCACTGTGTGTATGTGTGTGGTCTGTCACTGTGTGTGTGTGGTGTGTCACTATGTGTGTGTGGTGTGTCAGTGTGTGTATGTGTGTGGTGTGTCACTGTGTGTATGTGTGTGGTGTGTCACTGTGTGTGTGTGTGGTGTGTCACTCTGTGTGTGTGTGTGTGTGGTGTGTCACTGTGTGTGTGTATGTGGTGTGTCACTGTCTGTATGTGTGGTGTGTCACTATGTATGTGTGGGGTGTGTCACTGTGTGTGTGGTGTGTCACTGTGTGTGTGGTGTCACTGTGTGTGTGGTGTGTCACTGTGTGTGGTGTGTCACTGTGTATGTGTGCGGTGTGTCACTGTGTGTGTGGTGTATCACTGTGTGTATGTGTGTGGTGTGTCACTGTGTGTATGTGTGTGGTGTGTCACTGTGTGTATGTGTGTGGTGTGTCACTGTGTGTGTGTGTGGTGTGTCACTGTGTGTATGTGTGTGGTGTGTCACTCTGTGTATGTGTGTGGTGTGTCACTGTGTGTATGTGTGTGGTGTGTCACTGTGTGTATGTGTGTAGTGTGTCACTCTGTGTATGTGTGTGGTGTGTCACTGTGTGTGTGTGGTGTGTCACTGTGTGTGTGTGGTGTGTCACTGTGTGTGTGTGGTGTGTCACTGTGTGTATGTGTGTGGTGTGTCACTGTGTATGTGTGTGGTGTGTCACTGTGTGTGTGGTGTGTCACTTTGTGTATGTGTGTGGTGTGTCACTGTGCGTATGTGTGTGGTGTGTCATTGTGTGTGTGGTGTGTCACTGTGTGTATGAGTGTGTGGTGTGTCACTGTGTGTATGTGTGTGGTGTGTCACTGTGTGTGTGGTGTGTCACTGTGTGTATGTGTGTGGTGTTTCACTGTGTGTGTGTGGTGTGTCACTGTGTGTATGTGTGTGGTGCGTCACTGTGTGTATGTGTGTGGTGTGTCACTGTGTGTATGTGTGTGGTGCGTCACTGTGTGTGTGTGGTGTGTCACTGTGTGTATGTGTGTGGTACGTCACTGTGTGTATGTGTGTGGTGTGTCACTGTGTGTATGTGTGTGGTGTGTCACTGTGCGTATGTGTGTGGTGTGTCACTGTGTGTGTGGTGTGTCACTGTGTGTGTGTGGTGTGTCGCTGTGTGTATGTGCGTGGTGCATCACTGTGTGTATGTGTGGTGTGTCACTGTGTGTGTGGTGTGTCACTGTGTGTGTGTGGTGTGTCGCTGTGTGTATGTCCGTGGTGCATCACTGTGTGCGGTATTGTCGAGGTTAGCGCACTGCACTACACACCTGGCGACCGAGTTATATTCCCGCTCACGGCCAACACCGGTGACAATTATCTGCAACCGGTCATGGGCCTCCCCTAGGTCGACTCAGCCTCAAATGAGTACCTGGTGCGGCGTGTAAACATTGCCAGTGGGGAGACAAAGGCGGCCGGGCGTGGTGCTGGCCACCCACCCCCTCGTAGGCCGTCCCGGCCTGCGTAGGTGCTCGCTCACAGCGCTTGCACCTACAGTCCGTGAAGGCTACACGGGGGATCGTTGACTTGGTATACACGCGTGTGTGTGTGACGCGTGCGTGTACATCGCGTGTGCGCTTGTACATCGCGTGTGCACGTGTTTGCGCGCGTGCACGTGTGTGCGCGCGTGGGCCACAGTCATTTCAGACGGTGGTCAGCCCACGGCGCCTGGGTCTGTCCCGTGACCTCCTGCCACTGGACGTGACGGCCTCGAAGGGCGCGAGCGGTGGTGCCGCACCTGCTGGGTCATCTGGCCGGCCTCGGCCACGATAAGCACGATGATGTTGCCGAAGGCCACGGTGAGCAGCCACGCCGCCTGCAGCACCGACTTCATGTTGGGCGGCGCCTGCACACGGCATGCACACGTCACACGCGTGTTACACACACACACACGTCACACGCGTGTCACACACACACACACGTCACACGCGTGTCACACACACACACGTCACACGCGTGTCACACACACACACGTCACACGCGTGTCACATACACACACACGTCACACGCGTGTCACACACACACACGTCACACGCGTGTCACACACACATCACACGCGTGTTACACACACACACGTCACACGCGTGTCACACACACACACACACACGTCACACGCGTGTTACACACATACGTCACACGCGTGTTACACACACACACGTCACACGCGTGTTACACACACACACACGTCACACACGTGTTACACACACACACACACGTCACACGCGTGTCACACACACACGTCACACGCGTGTCACACACACACACACGTCACACGCGTATCACACACACACACACATCACACGCGTGTCACACACACACACACACGTCACACGCGTGTCACACACACATCACACGCGTGTCACACACACATCACACGCGTGTCACACACACACGTCACACGCGTGTCACACACACACGTCACACGCGTGTCACACACACACACGTCACACGCGTGTCACACACACATCACACGCGTGTTACACACACACACGTCACACACATCACACGCGTGTCACACACACATCACACGCGTGTCACACACGTCACACGCGTGTTACACACACATCAAACATGCATTACACACACCCGTTACACGTGTTACACACATGTTAGACAAACAATTACACAAGCACATGTTACACACACGTATTACAGACATGTTACACATGTTATACACCCACATGTTACATGCATATTACACATTACACACACATGTAGCACACATATACATATTACACACACGTATTACACAGACAATACAGACACGTGTTACACAAATGTTAGACACGTCACACACGCACGTCACACATAGGTTACACGTCACACACACACGCTACACACACACGCTACACACACACACACGCTACACACACACGCTACACACACACGCTACACACACACACACACGCTACACACACACACACACGCTACACACACACACACACGCAACACACACACACACACATGCTACACAAACACACGCTACACACACACAACACACACACACGCTACACACACACATGCTACAGACGCACGTTACACGCTACACACAAGTTACACATGCACGTTACACACACACACGCTAAACACACACACACGTCACAAGTTACATACCCACGTGACACACACGCACATGTCACACGCGTATATGTCACACATGTTCCACACGCACGTTACACAAAGACGACACATTATTATCACACCCCCACAAGGATGCAGATGTCCCGTGTAGCTTCATTACGGTGTTGTGGATGTGAGACAAGCGGGAGATGGGGATGTGGGCGAGGCGGAGATGAGGAGGATGATGATGAGGGAGATGGTGATGGTGATGAGGGAGATGGTGATGGTGATGAGGGAGATGGTGATGAGGGAGATGGTGATGGTGATGAGGGAGATGGTGATGGTGATGAGGGAGATGGTGATGAGGGAGATGGTGATGGTGATGAGGGAGATGGTGATGAGGGAGATGGTGATGAGGGAGATGGTGATGAGGGAGATGGTGATGAGGGAGATGGTGATGGTGATGAGGGAGATGGTGATGGTGATGAGGGAGATGGTGATGAGGGAGATGGTGATGAGGGAGATGGTGATGAGGGAGATGGTGATGAGGGAGATGGTGATGAGGGAGATGGTGATGAGGGATATGGTGATGGTGATGAGGGAGATGGTGATGAGGGAGATGGTGATGAGGGAGATGGTGATGGTGATAAGGGAGATGGTGATGAGGGAGATGGTGATGGTGATGAGGCAGATGATGGTGATGAGGGAGATGGTGATGAGGGAGATGGTGATGAGGGAGATGGTGATGGTGATGAGGGAGATGGTGATGAGGGAGATGATGGTGATGGTGATGAGGGAGATGGTGATGGTGATGAGGGAGATTCTGGTGGTACAGGAGGGAGACGATAGCGATGGTGGTGAAGGAGACAGTGGTGATGGTGGTGAGGGAGACAGTAGTGAGGGAGACAGTGGTGATGGTGGTGAGGGAGACAGTGACGATGGTGGTGAGGGAGACAGTGGTGATGGTGGTGAGGAAGACAGTGGTGATGGTGGTGAGGGAGACAGTGGTGATGGTGGTGAGGGAGACAGTGGTGAGGGAGACAGTGACGATGGTGGTGAGTACCTGTGAATATGAGAACTCGAGACCGGTCACAGAGAAGATGACCTCTCCGATGGTGAGCAGCAGATACTGAGGCACCTGCCATCCCATGTGCACCGAGTTGGGCTGAATGTCCACCTCGCTCGACTTGAGCAGCTGGCCAGCGGCGTCCTGGGCGGTCAGAGTGGCCACAAACTCAAATGTCACCATCATCAGCATCACCGTCAACATCATCACCATCAGCATCAGCAGAACCATCATCACGGTCATCAGCTGAATCACCACCATCACCACCACCATCATCATCCTCACCATCACCATGATCATCATCACTAACAGCAGAACCATCATCACAGTCACAGTCATCAGCAGAACCATCATCGCCATTATGGTAATCATCAGAATCACCACCGTCACCACCATCATCACCATCACCGTCATCATCATCACCATCAGCAGAACCATCATCACAGTCATCAGCATCAGCAGAACCATCATCACCATCATGGTAATCATCAGAATCACCACCATCATCATCACCCTCATCATCATAACCATCATGGTAATCATCGGAATCACCACCATCACCACTATCACCACCATCATCACCATCACAGTCATCAGCAGAACCATCATCACTGCCAAAGTCATCAGCACAATCACCACCATGGTCATCAGCAGAACCATCATTAACAGAAGCAGTGTAATCATCAAGGTAATTAGCAACATCGGCTGCTTTAACATCATCAGCAGCATAATAATCAACAGCAGCAGCATCACCATCATCAGCAATGTCATCATCTTGATCATTATCAGCAGAATAATCAATAGTAGCGGTATCATCATGGTCATCGGCTTCTATTGGTTTAAAATGATCGTCATCAGTAGAAGCAACAAATGCATCAGCAGCAGCTGTGTTGTGATGCTGATACTGCTGCTGTTGATGCTGATCACGATCTGTAATTTACGCGACAAAGCTCGTGGTCTCGTTGTGGGGTGCCGCTCATCTCCACACGTGGGGAGCTGTAGGAAATTCCCCGTTCCCGGGCCGGGACCCAGGATGTCCACCCACCTCGTAGAGCAGGATCGTGTAGCTGCCCCCGAAGCCGATGTTCTCAGCGAAATTAAACTCGCGGGGCACCGAGGAGTTCACCAGCACGTGGATATTACTATCGCACACACACACAGAAAAGGTCACCCCCGTGTAGCCTTCACAGACTATTGGGGCAAGTGCTGTTCTAGCGAGTAGCAGCACCACGCGCGGCCGGCCGCCTTTGTCTTCCCAGTGGCGATGTTTACTACACAACGCATCAGGTTCTCATTTGATGCTGAGTCGATCTCGGGGAGGCCCAGGACCGGTTCAGATAGTAGTCACTGGTGTTGGTTTTGGTTGTGGGCGGGAATCGAACTCAGGTGGGCGGTTTGGGGAGCACAGCCCGCTGAACAATGCACCACTGCTCTCCACAAACGCACACGAACACAACAACCGCCATTCGCCACTAAGTGGCGGTGACGTCACCACAACGCTTGTGCCAGGCCATGTGCACCTTGAGGCCACGTGAAGTGTCGAACGCCCGCGGGCAGGAGGTCACGGGGCAGACGCAAGTGCCACGGGTCGACTGACTAAGATGACTGGCTGATGCACCACCAGTGCCCCCTACTGTGCCAACCTGCTGTGCTTTAGCCACCCGGCGCTCCGCTCGTTGTTGTGAGCATCGCTCCTCCGCCCTCCGTTATTGTTGGAGGGCGACTACTTCCAACTGCCCAGTAGCGTCCTTCACGAGCCTCCTCCACAGAGGCCGATCTTGACACCGCTGGTACCAGTCATCGGCAAGTCCACTCAGCTCCACGTCCTCCTGTACCACATCACTCCATCTCTTCTCCATCCATGCCGGCCAAACAGAAGCTTCCCACTTAGCCCCCTCTATCTGGCCGAACAAAAGCTGTTTCGGCATGCGGTGGCTGGGCATGCGGGCTACATGACCCAGCCAACGCTGCCTTGCCTGCCGGAGGAGCTCACCGATGGGACTTTGTCCAGATCTTTCAAAGATTTGTGAGCTCCTCACACAATCCAGCCTGGTTAAACCCAGGATGGATCATTGACAGGCCAGCCTAAATGTTTCTAACCGGTGAAGATGTTCCATTAGGGAGGTCCACGTTTCGCAAGCGTAGAGAAGGGAGGGAATGACCGTGGCCGAGAAGACCTGGAGCTTCCACACAGCGTTACGCAACCGATGAAAAGATAAAAAGTGAGACCTCTGCTGTCAAACCGGAGCCAGTCATGAGCACACTGCCCAGGTAAGGGAAACTCTCCACTCTCTCCACAACTGCCCCATCACCAATTTGGAGTTGTGGGGGTGGAGTGTCCGATGGTACAAAATACCCAGGCAGGTGCTCTTAGTGGCAAGCTCCAGGTTCAGCAGCAGCACCTCTTTTGAGTGAGCAGCAATTTCCAGATCATCGGCATAACGTGGTTGACCAATAGGGAGCCATCCCTTGACCACACCCAGACGCGGGCATCGATCAGCGTCCCATTGTATCTGTACCAGATATAAATTCCTCCGGTACAGCCATCGGAGGCTTCACGAACTATGTGGTCGAAAAAGATGTTAAATAATGTGGGAGGACATCCCTGTTACACTCTAAAGTGAACAGGCAATGGCTCCGACTCCTGGCGTCGGAGTTTTACCCGGGCCCGCGTGCCATCATGAAGGTCCTTAATGATCGTGAACAGAGGGTCAGGGACTCTGAAAGCACGAAGAATAACCCAGAGCCCAGGCCTACTGATGGTATCATAGGCCTTGACCAGGTCAATAAAGTCGAGATGTAGGTTTTGTTGGAATTCCCTACACCTCTGCTGTAGCAGACGCACAAAAAATATGGCGTCTGTGCAGGACCGCCCTTTCCTGAAACTGCATTGGGGCTCCGCAAGCCTCTCCTCAGCGTGCCTGGCAAGGCGATGTTGAATAATCCTTGCCAGGACCTTTCCCGGCACACTGAGGAGTGAGATGTCCCTGTAGTTGTTACAGTCTGTGCGGTCCCCCTTCTTAAAGAGGGGGACCACCAGGGCATCCTTCCAATCCTGCGGAACCAATCCAGTGGTCCAGGCTGTTGTTATGATGTCATGTAGGGCAGTCTGTGCACAAACGCCACCCTCCCTCACCATATCGCTTGGGAGATCATCTCTGCCCGATGCCTTTCCTGGTCTCAGACTCTGGATCGCCTTTAGTACTTCCTCAAAAGATGGCACCTCAGCCAGCCACTCACAGGGGGTGACTTCTTCCTCCAGTATTTGAGACACCACAGCCCCAGCTAGCCTGAACACTTCCTCTGTCAACCAGAGTCTCTGGGGAGGTCTGGACTGTATACCCAAAGCAGCCATTGCAGCTGCATGAGCCATAGACCTAAACCTCGCCCATGTCCCCTCGACATCTGGAGGAGTGGGGGCGATGCCAACCCCAGCCGCAAGCGATGATGTAATTATTGCTTGCAACTTTCATCAGCTAGCTGAGACCAGGCCACTTTGGGTTTGGATGGGGTCCTGGGTGTACACCCACCACCGGAGTGGAAGAATGTCCCTGACCCTCTGGTCCATGCCTTTCAATCACTCCAGACCAGGTGCCAGCATCATGACCAACTCAAGCATCGAAGTCGCCCATGGCACTGCTCACCACAGCGTTGCCGTCCGGCACCAACGAGGGCGTAGGGGGTTATTTTTGCCGGATAGACACACATACACCCGCATGCCGATGCACCTATGAAGGCCGGCACGGCACACGAGGGGGTGGGTGGCCAGCACCACGCCCGGTCGCCTTTGTTTCCCCAGTGGCGATGTTTACACACTGCACTAGGTACTCATTTGAGGCTGAGTCGACTTAGGGTAGGCCCAGTACCGGTTCAGATAATCGTCACTGGTGTTGGTGGTCGTGAGCGGGAATCAAACTCTCCCGATAAACACACAGACACAGGGAGACACGTACTCAGTTTGTGTCAGAATTTGTGAGTGCGGGTAAGTGTGGTGAGTACGGTGAGTCCTGGTGATTGCGGATGAGTAAGGTGAGTACGGTGAGTGTGGGCGAGTGTGGTGAGTACAGTGAGTGTGGGTGAGTGCGAGGGAGTGCGGGTGAATGAGGTGAGTACGGTAAGTGTGGGTGAGTGCGGGTGAGTGCGGGTGAGTGCGGGTGAGCGCGGTAAGTGTGGGTGAGTACGGTAAGTGTGGGTGAGTGCGGGTGAGTGTGGGTGAGTGCGGGTGAGTGCGGGTGAATGAGGTGAGTACGGTAAGTGTGGGTGAGTGTGGGTGAGTCCGGGTGAGTGTGGGTGAGTGCGGGTGAGCGCGGTGAGCAGGCTACATGTTCTCTCCCTTGGAGATCTCGTGATAGGAAGAGTTGCTGAATCCCTGCACTGCTCCGTAATCCACGTCGCCCATCCTCACCCTCAGCTCCACGTTCAGCGCGTTAATGAATCTGGGGGGGGGGGGGGGGGGTGGTGGAGGCCGGGGTGGGGTGGGGCATGGATCTTCCTCCGCTGTGCCGGGCTCCACGAGCGATCTCTCCAATCCCTCTCTGTGCTCAATCACCACCACACTGCAGGCCAAACACTTGTCCTGCCACCCACCCACTCACTCACCCACCCACCCACTCACCCACCCCCTCACTCATCCCTTCACTCACTCACCCACTCACTCACCCCTTCACCCACCCACTCACCCACCCACCCCCTCACTCACCCCTTCACTCACGCATTCACCCACTCACTCACTCACTCACCCATCCCCTCACTCACCCCTTCACTCACTCACCCACTCACTCACCCACCCCCTCGCTCATCCCTTCACTCACTCACTCACCCACTCACTCACTCACCCACTCACTCACCCACCTCCTCACTCACCCCTTCACTCACTCACTCACCCACTCACTCACTCACTCACTTACCCACCCCCTCACTCACCCCTTCACTCACCCACCCACCCGCTCACTACTCTACCCACGCACCCACTCACCAACTCACCCACCCATCCACCCACATATTCACCCACCAACTCAGCCACCTACTCAGCCACCTACTCACCCCCTCACTCACTCACCCACCCACCCGCTCACTCACCCACCCACTCAACCACTCACTCACCCACCCACCCATCCACCCGCTCACTCACCCACCCACTCACCACACTGCAGGTCACCTCACTTCTCTCTCTATCTCGTTCTACTCCACCCTGGAATCCCCTCCTCCCAGCATTACCATCACAGTCTCTTCTCCCCAAGCTCTCACAATCACAGCAACCTCGCTCAATTCAAGAGGCACGCCGCTTTCTTGCAGCGTGAGATTTCTCTGATCGTGTCTGGCCACCCCTAATCACACCTCACCACACATTGGCCCATACCTGACCAGGTTTTTCCCCTGCTCGGGTTTCTTGGTGACATCTTCCAGCTGAACGAGAGAGAAAGAGAGGGAAAGATCAGAGATCACGGTGAGGAACGGAGAAGCAAGGTTTGGAGTGGGTGGTGTGCGGTCCTGCATGGATGCCATAATCTCTGTCCATCTGTTACAGCAGAGGTGTAGAGAATTCCAACAAGACCTACATCTCTGCATTATTGACCTGGTCAAGGCCTATGATACCACCAACAGGCCAGGGCTCTGGGTTGTTCTTCGTGCTTTCGGAGTCCCTGACTCTCTGCTCACAATCAATAACGGCCTTCATGATGATGGGCAGGCCCGGGTAAAGCTACGTGGCCAGGAGTCGGAGCCATTTTCTGATCACCTTGGGGTGCGAAAGGAATGTCCTCTGGCTCCCACATTATTTAACATCTTTGACTACGTAGTTCGAGAAGCTTTCCATGGCTATACCGGAGGAATTTCCATCTGGTACAGATACAACGGGAGGCTGATCAATGCCTGGGTGCGATCGAACCTGGAGTGTGCCACTAAGAGGTGGGGTCTTACCATCACCCCCACCAAAACTAAGCACTTGCCTGGGTATTTTGTGCCACCAAACACTCCACCCTCTCAGCTCCCCATTGGTGATGGAGCAGTTATGGAGAAAGTGGAGAGTTTCCCATATCTGGGCAGTGTTCTTATGACCAGCTCAGGTTTGACAGCAAAGGTCTCACTCCAAAGCAGTCGGGCAGCATTATATTTCATCGGCTGCGCAATGCTGTGTGGAAGCTACCTGGTCTGTCGCTCCGCACGAAGCTTCAGGTCTCCTTTCTCTATGCTTGTGAAAAGTGGACCCCTCTTATGGAAAATCTGCGCCAGTTAGAAACATTCAGGCTAGCCTGCCTACGATCTATGCTGGGTTTAACCAGGCTGGATTGTGTGAGGAGCTCACAAAGTCTTGAAAAATCTGGACACATTCCCATCAGTGAGCTTCTCTGGCAGGTGAGGCTGCGTTGGCTGGGCCATGTAACATAACCCACATGCCCAGCCACCGCATACCCAAGCAGCTTTTGTTTGGCCGCATAGAGGGGGCTAAACGGGCATGACATGTGCTGGAGAAGAGATGGACTGATGCGGTACGGGAGGATGTGGCGCTGAGTCAACTTACTGACTGGTACCAGCAGTGTCAAGATTGGTCTCTATGCAGGAGGCTTTTAAAGGACGCTACTGGGCAGTTGGAGGCAGCCGCCCTTCAGCAACAACGGAGGGCAGAGGAGCGACGCTCACAACAATGAGCGGAGCGCCGGGCGTCAAAAATGCAGCAAGTTAGCACAGTAGGGGGCACAGGTGGTGCATCATCAGCCAGTCATCTCAGTCATTCGACCCATGGCACCTGGGTCTGTCCCTTGACCTCCTGCCAGCAGGCGTTCAACACTTCACGTGGCCTTAACGTGTACATAGCCTGGCACAGGCGCCGTGGTGACGTCACCGTCACTTAGTGGCGAATGTCGGTTATTGGTATTGGTGGTGGCGGAGTGTATGTGCTGGTGGGTTGGTGGTGGTGTGTATGTAGTGGGGTGGTGGTGGAGTGTATGTGCTGGTGGGTTGGTGGTGGTGTGTATGTAGTGGGGTGGTGGTGGAGTGGTGGTGGGTTGGTGGTGGTGTGTATGTAGTGGGGTGGTGGTGGAGTGGTGGTGGTGGTGTGTATGTAGTGGGGTGGTGGTGGAGTGGTGGTGGTGGTGGTGTGTATGTAGTGGGGTGGTGGTGGAGTGGTGGTGGTGTGTATGTAGTGGGGTGGTGGTGGAGTGGTGGTGGTGGTGTGTATGTAGTGGGGTGGTGGTGGGTTGGTGGTGGTGTGTATGTAGTTGGGTGGTGGTGGTGGAGTGGTGGTGGTGGTGGTGTGTATGTAGTGGGGTGGTGGTGGAGTGGTGGTGGTGTGTATGTAGTGGGGTGGTGGTGGAGTGGTGGTGGTGGTGTGTATGTAGTGGGGTGGTGGTGGTGGTGGTGTCACCATTTTGCAGGGCAGGCCGGAGTGGTTGCGGACGAGCAGGGTGTGCAGGGAGCCGGGGCTCACGGCCGCTTGGCACAACACCCACGAGGAGCCCTGCAGGCACAACGCCACAAGCAGACCCCTCTCATCCCCCCCTCTCTCTCTCGCCCCGCCCCTCGCTCCCTCCCTCGCCCCCCTCTCATCCCCCCTCTCGCCCCCCCTCGCTCACCCCCCCTTGTTCCCCTCCCGCCCACCCCCCTCGCCTCCCTCTCATCCCCCCTCTCATCCCCCCTCTCACCCCCCTCTCATCCCCCCCTCTCTCTCGCCCCGCCCCTCGCCTTGCCCCTCATCCCCCCCTCATCCCCCCCTCGCTCCCTCCCTCGCCCCCTTCTCATCCCCCCTCTCGCCCCCCCTCGCTCACCCCCCCTTGCCCCCCTCTTATCCACCCTCCCCTCCCCCCTCCCATCCCCCCTCTCATCCCCCCTCTCATCCCCCCTCTCATCCCCCCCTCTCATCCCCCCCCTCTCATTCCCTCTCATCCCCTCTCTCCAGCCCCTCTCTCTCCCCCACTCTCGCCCCCCCCTCCTCTCATCTACCTCTGCTTCACCTCTAATGCAACTGCAATCTACCTCAACCCTACCCTGATTCATATGTAAGTAGGGGTGGGTGAGAGTGGATAGGTGAGGATGGATAGCTGAGGAGGGGGTAAGTGAGAGGCGGTAGGTGAGAGGGGTAGGTCAGCGGGGGAAGGTGTATGGGGTAGGTGAGCGGGGTAGATGAGCGGGGTAGGTGAGTGGGGTAGGTGAGCGAGGGTAGGTGAGTGGGGTAGGTGAGCGGGGGTAGGTGAGCAGGGGTAGATGAGCTCGGTTGGTGATCGGGGTTGGTGGGTGGGGTAGGTGGGTGGGGTAGGTGAGCTCGGTTGGTGATCGGGGTTGGTGGGTGGGGTAGGTGGGTGGGGTAGGTGAGCGGGGTAGGTCAGCGGGGGTAGGTGTATGGGGTAGGTGAGCGGAGTAGGTGAGTGGGGTAGGTTAGTGGGGTAGGTTAGCTCGGTTGATGATCGGGGTTGGTGGGCGGCGTAGGTGAGCGGGGGTAGGTGAGCGGGGGTAGGTGAGTGGGGTAGGTGGGCGGTGTAGGTGAGCGGGGGTAGGTGAGTGGGGTAGGTGGGCGGTGTAGGTGAGTGGGGTAGGTGAGCGGGGTAGGTGAGCGGGGGTAGGTGAGTGGGGTAGGTGAGTAGGGTAGGTGAGCGGGGGTAGGTGAGTGGGGTAGGTGAGTAGGGTAGGTGAGCGGGGGTAGGTGAGCGGGGGTCGGTGAGTAGGGTAGGTGAGCGGGGGTAGGTGAGTGGGGTAGGTGATTGGGGTAGGTGAGGGGGGGTAGGTGAGTGGGGTAGTTGAGCGGGGGGTAGGTGAATGGGGTAGGTGAGTAGGGTAGGTGAGTGGGGTAGGTGAGTGGGGTAGGTGAGCGGGGGGTAGGTGAGTAGGGTAGGTGAGTGGGGTAGGTGAGTGGGGTAGATGAGGGGGGTAGGTGAGCGGGGGTAGGTGAGTGGGGTAGGTGAGTGGGGTGGGTGAGTGGGGTAGGTGAGCGGGGGTAGGTGAGTGGGGTAGGTGAGTAGGGTAGGTGGGTGGGGGTAGGTGAGCGGGGGTCGGTGAGTAGGGTAGGTGAGCGGGGGTAGGTGAGTGGGGTAGGTGAGTGGGGTAGGTGGGCGGTGTAGGTGAGCGGGGGTAGGTGAGTGGGGTAGGTGGGCGGTGTAGGTGAGCGGGGGTAGGTGAGTGGGGTAGGTGAGTGGGGTAGGTGAGCGGGGTAGGTGAGTAGGGTAGGTGAGCGGGGGTAGGTGAGTGGGGTAGGTGAGTAGGGTAGGTGAGCGGGGGTAGGTGAGTGGGGTAGGTGAGTAGGGTAGGTGAGCGGGGGTAGGTGAGCGGGGGTCGGTGAGTAGGGTAGGTGAGCGGGGGTAGGTGAGTGGGGTAGGTGAGTGGGGTAGTTGAGCGGGGTAGGTGAGTGGGGTAGGTGAGTAGGGTAGGTGAGCGGGGGTAGGTGAGTGGGGTAGGTGAGTAGGGTAGGTCAGCGGGGGTAGGTGAGTGGGGTAGGTGAGTAGGGTAGGTGAGCGGGGGTAGGTGAGCGGGGGTCGGTGAGTAGGGTAGGTGAGCGGGGGTAGGTGAGTGGGGTAGGTGAGTGGGGGTAGGTGATTGGGGTAGGTGAGGGGGGGGGGTAGGTGAGTGGGGTAGTTGAGCGGGGGGTAGGTGAATGGGGTAGGTGAGTAGGGTAGGTGAGTGGGGTAGGTGAGTGGGGTAGGTGAGCGGGGGGTAGGTGAGTAGGGTAGGTGAGTGGGGTAGGTGAGTGGGGTAGGTGAGCGGGGTAGGTGAGTGGGGGTAGGTGAGTGGGGGTAGGTGAGTGGGGTAGGTGAGTGGGGTGGGTGAGTGGGGTAGGTGAGCGGGGGTAGGTGAGCGGGGGTAGGTGAGCAGGGGTAGGGGGGTAGGGTAGGTGATCGGGGGTAGGTGAGTGGGGTAGGTGAGCGGTGGTAGGTGAGTGGAGTAGGTAAGTGGGGTAGGTGAGTGGGGTAGGTGAGCGGGGGTAGGTGAGCGGGGGTAGGTGAGCGGGGGTAGGTGAGGGGGGGTAGGTGAGTGGGGTAGGTGAGCGGGGGGTAGGTGAGTGGGGTAGGTGAGTGGGGGAGGTGAGTGGGGTAGGTGAGCGGGGGTAGGTGAGCGGGGGTAGGTGAGCAGGGGTAGGTGAGTGGGGGTAGGTGAGGGGGTAGGTGAATGGGGTAGGTGAGTGGGGTAGGTGAGCGCAGGTAGGTGAGCGGGGGTAGGTGAGTGGGGTAGGTGAGGGGGGGTAGGTGAGCGGGGGTAGGTGAGCGGGGGTAGGTGAGCGGGGTAGGTGAGTGGGGGTAGGTAAGTGGGGTAGGTGAGTGGAGTAGGTGAGTGGGGTAGGTGAGCGGGGGTAGGTGAGGGGGGGTAGGTGAGCGGGGGTAGGTGAGCGGGGTAGGTGAGTGGGGTAGGTGAGGGGGGGTAGGTGAGTGGGGTAGGTGAGTGGAGTAGGTGAGTGGAGTAAGTGAGTGGGGTAGGTGAGTGGAGTAGGTGAGTGGGGTAGGTGAGCGGGGGTAGGTGAGCGGGGGTAGGTGAGCGGGGGTAGGTGAGGTGGGGTAGGTGAGCGGGGGTAGGTGAGCGGGGGTAGGTGAGCGGGGGTAGGTGAGCGGGTAGGTGAGTGGGGTAGGTGAGTGGGGTAAGTGAGTGGGGGTAGGTGAGCAGGGGTAGGTGAGCAGGGGTAGGTGAGTGGGGTAGGTGAGTGGGGTGAGTGGGGTAGGTGAGCGGCACTCACCCCTGTGAACGAGAGGCTGAGGTTGAGGGTCGTCTGGCCGCTAGAGGCGATGGTGCATGGTTCCATCGACACCTGCAGAGGGGCCCGTCACAGCGGTGGTCATGTTGCAGTGTGGCGGTGCGGTGGTGGTGATGCAATGTGGTGCAGTGTGGTGGTGCAGTGTGGTGCAGTGTGGCAGTGCGGTGGTGCAATGTGGTGCAGTGTGGCGGTGCGGTGGTGGTGGTGCAATGTGGTGCGGTGTGGTGGTGGTGCTGCAGTGTGGTGCAGTGTGGCAGTGCGGTGGTGGTGCTGCAGTGTGGTGCAGTGTGGCGATGCGGTGGTGGTGCTGCAGTGTGGTGCAGTGTGGCGGTGTGGTGGTGGTGCTGCAGTGTGGTGCAGTGTGGCGATGCGGTGGTGGTGCTGCAGTGTGGTGCAGTGTGGCAGTGCGGTGGTGGTGCTGCAGTGTGGTGCAGTGTGGCGGTGTGGTGGTGGTGCTGCAGTGTGGTGCAGTGTGGCGATGCGGTGGTGGTGCTGCAGTGTGGTGCAGTGTGGCGATGTGGTGGTGGTGCTCACTGCGTGTGGCGGTGCGCTCAGCTGGCAGCTGCCCTCGTCGTGCCGCATGGAGACGTTTGCACCGCTCTGCAGGTTCAGCAGCTTGAAGCGAGCCTCACCGGCACCCGGGAGCTTGGTGAGAGAGTTCTACACGGGGACACGGGACACGGGGACATGGAGACACGGAGACACGGGGACACGGAGACACAGTGAGCCATGGGGATACGGAGACACGGGGACACGGAGACACAGTGAGCCATGGGGACACAGTGAGCCATGGGGACACGGGGACACGGAGACACAGTGAGCCATGGGGACACAGTGAGCCATGGGGACACGGGGACACGGGGACATGGAGACACAGTGAGCCATGGGGACACGGAGACACGGGGACACGGAGACACAGTGAGCCATGGGGACACGGGGACGCGGAGACACAGTGAGCCATGGGGACACGGGGACACGGGGGACACGGAGACACAGTGAGCCATGGGGACACGGGGACACGGGGACACGGGGACACGGAGACACAGTGAGCCATGGGGACACGGAGACACGGAGACACAGTGAGCCACGGGGACACACTGAGCTGGCTGCAATTCAACGTCGACACACGAGTGAGGCCTCGTGTGTCGACGGGGGACCCCTGTGGATCAGTGGGGAATCACGGGGGCGGGGGGGTGGACCCCTGTGGTGAGCGTGCGTGTGTGCGTGCGTGCGAGCGTGCGTGCGAGTGTGCGTGCGAGTGTGCGTGCGTGCATGTGTGCGTGCGTGTGTGCGTGTGTGAACTCACGTCCACCATGATCTGGATGACCCCGGCCACCACGAATGCGACCCCCAGGAACAGCATTCCCACCGTGATGCGGCGCAGGGGCCTGGGGGGGGGGGGGGGTCACGTGGGTGGGGGGGGGTCACGGGGGTGGGGGGGGGGGGTCACATGAGTGTCGTGCTGGCCACCCATCTCTTCGGTGGCTAGGAGATGTTAACTACCTCGCCTGGTATGCAGGAGATCGTGGGTTCGACCCCGACCCTGAAGCCTGCTGCTGCTGTATATTTGGAGTTTGCGTGTCTCTCTCTCATCATCATCATCACGGTGGCTATGAGATGTTAACTACCTCGCCTGGTATGCAGGAGATCGTGGGTTCGACCCCGACCCTGAAGCCTGCTGCTGCTGCTGTATATTTGGAGTTTGCGTGTCTATCTCCCCGTGGTTGCTTGCATTGTTTTTCTGGGTCCTCCGGTGTTTCCCTCCACATTTAGAATCAACGTTCCGTGTTTAAAGTATTTGGCTGCTGTGAATGTCCACGTGATAAGCCACTTCGTTGGGCAACCATTTGTGATAGCCAGGCCGCTTCTGAAAAACAGCTACTAAGCTCAGTGGGGCCTTACCTAGTAAAACAGTTAATTTAGTCACTTTGACACTTAGTAGTAGGATTTCGCGACCAATATTATCCATAATAAGAGGTTTTTGGGTTGATTATGCTGATTGTTGTAAATACCGGTGACACGTCATGGCTACTACAATTGTAAATGTTGCAGTGTGTTTCCTGTCCAACATACAACCGGTTAGCTTAACACTTAGGCTTTCGCGACCAATATCATCCATAACAGAGGTTTGTTTTGGGTTAGATCGCGTAAATATGTGTCGTTAAACAGCAAACTGCCAAAAAACTAATATTTACTTCAGTGAAGCAAAAGCCTTAAGAGAATTGAGAGCAAATAAACATATCCCAATTCTTGCTGATGATAAGGACCAATCAACTGTTGTGATGCCCCGTAAGGACTACGATGATAAAATCAAAGATTTACTCGATAAAGGTACCCACGTTAAAATTAAACGTGACCCAACCAGCACCTTGGAACGTAAAACAACGGTAATCATTGCCAAGTAATCAATTCCCAAGGAAAAGCAATACTTGATCAAACCAAGGACATCAAAACCACCAAGACTTTATGGGCTACCAAAAATTAACAAACCTGATGTCCCATTAAGACCCATAGTTCGTACAATAGGCTCTGCCACATACATATTAGCACAATACGTAACGAAACAAACACAGCCCTACATCGGTAGGACCTCTTCGTTCATCAACAATTCTGAACATCTCGTAAATATAATTAAAGATATTAAGCTTAACCCTAATGATATTCTTGTAGGATTTGATGTGACCTCTCTGTTCATGAGGGTTCCGGTCAACGAGTCAATTAAGTTACTAGAAATCCTGGTCACGAACAAAGGTTTAGCCAAAGATATCCCAAGACTAGCTGAACACTGTCTAAAGAGCACCTACTTCTTGTGGAAAGGTGACTTCTATAAACAAAAGGAAAGAGCAGCAATGTGCTCTCCTTTGTCTCTTCTGTTAGCGAATTTGTACATGGAAGATTTCTAAACAAAAGCAATACCTTCAAGCACACTAACACCCTCTGCTTGGTTTAGATATGTGGATGACACATTGGTGGTCTGGCCACACGGCAAAGATACACTGAACGAATTTCTAAATCATCTCAACTCGCAAAACCCATCCACCCAGTTCACCATGGAAGTGGCGGCTCACAGAACGCTACCATTTCTGGATATTCTACTCGGACAGGGTCAGAATGGTAAAATAACACAGACTGCGTTTACCAAAACAAAAACGCATACTGACGCCTATCTGAATGCAGTCACACCATCACCCCGCACAGAAATCTGCTCTCATCAAGATGCTCATTCATCGAGCTAAGAAAATGTCACATGGTGGCAGTCTGAGAAGTGGAATTCAACATATTAAAGAAGCACTGCAAATGAATGGTTACAATGATGCACAAATCAACAGGGCATTGAATGCTAAAACCAAATCAAATAACACGAGCGTTGAAACTGCCCAAGTAATTAAAACGATAAAAAAATACCGAACATTGTGGGAGTAACTGATAAACTAGCCAGATGTTTGGAAAAACAAAACATCCGAATCAGATTTGGCACGGTACAATAAAATACAGAATTTCATATCTGGTATAAAAGATGCATTACCGAAGCTATCAACAGAAGGTGTGTACAGGATTCACTGCACATGTGGCAAATGCTATGTTGGGCAAACAGGACGAATGATCAGCACGAGACTAAAACAACATCAGAGAAATATTACATTCTCCCAAATACAACTGTCAGCAGTAGCAGAACACGCGTACCAACAAGGATACTCAATACATTTTGATAACGTTGAAGTTCTAGCTACGACTGGCCAAGACTAATTAGAGAATCTATCGAAATTTAAATAAATACAAAATAATTTTTACCATTCAGATAGCTACCGCCGTAGTGCTGCGTGGAAGCGAATACTCAAAACTATATTTCGATTTAAAGCTTTCGTGACTGCAAGGATTCATCTTCTTTGGTTCTTTCGGTAAAGTCACGTAGATTGAGAATAAAATAATAAATTGATAAAATAAAATAACACAATAAAATTCTCACGACATTGAAGCTCTGTCGTCCCGACAGGTCTGTTCCTTTCACCTGAAGAAGGCCACTTGTGTTGTGGCCGAAACGTCGTGAGAATTTGATTGCGTTATTTTATTTTATTAATTTATTATTTTATTCTCATTCTACGTGACTTTACCGAAAGAACCAAAGAAGACGAAACTATATTGTTTAAATGCATGCCGATAAAGGGCACCATACTTCAATAGGGATTACCGTTGGTACGGCTATTTTAACAACATGCAGGAAGGACAAGATCATAAAGCGCATGCAAAATGTACGTTGACTCAGTAATCCCCCTCCCCACAACTTTGTGCAAGAGCGCAGAAGTGTGGTCACCACATCAACGCCTCTATATAAAGAAAGCAACAGGTGGACTTCTCCACAAATCTGGCTGTTGCCTGATGGAGCCAGTTGTAATTACTGGCGAAACGTCGTACTCGGATTGTAAATGTTGTGGCCTGGCTCTCCAACACACCGGTGTGCTGTGCTAGTGACGAATTGGCCACGTTCTGTTTACGTGACAACCCTTACTAGTTGGCTGTGTCGGGTGGTGGCGGGTTTTAACGACACATTTACGTGATCTAACCCAAAAAAAACTCAAACACAACCGGTTAGTGTTCAACTAGTAACTAATTGGCAGGTCTCGTCTATGTGACAAACCCTTACTGATTGGCTGTGTCGGGTGGTGGCGGGTTTTAACGACACATTTATACTAACACGATCTAACCCGAGCCTGTTTAGTTTTCGTCTGCCACAGTGGCGGCCGTGGTGAGCGCTCCTCCTGCTGCTGCTGCTGCTGCTGCTCGCTAACAGCACTTGCCCCAGCAGCTTGCCGGACACAACAAGGGGGAGCTTTGTCTGTGTGAGGGTGACTCACGTGAGGGTGACTTTGTCTGTGTGAGGGTGACTCACGTGAAGTTGACTTTGTCTGTGTGAGGGTGAGTCACGTGAAGTTGACTTTGTCTGTGTGAGGGTGACTCACGTGAGGGTGACTTTGTCTGTGTGAGGGTGACTCACGTGAAGTTGACTTTGTCTGTGTGAGGGTGAGTCACGTGAAGTTGACTTTGTCTGTGTGTGAGGGTGACTCACGTGAGGGTGACTTTGTCTGTGTGAGGGTGACTCACGTGAAGTTGACTTTGTCTGTGTGTGGGGGTGACTCACGTCAACTTGACTTTGTCTGTGTGAGGGTGACTCACGTGAAGTTGACTTTGTCTGTGTGAGGGTGACTCACGTGAGGGTGACTTTGTCTGTGTGAGGGTGACTCACGTGAAGTTGACTTTGTCTGTGTGTGAGGGTGTCTCACGTGAAGTTGACTTTGTCTGTGTGAGGGTGACTCACGTGAGGGTGACTTTGTCTGTGTGAGGGTGACTCACGTGAAGTTGACTTTGTCTGTGTGAGGGTGACTCACGTGAGGGTGACTTTGTCTGTGTGAGGGTGACTCACGTGAGGGTGACTTTGTCTGTGTGAGGGTGACTCACGTGAGGGTGACTTTGTCTGTGTGAGGGTGACTCACGTGAGGGTGACTTTGTCTGTGTGAGGGTGACTCACGTGAAGTTGACTTTGTCTGTGTGTGAGGGTGACTCACGTGAAGTTGACTTTGTCTGTGTGTGAGGGTGACTCACGTGAAGTTGACTTTGTCTGTGTATGAGGGTGACTCACGTGTGGGTGACTTTGTCTGTGTGAGGGTGACTCACGTGAGGGTTACTTTGTGTGAGGGTGACTCACGTGAGGGTGACTTTGTCTGTGTGAGGGTGACTCACGTGAGGGTGACTTTGTCTGTGTGAGGGTGACTCACGTGAGGGTGACTTTGTCTGTGTGAGGGTAACTCACGTGAGGGTGACTTTGTCTGTGTGAGGGTGACTCACGTGAGGGTGACTTTGTCTGTGTGAGGGTGACTCACGTGAAGTTGACTTTGTCTGTGTGAAGGTGACTCACGTGAAGTTGACTTTGTCTGTGTGAGGGTGACTCACGTGAGGGTGACTTTGTCTGTGTGAGGGTGACTCACGTGAAGTTGACTTTGTCTGTGTGTGAGGGTGACTCACGTGAAGTTGACTTTGTCTGTGTGAGGGTGAGTCACGTGAAGTTGACTTTGTCTGTGTGAGGGTGACTCACGTGAGGGTGACTTTGTCTGTGTGAGGGTGACTCACGTGAAGTTGACTTTGTCTGTGTGAGGGTGAGTCACGTGAAGTTGACTTTGTCTGTGTGTGAGGGTGACTCACGTGAGGGTGACTTTGTCTGTGTGAGGGTGACTCACGTGAAGTTGACTTTGTCTGTGTGTGGGGGTGACTCACGTCAACTTGACTTTGTCTGTGTGAGGGTGACTCACGTGAAGTTGACTTTGTCTGTGTGAGGGTGACTCACGTGAGGGTGACTTTGTCTGTGTGAGGGTGACTCACGTGAAGTTGACTTTGTCTGTGTGTGAGGGTGACTCACGTGAAGTTGACTTTGTCTGTGTGAGGGTGACTCACGTGAGGGTGACTTTGTCTGTGTGAGGGTGACTCACGTGAAGTTGACTTTGTCTGTGTGAGGGTGACTCACGTGAGGGTGACTTTGTCTGTGTGAGGGTGACTCACGTGAGGGTGACTTTGTCTGTGTGAGGGTGACTCACGTGAGGGTGACTTTGTCTGTGTGAGGGTGACTCACGTGAGGGTGACTTTGTCTGTGTGAGGGTGACTCACGTGAAGTTGACTTTGTCTGTGTGTGAGGGTGACTCACGTGAAGTTGACTTTGTCTGTGTGTGAGGGTGACTCACGTGAAGTTGACTTTGTCTGTGTATGAGGGTGACTCACGTGTGGGTGACTTTGTCTGTGTGAGGGTGACTCACGTGAGGGTTACTTTGTGTGAGGGTGACTCACGTGAGGGTGACTTTGTCTGTGTGAGGGTGACTCACGTGAGGGTGACTTTGTCTGTGTGAGGGTGACTCACGTGAGGGTGACTTTGTCTGTGTGAGGGTGACTCACGTGAGGGTGACTTTGTCTGTGTGAGGGTGACTCACGTGAGGGTGACTTTGTCTGTGTGAGGGTGACTCACGTGAAGTTGACTTTGTCTGTGTGAAGGTGACTCACGTGAAGTTGACTTTGTCTGTGTGAGGGTGACTCACGTGAGGGTGACTTTGTCTGTGTGAGGGTGACTCATGTGAGGGTGACTTTGTCTGTGTGAGGGTGACTCACGTGAAGTTGACTTTGTCTGTGTGAGGGTGACTCACGTGAAGTTGACTTTGTCTGTGTGAGGGTGACTCACGTGAAGTTGACTTTGTCTGTGTGAGGGTGACTCACGTGAGGGTGACTTTGTCTGTGTGAGGGTGACTCATGTGAGGGTGACTTTGTCTGTGTGAGGGTGACTCACGTGAAGTTGACTTTGTCTGTGTGAGGGTGACTCACGTGAAGTTGACTTTGTCTGCGTGAGGGTGACTCACGTGAGGGTGACTTTGTCTGTGTGTGAGAGTGACTCACGTGAGGGTGACTTTGTCTCTGTGTGTGAGGGTGACTCACGTAAAGCTGATGTCTGTGTGAGGGTGACTCACGTGAGGGTGACTTTGTCTGTGTGTGAGGGTGACTCATGTGAAGTTGACTTTGTCTGTGTGTGAGGGTGACTCACGTGAGGGTGACTTTGTCTGTGTGAGGGTGACTCACGTGAGGGTGACTTTGTCTGTGTGTGAGGGTGACTCACTTCAAGTTGACTTTGTCTGTGTGAGGGTGACTCACGTGAAGTTGACTCTGCACCGACGCAGCAGGGGGTAGATCCCGACGTCGAACAGAGGGACGAGCACGAGGATCAGCATCGCGTTGATGGACTGCGGAGAGACAGAGAGTCACCCTCCACCGAGTCACCCTCCACATTGAGAGACAGTCACCATACACACACAGTCACCCTCCAGAGAAAGAGTCACCCTACACAGAGAGTCACCCTACACAGAGAGTCACCCTACACAGAGTCACCCTACACAGAGAGTCACCCTACGCAGAGAGTCACCCTACACAGTCACCATAGACAGAGAGTCACCCTTCACAGAGCGTCACCCTACACAGTCACCCTACACAGAGTCACCCTACACAGAGAGTCACCCTACACAGTCACCCTACACAGAGTCACCCTACACAGAGAGTCACCCTACACAGTCACCCTACACAGAGAGTCACCCTACACAGAGAGTCACCCTACACAGTCACCCTACACAGAGAGTCACCCTACACAGTCACCCTACACAGAGAGTCACCCTACACAGAGAGTCACCATACACAGAGAGTCACCCTACACAGTCACCCTACACAGAGAGTCACCCTACACAGTCACCCTACACAGAGAGTCACCCTACACAGAGAGTCACCCTACACAGAGAGTCACCCTACACAGTCACCCTACACAGTCACCCTACACAGAGAGTCATCCTAGAGAGTGTTGAGAGGTGAGAGAGTGGTGGAGAGTGGTGAGAGAGTGGTGAGAGAGTGGTGGAGAGAGTGGTGAGAGAGTGGTGGAGAGAGTGGTGGAGAGAGTGGTGAGAGAGTGGTGAGAGAGTGGTGGAGAGAGTGGTGAGAGAGTCGTGACAGAGTGGTGGAGAGAGTGGTGAGAGAGTGGTGGAGAGAGTGGTGGAGAGAGTGTTGAGAGGTGAGAGAGTGGTGAGAGAGTGGTGAGAGAGTGGTGAGGGAGTGGTGAGAGAGTGGTGGAGAGAGTGGTGAGAGAGTGGTGGAGAGAGTATTGAGAGGTGAGAGAGTGGTGGAGAGAGTGGTGAGAGAGTGGTGGAGAGAGTGGTGAGAGAGTGGTGGAGAGAGTGGTGAGAGAGTGGTGAGAGAGTGGTGAGAGAGTGGTGGAGAGAGTGGTGAGAGAGTGGTGGAGAGAGTGGTGAGAGAGTGGTGGAGAGAGTGGTGAGAGAGTGGTGGAGAGAGTGGTGAGAGAGTGGTGGAGAGAGTGGTGGAGAGAGTGTTGAGAGAGTGTTGGAGAGAGTGTTGAGAGAGTGGTGAGAGAGTGGTGAGAGAGTGGTGAGAGAGTGGTGAGTGTGGTGAGAGAGTTGTGAGAGAGTGTTGGAGAAAGTGGTGGAGAGAGTGTTGAGAGGTGAGAGAGTGTTGGAGATAGTGGTGGAGAGAGTGGTGAGAGAGTGGTGGAGAGTGGTGAGAGAGTGGTGATAGAGTGGAGAGAGAGTGGTGGAGAGTGGTGAGAGAGTGGTGAGTGGAGAGAGAGTGGTGGAGAGTGGTGAGAGAGTCGTGGAGAGAGTGGTGAGAGAGTTGTGAGAGAGTGGTGAGAGAGTGTGGAGAGAGTGGTGAGAGAGTGGTGAGAGAGTGGTGGAGAGAGTGGTGAGAGAGTGGTGGAGAGAGTGGTGAGAGAGTGGTGGAGAGAGTGGTGGAGAGAGTGGTGAGAGAGTGGTGGAGAAAGTGGTGAGAGAGTGGTGAGAGTGGTGAGAGAGTGGTGGAGAGAGTGGTGGAGAGAGTGGTGAGAGAGTGTGGAGAGAGTGGTGGAGAGAGTGGTGGAGAGAGTGTTGGAGAGAGTGGTGAGAGAGTGTTAGAGAGAGTGTTGGAGAGAGTGTTGGAGAGAGTGTTGAGAGAGTGTTGGAGAGAGTGGTGAGAGAGTGGTGAGAGAGTGGTGAGAGTGGTGAGAGAGTGGTGAGAGAGTGGTGAGAGAGTGGTGAGAGAGGGGTGGAGAGAGTGGTGAGAGTGTGGTGGAGAGAGTGGTGAGAGAGTGGTGAGAGAGTGGTGAGAGAGTCGTGAGAGAGTGGTGAGAGAGTGGTGGAGAGAGTGGTGAGGGAGTGTGGAGAGAGTGGTGGAGAGAGTGGTGGAGAGAGTGTTGGAGAGAGTGGTGAGAGAGTGGTGAGAGAGTGTTGGAGAGAGTGTTGGAGAGAGTGGTGGAGAGAGTGGTGAGAGAGTGTGGAGAGAGTGGTGGAGAGAGTGGTGGAGAGAGTGTTGGATAGAGTGGTGAGAGAGTGGTGAGAGAGTGGTGGAGAGAGTGGTGAGAGAGTGGTGAGAGAGTGGTGAGAGAGTGTGGAGAGTGGTGAGAGAGTGGTGATAGAGTGGAGAGAGAGTGGTGAGAGAGTGGTGAGAGAGTGTGGAGAGTGGTGGAGAGTGGTGAGAGAGTGGTGAGAGAGTCGTGGAGAGAGTGGTGGAGAGAGTGGTGGGAGAGTGGTGAGAGAGTGGTGAGAGAGTGGTGAGAGAGTGTGGAGAGAGTGGTGAGAGAGTGGTGAGAGAGTGTGGAGAGAGTGGAGATAGAGTGGTGAGAGAGTGGTGGAGAGAGTGGTGAGAGAGTGGAGAGAGAGTGGTGAGAGAGTGGAGAGAGAGTGGTGGAGAGAGTGGTGAGAGAGTAGAGAGAGAGAGTGGTGGAGAGTGGTGAGAGAGTGGTGAGAGAGTGGAGAGAGAGTGGTGGAGAGAGTGGTGAGAGAGTGGAGAGAGAGTGGTGGAGAGTGGTGGAGAGTCGTGAGAGAGTCGTGGAGAGAGTGGTGGAGAGAGTGGTGAGAGAGTCGTGGAGAGAGTGGTGAGAGAATGGTGAGAGAGTGGTGAGAGAGTGGAGAGAGAGTGGTGGAGAGAGTGGTGAGAGAGTGGTGAGAGAGTGGTGGAGAGAGTGGACTCTCACCTGCATTTGGTCAGGCTGGATGACTAACGATCCCTGCATACACACAAGCAAATACAAGGATCCCCCGTGGAGCCTTAACAGACTGTTGGGGCAAGTGCTTTTATCGAGCAACACCTTTGAAGGCCGGCATGGCACACGAGGGGTGGGTGGCCCGACCGCCTTTGTCTCCCCTGTGGTGATGTGTACACACCGCACCAGGTACTCATTTGAGGCCGAGTATACCTAGGGGAGGCCCAGGACCGGTTCAGATAATCATCACTGTGATCGGTCGTGAGCGAGAATCAAACTCGGTTCGATGGCTTCGTAGTGCAGCGCGTTATCAGCTGTGTGGGTGTGCGCCCACACGTGCAGACACACACGTGCAGACACACACGTGCAGACACACACGTGCAGACACACACGTGCAGACACACACGCACGTGTGTGTGTGCACACACACGTGCGTGTGTATATTTACTGTGTGTGTAGTGTGTGTGTAGCGTGTGTATATTTACTGTGTGTGTGTAGTTTGTGTAGTGTGTGTGTAATGTGTATGTAGTGTGTGTGTAGTGTGTGTGTAATGTGTGTAGTGTGTGTAGCGTGTGTGTGTAGTGTGTGTATATTTACTGTGTGTGGTGTGTGTGTAGTGTGTGTATATTTACTGTGTGTGTGTGTGTAATGTGTGTGTAGTGTGTGTGTAGTGTGTGTGTGTATTTACTGCGTGTGTAGTGTGTGTGTAGTTTGTGTGTATTTACTGTGTGTGTAGTGTGTGTGCAGTGTGTGTGTAGTGTGTGTGTAGTGTGTGTATTTACTGTGTATGTAGTGTGTAGTGTGTATCTTTACTTTGAATGTAGTGTGTGTGTAGTGTGTGTGTATTTACTGTGTGTGTGTAGTGTGTGTGTATTTACTGTGTGTGTGTAGTGTGTGTGCAGTGTGTGTAGTGTTTGTAATTACTGTGTGTGTGTAGTGTGTGTGTAGTGTGTATATTTACTGTGTGTGTGTAATGTGTGTGTAACGTGTGTGTAGTGTAATGTGTGTGTAGTGTGTGTGTAGTGTAGTGTGTGTGTAATGTGTGGGTAGTGTGTGTGTAGTGTAATTTGTGTGTAATGTGTGTGTGTAATGTGCGTAGTGTAGTGTGTGTAGTGTAATGTGTGTGTATAGTGTAGTTTGTGTGTAGTGTAGTGTGTGTGTGGTGTGTGTGTGTAATGTGTGTGTAGCGTGTGTGTGTGTAGTGTGCGTGTAGTGTGTGTGTATACTGTGTGTATAGTGTGTGTGTGTAGTGTGTGTGTGGTGTGTGTGTGTAGTGTGTGTGTGTAATGTGTGTGTAGCGTGTGTGTAATGCGTGTGTAGTGTGTGCGTAGTATGTGTGTAATGTGTGTGGTTTGTGTGTAGTGTGTGTGTAGTGTGTGTGTGTAATGTGTGTGTAGTGTGTGTGTAGTGTGTGTATGTTTACTGTGTGTGTAGTATGTGTGTAGATTGTGTGTAGTGTGTGTAATGTGTGTGTAGTGTGTGTATAATGTGTGTGTAGCGTGTGTATATTTACTGTGTGTGTGTAGTGTGTGTAGTGTGTGTGTAATGTGTATGTAGTGTGTGTGTAGTGTGTGTGTAATGTGTGTAGTGTGTGTGTAGCGTGTGTGTGTAGTGTGTGTGTGTAGTGTGTGTATAGTGTGTGTGTAGTGTGTTTGTAGTGTGTGTAGTGTGTGTGTAGTGTGTGTATATTTACTGTGTGTGGTGTAGTGTGTGTATATTTACTGTGTGTGTGTAATGTGTGTGTAGTGTGTGTGTGTAGTGTGTGTGTGTATTTACTGCGTGTGTAGTGTGTGTGTAGTTTGTGTGTATTTACTGTGTGTGTAGTGTGTGTGCAGTGTGTGTGTAGTGTGTGTGTAGTGTGTGTATTTACTGTGTATGTAGTGTGTAGTGTGTATCTTTACTTTGAATGTAGTGTGTGTGTAGTGTGTGTGTATTTACTGTGTGTGTGTAGTGTGTGTGTAGTGTGTGTGTATTTACTGTGTGTGTGTAGTGTGTGTGCAGTGTGTGTAGTGTTTGTAATTACTGTGTGTGTGTAGTGTGTGTGTAGTGTGTGTGTAGTGTGTATATTTACTGTGTGTAGTGTGTGTAGTGTGTATATTTACTGTGTGAGTAGTTTGTGTGTAGATTGTGTATATTTACTGTGTGTGTGTAGTGTGTGTGTAGTATGTGTGTAGTGTGTGTATATTTACTGTGTGTGTGCAGTGTGTGCGGTGTGTGTATATTTACTGTGTGTGTGTAATGTGTGTGTAATGTGTGTGTAGTGTAATGTGTGTGTAGTGTAATGTGTGTGTAGTGTAGTGTGTGTGTAGTGTAGTGTGTGTGTAATGTGTGGGAAGTGTGTGTGTAGTGTAATTTGTGTGTAATGTGTGTGTAGTGTGTGTGTGTAATGTGCGTAGTGTAGTGTGTGTAGTGCAATGTGTGTGTATAGTGTAGTATGTGTGTAGTGTAGTGTGTGTGTGGTGTGTGTGTAATGTGTGTGTAGCGTGTGTGTGTAGTGTCCGTGTAGTGTGTGTGTGTATACTGTGTGTATAGTGTGTGTGTGTGGTGTGTGTGTGTAGTGTGTGTGTGTAGTGTGTGTGTATGTGTGTGTAGCGTGTGTGTAATGTGTGTGTAGTGTGTGCGTAGTGTGTGTGTAATGTGTGTGTAGTGTTTGTGTGTAGTGTGTGTAGTGTGTGTGTAGTGTGTGTGTGTAGTATGTGTGTAATGTGTGTGGTTTGTGTGTAGTGTGTGTGTAGTGCGTGTGTAATGTGTATGTAGTGTGTGTGTAGTGTGTGTGTAGTGTGTATATTTACTGTGTGTAGTGTGTGTAGTGTGTATATTTACTGTGTGAGTAGTTTGTGTGTAGATTGTGTATATTTACTGTGTGTGTGTAGTGTGTGTGTAGTATGTGTGTAGTGTGTGTATATTTACTGTGTGTGTGCAGTGTGTGCGGTGTGTGTATATTTACTGTGTGTGTGTAATGTGTGTGTAATGTGTGTGTAGTGTAATGTGTGTGTAGTGTAATGTGTGTGTAGTGTAGTGTGTGTGTAGTGTAGTGTGTGTGTAATGTGTGGGAAGTGTGTGTGTAGTGTAATTTGTGTGTAATGTGTGTGTAGTGTGTGTGTGTGTAATGTGCGTAGTGTAGTGTGTGTAGTGCAATGTGTGTGTATAGTGTAGTATGTGTGTAGTGTAGTGTGTGTGTGGTGTGTGTGTAATGTGTGTGTAGCGTGTGTGTGTAGTGTCCGTGTAGTGTGTGTGTGTGTATACTGTGTGTATAGTGTGTGTGTGTGGTGTGTGTGTGTGTAGTGTGTGTGTGTAGTGTGTGTGTCTGTGTGTGTAGCGTGTGTGTAATGTGTGTGTAGTGTGTGCGTAGTGTTTGTGTAATGTGTGTGTAGTGTGTGTGTGTAGTGTGTGTAGTGTGTGTGTAGTGTGTGTGTGTAGTATGTGTGTAATGTGTGTGGTTTGTGTGTAGTGTGTGTGTAGTGCGTGTGTAATGTGTATGTAGTGTGTGTGTAGTGTGTGTATGTTTACTGTGTGTGTGTACTATGTGTGTAGATTGTGTGTAGTGTGTGTAATGTGTGTGTAGTGTGTGCGTAGTATGTGTGTGTAATGTGTGTGTAGTGTGTGTGTGTAGTATGTGTGTAATGTGTGTGGTTTGTGTGTAGTGTGTGTGTAATGTGTGTTGTAATGTGTGTGTAGTGTGTGTGTAGTGTAATGTGTGTGTAGTGTGTGTAGTGTAGTGTAATGTGTGTGTAGTGTAGTGTAATGTGTGTGTAGTGTGTGTATATTTACTGTGTGTGTGTAGTCTGTGTGTAGATTGTGTATATTTACTGTGTGTGTGTAGTGTGTGTGTAGTATGTGTGTAGTGTGTGTAGTGTGTGTGTAGTGTGTGTATTTACTGTGTGTGTGTAGTGTGTGTAGTGTGTGTATTTACTATGTGTGTGTAGTGTGTGTGTAGTGTGTGTATTTACTGTGTGTGTGTAGTGTGTGTATTTACTGTGTGTGTAGTGTGTATGTAGCGTGTGTATATTTACTGTGTGTGTGTAGTGTGTGTGTAGTGTGTGTGTAGTATGTGTATATTTACTGTGTGTGTATAGTATGTGTGTAGATTGTGTATATTTACTGTGTGTGTAGTGTGTGTATATTTGCTGTGTGTGTAGCGTGTGTGTGTGTAGTGTGTGTGTGTAATGTGTGTGTAGCGTGTGTGTAATGTGTGTGTAGTGTGTGTGTAGTGGGTGTAGTATGTGTGTAATGTGTGTGGTGTGTGTGTAGTGTGTGTGTAGTGTGTGTGTAATGTGTGTGTATAGTGTGTGTTGTAATGTGTGTGTAGTGTGTATAGTGTAATGTGTGTGGTGTGTGTGTGTAGTATGTGTGTAGTGTAATGTGTGTGTAGTGTAATGTGTGTGTAGTGTAATGTGTGTGTAGGGTGTGTAGTGTGTGTGTAGTGTGTGTGTAATGTGTGTATAGTGTGTGTTGTAATGTGTGTGTAGTGTGTATAGTGTAATGTGTGTCGTGTGTGTGTGTAGTATGTGTGTAGTGTAATGTGTGTGTAGTGTAATGTGTGTGTAGTGTAATGTGTGTGTAGGGTGTGTAGTATGTGTGTAGTGTGTGTGTAGTGTGTGTAATGTGTGTGTGTAGTATGTGTGTAGTGTGTGTAGTGCATGTGTGTGTAGTGTGTGTGTAGTATGTGTGTATTATGTGTGTAGTGTGTGTGTAATGCGTGTGTAGTGTGTGTGTGTAGTGTGTGTGTATTTACTGTGTGTGTAGTGTGTGTGTAGTATCTGTGTAGTGTGTGTATGTAGTGTGTGTGTGTGCAGTGTGTGTATATTTACTGTGTGTGTAGTGTGTGTGTATAGGGTGTGTGTAGTGTAGTGTAATGTGTGTGTAGTGTGTCTAGGGTGTTAACTTACAAAGTCGCCGTTCATGCGGGTTGCCTGGAAAGTCCACCTCGATCCCTGCACAGACAATGACACACACAATGATACGTACACAGTGATACACACACAAAATGATACACGCACAATGACACACACACAATGATACACACAATGACACGACATACACACAATGACACACACACAATGACACAACAATAACAACCACCATTCGCCACTAAGTGGCGGTGACGTCACCACAACGCTTGTGCCAGGCCGTGTGCACCTTGAACGCCCGCCGGCAGAAGGTCACGGGACAGGCCCAGGTGCCACGGTTCGACTGACTGAGATGACTGAGATGACTGGCTGATGCACCACCTGTGCCCCCTCTACTGTGCCAACTTGCTGTGCTTTAGCCACCCGGCGCTCCGCTCGTTGTTGTGAGCGTCACTCTCTCCGCCCTCCGTTGTTGTTAGAGGGCGACTGCCTCCAACTGCCAAGTAGCGTCCTTCACGAGCCTCCTCCACAGAGGCCGATCTTGACACCGCTGGTACCAGTCATCGGCAAGTCCACTCAGCTCCACGTCCTCCTGTACCACATCACTCCATCTCTTCTCTAGCCCTTGCCGCGCCCGTTTAGCCCGCTCGATCCGGCCGAACAAAAGCTGTTTAGGCATGCGGTGGCTGGCCATGCGGGCTACATGACCCAACCAACGCAGCCTTGCCTGCCGGAGGAGCTCACCGATGGCACTTTGCTCAGATCTTTCAAGGATTTGTGAGCTCCTCACACAATCCAGGTTAAACCCAGGATGGATCGTATGCAGTCCAGCCCAAATGTTTCTAACCGGCGAAGATGCTCCATTCGGGGGGTCCACGTTTCGCAAGCATAGAGAAGGGAGGGAATGACCGTAGCCGAGAAGACCTGCAGCTTCGTGCAGAGCGACAGACCAGGTAGCTTCTACACAGCGTTACGCAACTGATGAAAAGATATTGCCACTCGACTGATTCGGAGTGAGACCTCTGCTGTCAAACCCGAGCCAGTCATGAGCACACTGCCTAGGTATGGGAAACTCTCCACTCTCTCCACAACTGCCCCATCACCGATTGGGAGTTGTCGGGATGGAGTGTCTGATGGTACAAAATACCCAGGCAGGTGCTTAGTTTTGGTGGGGCTGATGGTCCACACACACACAATGACACACAATCAACGCAATTTTCGATCACACACAATCACTTTCACACAACAGAAACACGCAACCAAACACAATCCCATTCACATCGAGCAATCACACACACAGTCACAAGACAATGACCCCCTATATAGCCACTGATAGACTGTTGGAGCAAGCACCGATGAAGGCCGGCATGGCACAAGAGGGGGGTGGGTGGCCAGAACCACACCCGACCGCCTTTGTCTTCCTAACAGCAATGGTTGCACAGTGCACCAACTACTAATTTGAGGCATGATTGTGGCCGAGAAGACACGGAGCTTTGTGTGGAGCAGCAGACCAAGTAGTTTCGACACAGCGTTACACAGCTGGCGAAAATATAATGCCGCTTCACTGATTCGGAATGAGACCTCTGCTATCAAACGGGAGTTGGTCCAAAGCACACTGCCCAGGTATAGAAAACGCTCTCTCCACAACTGCCTCATCACCAGTGGAGAGTTGAGGGGGTAGAGTGTTTGATGACACAACACAAGGCGCCACCTCTTCGTAGCACGCTCTAGGTTCAGCAGCATAACCTCCACCTTATTTTCTGAGTGAGCAGAAATCACCAAATCATCTGCGTACGTAACATAGTTAACCAATAGGGAGCCAACCCTTGACCACACACCCAGATATCGATCAGCCTGCCATTGTATCTGTACCAGAAAGAAATTCCTCAGATACAGCGATGGAAAGCTTCTCGAACTACGTGGTCAAAGATGTAAAATAAAGTGGGACCCAGAGGACAATCATGTCACATACTCTTTGGTTCTATTCGGTAAAGTCACGTGACTTTACCGAATAGAACCAAAGAGTATGGATCCTTGCAGTCACGAAAGCTTTAAATCTAGAATTATGTCACACCCCAAGGTGAACAGGGAATGCCTCTGACTCTTGGCCACGAACATTTACCCGTGCCTGCCAAACATGATGAACGCCCTTAATGATTGTGAGCAGAGAGTCAGGGACTCCGAAAACACGAAGAACTGCCCGCAGCCCTGGTCTGCTGATGATACCATAGGCCTTGACCAGGTCAATAAAGCAGAGAAGTAGGTTCTGTGAAAATTCCCCACACCTCTGCTGTAATAGATGGACAGAGAATATGGCATCTGTGCAGGACCGCGCTGGCCTGAAACCACATTGGGGCTCCACAAGCCTCTCCTCAGCGTGCCTGACAAGGTGATGTTGAATAATCCTTGCCAGGACCTTTCCCGGCCTCATACTGAGGAGGGAAATGCCCTTGTAGTTGTTACATTCTGTGCAGTCCCCCTTCTTTAAAGACGGGGCCACCAGGTCATGGAACCTGTCCTGTGGTCCAGACAGTTGTGATGATGTCATGTAGGGCAGTCCACACACAAACGCCACCCTCGCTAAGCAGTGTGCTTTGGGAGATAATCTCTGCTCAGCGCTTTTCCTGGTCTTAGACTTGGGATCGTTTAACACACACACACACATTCCCTCGTACAATTATTCGTAACCCCACTCACACCTCACTTGTACCGTCACCTGTAAACTCACCCATACACCCACTTACACCTCACCTGTACACTCACTCGTACACTCACTCGTAGACTCACCCATACACTCGCTCGTAGACTCACTCGTACACTCACTCGTAGACTCACCCGTACACTCACTCATACCTCACCTGTACACTCACTCGTACACTCACTCACAACTCACCTGTGCACTCACCCGTAAACCCCACTCACAACTCACCTGTTGGTCGTAGAGTGCCCAGAACATGGGCAGGGGCAGGTAGAGGAAGAGCACCTTAAACACCATCTTTATCTGAGCGATGAGACGTCCCTATAGGACGAGAGAGAGGAACCGGATATCACAGATCTACTTCCTAGATCTCCGCTTCATCAAGTGACCTCTGGTTCACACGCAGTAGTGGGCGGCAGCTTCCCACGCGCTCTGCCATCCATGGGCAGTGCTCTATGTGTGACAGACAAACCGATGTGATGGGTCTGTGTTAGCCTATGCGTCTCTGTGTGAGTCTATGGGACTCTGTGGGTCTCTATGTTAGTCTGTGGGGTCTCTGTGGGTCTCTATGTTAGTCTATTGGGCTCTATGGGTCTCCATGTTAGTCTATGGGTCTCGGGGTGAGTCTATGCGTCTCTCTATCAATATATGAGTCTCTGTGCGAGTTCAGGGTCGATGTGAATATATCGGTCTCTGCCTGAGTCTATGGATCTGTGTGAGTCTATGGGTCTTTATGCCAGTCTATGGGTCTCTGCCTGAATCTATAGATCTCTGCCTGAGTCTATGGACCTCTGCCTGAGTCTATGGATCTCTATGTGAGTCTATTGGTCTCTGCGTGAGTCTATGGGTCTCTGTGTGAGTCTATGGGTCTTTATGCCAGTCTATGGGTCTCTGCCTGAGTCTATGGATCTCTGCCTGAGTCTATGGACCTCTGCCTGAGTCTATGGATCTCTATGTGAGTCTATCGGTCTCTATGGGAGTCTGTGTCCAGTCTTGGTTGTCTCCATACAGCAACAACCGCCATACGCCACTAGGTGGCGGCGATATCACCATGGTGCTTGTGCCAAGCTAATTGCGCTTTCAGGCCACGTGAAGTGTTAAACGTCCACTGGCAGGAGGTCACAGGACAGACCCAGGTGCCATGGATTGACCGACTGAGATGACTGGCCGATGCACCACCTGTGCCCTCTACTGTGCCAACTTGCTGTGTTTTAGCTACCAGGTGCTCCGTCCCGTTGTGAGCGTCGCTCCTCTGCCCTCCACTGTTGCTGGAGGGCGACTGCCTCCAACTGCCCAGTAAAAGCGTCCTTCACGAGCCTCCTCTACGGAGGCCGATCTTGACACCGCTAGTACCAGTCATCGGCAAGTCCACTCAGCTCCACATACTTCTATACCACTTCAGTCCATCTCTTGTCTCGCCCATGCCGTGACCGTTTAGCCCCCTCTATGCGACCAAACAAAACATGTTTAGGCATGCAGTGGCTGGGCATGTGGGGTACATGACCCAGCCAACGCAGCCTCGCCTGCCAGAGGAGCTCACCGATGGGACCGGGTCCACAATCCAGCCTGGTGGTTACACCCAGGACGGATCGCAGGCAGGCCACCACACACAGACACACATAAGGTGCACACACAAGGTGCACACACACAGACACACACACAAACACACACAAGGTGCACACACACAGACACACACACAAACACACACAAGGTGCACACACACAGACACACACAAGGTGCACACACACAAACACACACAAGGTGCACACACACAGACACACACACAAGGTGCACACACACAGACACACACACAAGGTGCACACACACAGACACACACAAGATACACACACAGACACACACAAGGTGCACACAGACGTGCACACACACAGATACACACAGACACACACAAGGTGCACACACACAGACACACACACAAGGTGCACACATACAACAACAACTGACATTCGCCACTAAGTGGCGGTGACGTCACCACGACGCTTGTGCCAGGCCATGTGCACCTTGAGGCCACGTGAAGTGTCGAACGCCCGCTGGCAGGAGGTCACGGGCAGACCCAGGTGCCACGGGTCGACTGACTGAGATGACTGGCTAATGCACCACCTGTGCCCCCTACTGTGCCAACCTGCTGTGCTTTATCCACCCGGCGCTCCACTCATTGTTGTGAGCGTCGCTCCTCCGCCCTCCGTTGTTGTTGGAGGGCGATTGCCTCCAACTGCCCAGTAGCGTCCTTCACGAGCCTCCTCCACAGAGGCCGATCTTGACACCGCTGGTACCAGTCATCGGCAATTCCACTCAGCTCCACGTCCTCCTGTACCACATCATTCCATCTCTCCTCTAGCCCGTGCTGCGCCCGTTTAGCCCCCTCGATCCGGCCGAACAAAAGCTGTTTCGGCATGCGGTGGCTGGGCATGCGGGCTACATGACCCAGCCAACACAGCCTTGCCTGCCGGAGGAGCTCACCGATGGGACCTTGCCCAGATCTTTCAAAGATTTGTGAGCTCCTCACACAATCCAGTCTGGTTAAACCCAGGATCGATCGTAGGCAGGCCAGCCTAAATGTTTATAACCAGCGAAGATACTCCATTAGGGGGGTCCACGTTTCGCAAGCGTAGAGAAGGGAGGGAATGACCGTGGCCGAGAAGACCTGAAGCTTAGTGCGGAGCGACAGACCAGGTAGCTTCCACACAGCGTTACGCAACCGATGAAAAGATATTGCCGCTCGACTGATTCGGAGTGAGACCTCTGCTGTTAAACTGGAGCCAGTCATAAGCACACTGCCCAGGTATGGGAAACTCTCCACTCTCTCCACAACTGCCCCATCACCGATTGGGAGTTGTGGGGGTGGAGTGTCCGATGATACAAAATACCAGGCAGGTGCTTAGTTTTGGTGGGGCTGATGGTAAGGCCCCACCTCTTAGTGGCACGCTCCAGTCTCAGCAGCAGCGTCTCCAACTCCTCCTCTGAATGAGCAGCTATTACCAAATCATCGGCATACATAACGTGGTTGAGCAATAGGGAGCCATCCCTTGACCGCACCCGGGCGTCGATCAGCCTCCCATTATATCTGTACCATATGGAGATTCCCCCGGTACAGCTATTGAAGGCTTCACGAACTACGTGGTCAAAATAGATGTTCAATAATGTGGGAGCCAGAGGACATCCCTGTCGCACCCCAAGGTTAACAGGGAATGGCTCTGACTCCCGGCCACGTAGTTTTACCTGGGCCCGCTCACCATCATGAAGGTCCTTAATGATCGTGAGCAGAGGGTCAGGTACTCCAAAAGCACGAAGAACAACCCAGAGCCCAGGCCTACTGATGGTATCATAGGTCTTGACCAGGTCAATAAAGCAGAGATGTAGGTCTTGTTGGAATTTCCTACACCTCTGCTGTAGCAGACGGACAGAAAATATGGCATCTGTGCAGGACCGCCCTTTCCTGAAACCGCATTTGTGCTCCGCAAGCCTCTCCTCAGCGTGCCTGGCAAGGCGATGTTGAATAATCCTTGCTAGGACCTTTCCCAGCACACTGAGGAGTGAGATGCCCCTGTAGTTGTTACAGTCTGTGCGGTCCCCTTTCTTAAAGAGGCGGACCACCAGGGCATCCTTCCAATCCTGCGGAACCCGTCCAGTGGTCCAGACTGTTTTTATGATGTCATATAGGGCAGTCAGTGCACAAACGCCGTCGTCCCTCAGCATTCCGCTTGGGAGATCATCTCTGACCGCTGCCTTTCCTGGTCTCAGACTCCGGATCGCCTTCAGTACTTCCTCAACAGATGGCACCTCAGCCAGCCACTCACAGGGGGTGACTTCTTCCAATATTTGAGGCACCGCAGCCTCAGCAGGATCATCCTCACTTTGTGCCATGATGTTTTCCTGGCTGAGGGATTTTCCCTCCCCCAGGACCTCACAGAAATGCTCAGCAAATCTGCAAACCTGTTCCTGTGGGTCGGAGATTGGGTCACCATTTTTTCCCCTAATTATGGTAATAGGTGTGGCGCTGCAGATTACTTTTTGATGGAGTTAAATAGAGATTTGTGATCACAGGCCACTGAGGCAGACTCCATCTCCTCAGCAACCCGCGACCACCACCCTTCCTTGCAGCGCCTCACAGCTCTCCGAATCTTCGAGCGAAGGCTGCGGTAAGCCTCCTCATTCTCTGACGTGGGCTTCTGTAGCCGATGACAGTGGGCCTGTCGCTTTTTCTCAACCATCCTGAACACCTCCTCTGTCAGCCAGGGTCTCTGGGGAGGTCTGGACCGCGTACCCAAAGCAGCCATTGCAGCTGCATGAGTCACAGTCCTAAACCTCGCCCATTTACCCTCGACATCAGGAGGAGTTAGGGACGATGCCAATCCCAGCCGCAAGCGATGATGAAATTCTCGCTTGCAACTTTCATCAGATAACTGAGACCAGGCCGCTTTAGGTTGGAATGGGGTCCTGGGTGTACACCCACCACCGGAGTGGAAGAATGGCAGGCGCATCTTACAGATGACTAGTCGATGGTCAGAGGGCAGATCAGCTCCACGGTAGATCCTGGTGTCTAGGACATGGGCTCGCATCCGCTGGTCCGTCACTATGTAGTCCAGCAGATGTTCTTGCTTGGACCCGGCATGCATCCATGATGTTGTGTGGATGCGCCGATGCCGGAACAGCGTGTTGGTAATTACAAGCCCATGGGCTGCACAAAAATCTAGCAGCCTCCTACCGTTGTTATTGAGCTGATCTGGCCCATGCCCTCCAATCACTCCAGACCAGGTGCCAGTATCATGACCAACTCGGGCATTGGTGCACACACACAGACACACACACAAGGTGCACACACACAGACACACACAGACACACACAAGGTGCACACACACAGACACACACAGACACACACAAGGTGCACACACACAGACACACACAGACACACACAAGGTGCACATACACAGACACACACAGACACACACAAGGTGCACATACACAGACACACACACAAGGTGCACACACACAGACACACACAGACACACACAAGGTGGACACACACAGACACACAAGGTGGACACACACAGACACACACAAGGTGGACACACACAGACACACACAAGGTGCACACACACAGACACACACAAGGTGCACACACAAAGGCAGGAGGAACACGAGGAGTGGTGTGGGTGTAGGCGGGGGGGTTGACGGGTGGGGGCTCACGTTGTAGCTCTCGCGGGCCCAGTCAAGCCAGTGGTCCCGCTTGGGGAACTGTTTACCGCGGTGCCTGAACCGGTTGGAGATGGCGAACTATGGGGGTAGGGGGGCGATGGGGTAAGAGGGCGCGAGGGGGTGAGCAATGTGGAGGTCAGAATTGCTGACCCGCATCCTAACACACTGAGTGGTTATTGCGGTTGTTGTGGTGGTTATTACGATTGTTGGTGGTGGTGGTGGTTATAGTGGTGTGGTGGTGCTGTGGTGATTGTGGTCGTGGTTATATTGGTGATTGTGGCGGGTGTGGTGGTTGTGTTGATTATAGTTGTGGTTGTGGTAATAGTAGTAGTGGTGGTTGTGGTGGTGGTTAAAGTGATAATTTTGGTAGCTGTAGTGGTGGTTGTCTCACCCCAATGCAGCGCGACACTTCCAGCAGAATGTTCCCCTTGGGAGGAACTTTCTTGTACATCCCACTGCCTCCGATAAACACCACTGTGATCACATCACCGCCACCACCATCACCATCACTCTGTGTCCGATAGACACCACTGTGATCATATCATCATCCCATTGTCTCCGATAAACATCGTTGTGTTCGCATCACCACTATCAACGCAAGACGCCATTCGCCACTAAGTGGAAATGACGTCACCACGGCGCTTGTCCAAGGCCGATGCACTCCAAGGCCACGTGATAGGCTCTCTGATAGGTCACGGGACAGACCCAGGTGCCATGGGTTCACTGCTTGAGATTACCGACAGATGCACCACCTGTGCTACCCACTGTGCCAACTTGCTACATTTTAGCCGCCTGGCGCTCCGCTCGTTGTTGTGAGCGTCACTCCACTCTTCTGCCCTCCATTATGCTGGAGTGCGACTGCCTCTAACTGCCCAGCAGCGTCCTTCACGAGCCTCCTCCATAGAGGCCGATCTTGACACCGCTGGCATCGGTTATCAGTCAATCTCTTCTGTAGCCTGTGCCGCGCCCGTTTTGCTCTCCTCGCATGATAAGAGGCGCTCACCTATAGGACTTTCAACGATTTGTGAGCTCCTCACAATCCAGCCAAGTTAAACCCAGGATGAATCGTAGGCAGGCCAGCCTGAATTTTGTTAACTGGAGCAGGTGTCCCATTAGAGGGCTCCACGTTTCGCAAGCATAGAGAAGAGAGGGCATGACCATGACCGAGAAGACTCAAAGCTTCATGTGGAGCGACAGGCTAGGTAGCTTCCAGATAGCGTTACGCAGCCGATTAAAGGGTGCCATAACCACCACCATCACCGCCATCATTATCATCTCATTCCATCCGATTATCACCACTGCGATGACATTACCAAAATTATCGCCACCACCATCACCATTATTACTACTATCGTCACCAACATCTTTATCACCACTATCGCGACCATCATTATCACCACTATCACCACCATCACCATTATCACCACTATCGCCACCAACATCATTATCACCACCATCGCCACCAACATCATTATCACCACTATCGCCACCATCACCACCATCGCCACCATCACCATTATTACCACCACCATCATTATCACCACTATCGCCACCATCACCATCATCCCTACTATCACCATTATCACCACTATCACCACTATCGCCACCATCATCATTATCACCACCATCATCATTATCACCACTATTGCCACCATCACCATTATCACTACCATCACCATTATCGCCACCATCATCATTATCACCACCATCACCACTATCGCCACCATCATGATCACCACCATCGCCACCATCACCACCATCGCCACCATCACCATTATCACCACCACCATCATTATCACCACTATCGCCACCATCACCATCATCACCACTATCACCACCATCACCATTATCACCACCATCGCCACTATCACCACCATCACCATTATCACCACCATCACCATTATCGCCACCATCACCATTATTACCACTATCACCATCGCCACTATCGCCATAATCATCATTATCACCACTATCACCACCATCATCATTATCACCACTATCACCACCATCATCATAAGCACCACTATCACCACCATCACCATTATCACCACCATCATTATCAACACTATCACCACCATCATCATTATTACCACTATCACCACCATCATCATTATCACCACCATCACCACCATCATCATTATCACCACTATCACCACCATCATCATTATCACCACTATCACCACCATCATCATTATCACCACCATCATCATTATCACCACCATCACCACCATCATCATTATCACCACTATCACCACCATCATCATTATCACCACTATCGCCACCATCATCATTACCACCACTATTACCACCATCATCATCATCACCACCATCATCATCATCACCACCATCACCACCATCATTATCACCACTATCACCACCATCATCATTATCACCACTATCACCACCATCATCATTATCACCACCATCACCACCATCATCATTATCACCACCATCACCACCATCATCATTATCACCACTATCACCACCATCATCATTAGCACCACTATCACCACCATCATCATTATCACCACTATCACCACCATCATCATTAGCACCACCATCACCACCATCATCATTATCACCACCATCATCATCATCACCACCATCACCACAATCATCATTATCACCACCATCATCATTATCACCACCATCACCACCATCATCACCATCATCATTATCGCCACCAGGGACCCACCCAGCGCCACCACCATGAGCACTGCGGGAACTCCGAACGCCAGAGCGAAGCAGTCCTGGTTGAAACACTGCGTGCCTGGGACGCGGGGACATGGACAGGGGGACAGGGGACGTGGGGACACGGTGACAGGGGACGTGGGGATACGGAGACAGGGGGACACGAAACAGGGGAACAAGGGACAGGGGGAGACAGCGACAGGGAGAGACAGACGCTGATAAATAAGTTGTTATTTGGCAGGAGACTGCCCACGGCTAGACTCTCATCGCACTCGGTCGATTCGTCCGACGCTTGCGCTCGTTTGCAGTGCATTGCCTCGCTGAGTCTCAAGATTCGTTTTCAGGAGGGGTCATGCCGAATTTGTCGGCAGTGGAGGGGCGATGTTGGTGCTGCTGCTACGTGATCCTAGCGGAGTGATGTGCATGCGATTTGTCAGCATTCGGTTGTGGCTTGGCCAAGTTGAAGCACTGCTGCTTGAGTTGAAGCACTGCTGCTCGAGTTGAACCACTGCTGCTCGAGTTGAACCACTGCTGCTCGAGTTGAAGCACTGCTGCTCGAGTTGAACCACTGCTGCTCGAGTTGAAGCACTGCTGCTCGAGTTGAACCACTGCTGCTTGAGTTGAAGCACTGCTGCTCGAGTTGAAGCACTGCTGCTCGAGTTGAACCACTGCTGCTCGAGTTGAACCACTGCTGCTCGAGTTGAAGCACTGCTGCTCGAGTTGAAGCACTGCTGCTCGAGTTGAACCACTGCTGCTCGAGTTGAAGCACTGCTGCTCGAGTTGAACCACTGCTGCTTGAGTTGAAGCACTGCTGCTCGAGTTGAAGCACTGCTGCTCGAGTTGAACCACTGCTGCTCGAGTTGAACCACTGCTGCTCGAGTTGAAGCACTGCTGCTCGAGTTGAAGCACTGCTGCTCGAGTTGAAGCACTGCTGCTCGAGTTGAACCACTGCTGCTCGAGTTGAACCACTGCTGCTCGAGTTGAAGCACTGCTGCTCGTTCATGAGATTCCCTCCCCAGCAGCAGCAGCAGGAGGGACATGCGGCTGATGATGGGTTGATGACGATGGGGACTACACACGCCGCCTGTGTGGTCTACGTGGAGAGGTGCGGGCGTTCTCTGGGGAGGGAGGCTATCGGGGGATGTGTGGGAAGTGGCGGTGGTGGTGGTGAACTCGCACCTCGCAGGATCGGGGTCACGAAGGTGGAGATGAGGCTGCCCGCGTTGATGGACAGGTAGAAGATGGAGAAGAAGCGACTTCGCTCATTTTCCTGCTCTCACACACACAGAGACAAAGGCCGGTAGCACAGCACACTAAACAATGCACCACCGCTCCCCACAAACACACGTACAACAACCGCCATTCGCCACTAAGTGGCGGTGACGTCACCACGACGCTTGTGCCAGGCTATGTGCACCTTGAGGCCACGTGAAGTGTCGAACGCCCGCTGGCAGGAGGTCACGGGGCAGACCCAGGTGCCACGGGTCGACTGATTGAGATGAGTGGCTGATGCACCACCTGTGCCCCTTACTGTGCCAACTTGCTGGCACTTCGCTCGTTGTTGTGAGCGTCGCTCCTCCGCCCTCCGTTGTTGTTGGAGGGCGAATGCCTCCAACTGCCCAGTAGTGTCCTTCACGAGCCACCTCCACAGAGGCCGATTTTGACACCGCTGGTACCAGTCATCGGCAAGTCCACTCAGCTCCACATCCTCCTGTACTACATCACTCCATCTCTTCTCTAGCCCGTGCCGCGCCTGTTTAGCCCCCTCGATCTGGCTGAACAAAAGCTGTTTAGGCATGTGGTGACTGGGCATGCAGGCTACATGACCCAGTGTGCAGCCTTGCCTGCCGGCGGAGCTCACCGATGGGACCTTGCCCAGATCTTTCAAGGATTTGTGAGCTCCTCACACAATCCAGCCTGGTTAAACCCAGGATGGATCGTAGGCAGGCCAGCCAATTTTTTTCCAATTGGCGAAGATGCTCCATTAAGGGTCAGAGGTCAGATCTGCTCCACGGTAGGTCCTGGTGTCAAGGACATGGGCCGCATCCGCTGTTCCATCACTATGTAGTCCAGCAGATGTTCTTGCTTGGACCTGGCATGCATCCATGATGTTGTGTGGATGCGCCAATGCCAGAACAGCGTGTTGGTAATTACAAGCCCATGAGCTGCACAAAAATCTAGCAGCCTCCTACCGTTGTTATTGAGCTGATCTGGCCCATGCCTTCCAATCACCCCAGACCAGGTGCCAGCATCATGACCAACTCAGCCATTGAAGTCACCCAACAAGATGACTCTATCCCAAGGGGCCACTTTAGCTAGCACCTGTGACAGGAGGTCATAGAAGGCATCTGACTCAATGGCTTTGCTTGCTTCCCTCCACGGATGTTCATCTTTGGTTGGAGCATAAGTAACCACGACCACCACTCCTCATCTCCGATTGATGGGAAGGCGAGCCCAAAGTAGCCTGGGGCTTACAGCTTCCCACACCTCACCGCCACGCTCCCACGCCCCCTTCATTCTTTTGTTCAGAAGAAGAGCCACTCCCTATGTTTGGTAGTCTCCTGCCCTGAATAGAGGACTGTCCACCTCTCATGGTGGAAGGAGCCAGAACCGGTCCACCGCACCTCCTGAATACCACAGAGATCCAGGCGGTACTGTTCCAGCTCCCGACAGAGGAGTGGGAGCCTCTCCTCCGCAGTGAGCGTTCGAACATTCCACGTGGCCATCCGTAGTGGCTTTTTGTTGTTTCCGGAGGAGCCCCGAGGGTAAAGATTCAATCTCCTGGCTCTGCCAAATGGGTTTTGGCCAGGAGACGTCATAGACGCCTGGCCCTCTGGAGCCTCCGGCACAAGCTTATTAATTAGATATTTTTACATGGTTTTGTGGTAATTTATTGGAGGTGGAGGGGTTACCAGCCCCTCGCATCTGTCCAGAGCCCCCATTTAGCCGCTGTGGTGGTTAAAAACGCCCTGAGAGGGGGAAAGGCTAATCGGAATTGGCCCTCCCCACCACAGCACTGTCCATGACAACGTTGCCCGTCCGGCACCACGAGGAGGTAGGGGGTTGTTTTTGCCAGAACCATATACACACACAGACGCACATACACACACACACACATACCAAAGACAAAAATCCCCCATGTAGCCTTTACACGCCGTTACGGCAAGTGCTGTTAGCGAGCGGCACCTAAGAAGGTCGGCACGGCACACTGTGGAGTTGGGTGGGCCGTCTTTGTCTCCCCAGTGGCGATGTTTACTACACACCGCAGCGGGATAATAATGTAATGCCGAGTCGACCTAGGGGAGGCCCGAGACCTGTTTAGACGTATCACCGATATTGGCCGCAAGCATGGGATCAAACTTGGGCCGCCGATCGGAAGCGCGGAGCGCCGACCACTGGGCCACCGCTCCCCACGCTCACAGAGCGGCCACGTGGTGGCAGCGCAATCGCCGCTCATTGCTAAAGGTTCGTGGTTACCGGCCGCCATGGTAAATACTGTGGTTGTAATAACCGTAATAAATAATAAACACTACGAGCCACCTGCATCGCAGGGGAGGTTAAAATAATCCCGTGACCACGTGCGGAAGAGTGGGTGACTGTGTGCCGGAGGGGGGAGGGGAGGGAGGGAGGGGTGGGGGATAATGGGTGGTGAGGGGGGCCCTGGTGACCCCCACCTGCTCCTCCTCGAACTGGTCTCCCCCGAAGGCGGCGACGCACGGCTTGATCCCCCCGGTGCCCAGCGCGATGAGGATCAGGCCCAGGATGGTGAGGGCACTGCCAACACAACCACAGCGCCACCCATCACCATTTCACTACCACAACCCTGGTGGTGAGTGTGTGGTAGAGGGGGGTCCTGGTGGTAAGTGTGCGTTAGAGGGGGGGACCTGGTGGTGAGTGTGTGTTAGAGGGGGGTCCTGGTGGTGAGTGTGTGTTAGAGGGGGGTCCTGGTGGTGAGTGTGTGTTAGAGGGGGGTCCTGGTGGTGAGTGTGTGTTAGAGGGGGGTCCTGGTGGTGAGTGTGTGTTAGAGGGGGTCCTGGTGGTGAGTGTGTGTTAGAGGGGGGTCCTGGTGGTGAGTGTGTGTTAGAGGGGGGTCCTGGTGGTGAGTGTGTGTTAGAGGGGGTCCTGGTGGTGAGTGTGTGTTAGAGGGGGGTTCTGGTGGTGAGTGTGTGTTAGAGGGGGTCCTGGTGGTGAGTGTGTGTTAGAGGGGGGTCCTGGTGGTGAGTGATGTGTTAGAGGGGGGTCCTGGTGGTGAGTGTGTGTTAGAGGGGGTCCTGGTGGTGAGTGTGTGTTAGAGGGGGGTCCTGGTGGTGAGTGTGTGTTAGAGGGGGTCCTGGTGGTGAGTGTGTGTTAGAGGGGGGTCCTGGTGGTGAGTGTGTGTTAGAGGGGGGTCCTGGTGGTGAGTGTGTGTTAGAGGGGGGTCCTGGTGGTGAGTGTGTGTTAGAGGGGGGTCCTGGTGGTGAGTGTGTGTTAGAGGGGGTCCTGGTGGTGAGAGTGTGTTAGAGGGGGGTCCTGGTGGCGAGTGTGTGTTAGAGGGGGGTCCTGGTGGTGAGTGTGTGTTAGAGGGGGGTCCTGGTGGTGAGTGTGTGTTAGGGGGGGGGTCCTGGTGGTGAGTGTGTGTTAGAGGGGGGTCCTGGTGGTGAGTGTGTATTAGGGGGGGGGGGTCCTGGTGGTGAGTGTGTGTTAGAGGGGGGTCCTGGTGGTGAGTGTGTGTTAGAGGGGGGTCCTGGTGGTGAGTGTGTGTTAGGGGGGGGTCCTGGTGGTGAGTGTGTGTTAGAGGGGGGTCCTGGTGGTGAGTGTGTGTTAGAGGGGGGTCCTGGTGGTGAGTGTGTGTTAGAGGGGGTCCTGGTGGTGAGTGTGTGTTAGAGGGGGGTCCTGGTGGTGAGTGTGAGTTAGAGGGGGGTCCTGGTGGTGAGTGTGTGTTAGGGGGGGGTCCTGGTGGTGAGTGTGTGTTAGAGGGGGGTCCTGGTGGTGAGTGTGTGTTAGGGGGGGGTCCTGGTAGTGAGTGTGTGTTAGGGGGGGGTCCTGGTGGTGAGTGTGTGTTAGAGGGGGTCCTGGTGGTGAGTGTGTGTTAGGGGGGGGGGTTCTGGTGGTGAGTGTGTGTTAGGGGGGGGTCCTGGTGGTGAGTGTGTGTTAGGGGGGGTCCTGGTGGTGAGTGTGTGTTAGAGGGGGGTCCTGGTGGTGAGTGTGTGTTAGGGGGGGGGTCCTGGTGGTGAGTGTGTGTTAGGGGGGGGGGGTCCTGGTGGTGAGTGTGTGTTAGGGGGGGTCCTGGTGGTGAGTGTGTGTTAGAGGGGGGTTCTGGTGGTGAGTGTGTGTTAGAGGGGGGTCCTGGTGGTGAGTGTGTGTTAGAGGGGGGGTCCTGGTGGTGAGTGTGTGTTAGAGGGGGGTCCTGGTGGTGAGTGTGTGTTAGGGGGGGGTCCTGGTGGTGAGTGTGTGTTAGAGGGGGGTCCTGGTGGTGAGTGTGTATTAGGGGGGGGGTCCTGGTGGTGAGTGTGTGTTAGAGGGGGGTCCTGGTGGTGAGTGTGTGTTAGAGGGGGGTCCTGGTGGTGAGTGTGTGTTAGGGGGGGGGTCCTGGTGGTGAGTGTGTGTTAGAGGGGGGTCCTGGTGGTGAGTGTGTGTTAGAGGGGGGTCCTGGTGGTGAGTGTGTGTTAGAGGGGGTCCTGGTGGTGAGTGTGTGTTAGAGGGGGGTCCTGGTGGTGAGTGTGAGTTAGAGGGGGGTCCTGGTGGTGAGTGTGTGTTAGGGGGGGGGTCCTGGTGGTGAGTGTGTGTTAGAGGGGGGTCCTGGTGGTGAGTGTGTGTTAGGGGGGGGGTCCTGGTAGTGAGTGTGTGTTAGGGGGGGGTCCTGGTGGTGAGTGTGTGTTAGAGGGGGTCCTGGTGGTGAGTGTGTGTTAGGGGGGGGGGGTTCTGGTGGTGAGTGTGTGTTAGGGGGGGGTCCTGGTGGTGAGTGTGTGTTAGGGGGGGTCCTGGTGGTGAGTGTGTGTTAGAGGGGGGTCCTGGTGGTGAGTGTGTGTTAGGGGGGGGGGGACTGGTGGTGAGTGTGTGTTAGGGGGGGGGGTCCTGGTGGTGAGTGTGTGTTAGGGGGGGTCCTGGTGGTGAGTGTGTGTTAGAGGGGGGTTCTGGTGGTGAGTGTGTGGTAGAGGGGGGTCCTGGTGGTGAGTGTGTGTTAGAGGGGGGGTCCTGGTGGTGAGTGTGTGTTAGAGGGGGGTCCTGGTGGTGAGTGTGTGTTAGGGGGGGGTCCTGGTGGTGAGTGTGTGTTAGGGGGGGTCCTGGTGGTGAGTGTGTGTTAGAGGGGGGTCCTGGTGGTGAGTGTGTGTTAGGGGGGTCCTGGTGGTGAATGTGTGTTAGAGGGGGGTCCTGGTGGTGAGTGTGTGTTAGGGGAGGTCCTGGTGGTGAGTGTGTGTTAGGGGGGGGGGTCCTGGTGGTGAGTGTGTGTTAGAGGGGGGTCCTGGTGGTGAGTGTGTGTTAGAGGGGGGGGGGGTCCTGGTGGTGAGTGTGTGTTAGAGGGGGGGGGTCCTGGTGGTGAGTGTGTGTTAGAGTGGGGGGGGTCCTGGTGGTGAGTGTGTATTAGAGGGGGGTCCTGGTGGTGAGTGTGTGTTAGAGGGGGGTCCTGGTGGTGAGTGTGTGTTAGAGGGGGGGGGGTCCTGGTGGTGAGTGTGTGTTAGAGGGGGGGGTGCTGGTGGTGAGTGTGTGTTAGAGGGGGGGGTCCTGGTGGTGAGTGTGTGTTGGGGGGGCAGGGCCCTGGCAGTGAGTGTGTGTTGGGGGGTGAGGGCCCTGGCAGTGAGTGTGTGTTGGGGGGGGGCAGGGCCCTGGCAGTGAGTGTGTGTTGGGTGGGCAGGGCTCTGGCAGTGAGTGTGTGTTGGGGGGGGGGCAGGGCCCTGGCAGTGAGTGTGTGTTGGGGGGGGGGCAGGGCCCTGGCAGTGAGTGTGTGTTGGGGGGGGGCAGGGCCCTGGCAGTGTGTGTTGGGGGGGGGCAGGGCCCTGGCAGTGAGTGTGTGTTGGGGGGGGGCAGGGCCCTGGCAGTGAGTGTGTGTTGGGGGGGGCAGGGCCCTGGCAGTGAGTGTGTGTTGGGGGGGGGCAGGGCCCTGGCAGTGAGTGTGTGTTGGGGGGGGGCAGGGCCCTGGCAGTGAGTGTGTGTTGGGGGGGGGCAGGGCCCTGGCAGTGAGTGTGTGTTGGGGGGGGGCAGGGCCCTGGCAGTGAGTGTGTGTTGGGGGGGGGCAGGGCCCTGGCAGTGAGTGTGTGTTGGGGGGGGGCAGGGCCCTGGCAGTGAGTGTGTGTTTTAGTAGTGGGGGAGCTCGCGTGGCTCACACGTGGACCGTGGGGTCATTGACCGCCATCCCGGCTGCTGCGTCCCCCTCCTCGAAGTGGGCGCTGGCATTGATGGGGCCGCTGAGCGTGGGGATGGCGCTCACGGATGTCACGATCTGCCCCGCTGCGTACACGATGGACAGGTAGATGATGGTCCTGGGGGGCACGGCGTGGTCGGGGGGGGGGGGGGGAGCACACACAATAGACAAGGTGTTGGGACACGAGGGGAGAGGAGCGATCTGGGAGAGGGGAGAGAAGTGATCTGTGAGAGGGGAGAGGAGCGATCTGGGAGAGGGGAGAGGAGCGATGTGGGGAGAGGGGAGAGGAGCGATCTGGGAGAGGGGAGAGGAGCGATCTGGGGAGAGGAGCGAGGAGCGATGTGGGGAGAGGGGAGAGGAGCGATCTGGGGAGAGGAGCGAGGAGCGATGTGGGGAGAGGGGAGAGGAGCGATTTGGGGAGAGGGGAGAGGAACGATGTGGGGAGAGGAGCGAGGAGCGATGTGGGAAGAGGGGAGAGAAGCGATCTGGGAGAGGGGAGAGAAGTGATCTGGGAGAGGGGCGAGGAGCGATGTGGGGAGAGAAGTGATCTGGGGAGAGGAGCGAGGAGTGATCCGTGGGTTGAGGGTGAGAGGTGCGTTTGGGGAGTGCCACGCACTTGAACTTTCCGAGCCAGGAGTCGGCGATGATGGCGCCGATGATGGGCGTGAAGTAGCACAGGCTGATGAAGGCGTGGTATGCCGCAGTCGAGGTGTTCTCGCTCCACAGCAGGAAGTAGTTGAAGTAGATGACGAGCACAGCTGCACACAGCACCACGACGCGTCGCACGCGCACGTGAGACGCACATCTCGCACGGCAGGCAAGCACAGCTCACACAGACAGGTTGGTGTGGCACCTATGGGCATGTGAGTGTGGCTCACACTGACAGGTGAGTGCGGCTCGCATGTTCAAGCGAGTGCAACTCACACAGACATGTGAGTGCAGCACAGACAGGTGAGTGCAGCTCATACAAACAGGTAAGGCTTACACAGCTAAGTGCAGCTCACACACAGGTGAGTGCAGCTCACACAGACAGATGTGCACGGCTCGCACAGGCAGGTCTCACCGCGCATGCCATAGTAGGAGAACCTCTCGCAGAACTCGTTCACCACCACGAATCCGATGCTGATCGGGTAGCCCGTACCGCAGCACATCTGCGTGAACGTGGACAGGTACACACACGTGTGAACAACAACAATAACCACTCGTAATAAAGGTTCTTGGGTTAGATCGCATAAGTATAAATGTGTCAAAACCCTCCACCACCCGACACGGCCAATCAGTGAGGGATTTGTCACGTAAACAAAATGCCACTTCAGCCCACCGGTGTGTTGAAGAGTGAATCCACAACATTTACAATCCGAGTACGACGTTTCGCTGGTAATTACATCGGGCGCTGATTGGGCGATGATGCTGGCTAGCACGTTGCGCGAGGGGCTGATGTGGCCACCACCACGCCTGGCCGCCTTTGTCTCCCCAGTGGTGATGTATACACACCGCAACAGGTACTCATTTCACCGGTTCAGATAATTGTCACTGGTGTTGGCCATGAGCCGGAAGCACAACGCATTAACCGCTACCACTCCCCAGACAATTGCTGTTGGCGAGCACTTCGGCCAGCACGGCACCCGAGGAGGTGGGAGCTCTCGTGGAGGGGGGAGGAAGAGGGGGGGGGGCTAGAGGGGGAGGCGGCGTTACCTTGACTCCTGGCGCAACGCCCCCATCCTCCCGTACACTCCCTGCAGGGACACGGGGACATGGGGTCATGGAGACACGGGGTCATGGAGACACGGGGTGATGGAGACACGGGGTCATGGAGACACGGGGTGATGGAGACACGGGGTCAGGGAGACACGGGGTGATGGAGACACGGAGACACGGGGTCAGGGATACACGGAGACACGGGGTCAGGGGGACATTAGGTCATGGAGACACGGGATCATGGAGACACGGGGTCAGGGGGACATGGGGTCATGGAGACACGGGGTGATGGAGACACGGAGACACGGGGTCAGGGAGACACGGAGACACGGGGTCAGGGGGACATTAGGTCATGGAGACACGGGGTCAAAAAGACACGGGGTCAGGGGGACACGGGGTCAGGGGGGCACGGGGTCAGGGGGACACGGTGTCAGGGGGACACGGGGTCAGGGAGCCACTGGCTCAGTGAGACACGGGGTCAGGGGGACACGGGGTCAGGGGGACACGGGGTCAGGGGGACACGGGGTCAGGGGGACACGGGGTCAGAGAGGCACGGGGTCAGGGGGACACGGGGTCAGGGGGACACGGGGTCAGGGGGACACGGGGTCAGAGAGGCACGGGGTCAGGGGGACACGGGGTCAGAGAGGCACGGGGTCAGGGGGACACGGGGTCAGGGGGGCACGGGGTCAGGGGGACACAGGGTCACGGGGTCAGGGAGACACGGGGTCAGGGGGACACGGGGTCATGGAGACACGGGATCAGGGGGACACGGGGTCAGGGGGACACGGGGTCACGGGGTCAGGGAGACACGGGGTCAGGGGGACACGGGGTCAGGGAGACACGGGGTCAGGGGGACACGGGGTCACGGGGTCAGGGAGACACGGGGTCAGGGGGACACGGGGTCAGGGAGACACGGGGTCAGGGAGACACGGGGTCAGGGGGACACGGGGTCAGGGAGACACGGGGTCAGGGAGACACGGGGTCAGGGGGACACGGGGTCACGGGGTCAGGGGGACACGGGGACAATGAGGCACGTTCATGTCCACCGTCAGTCGTTTTCGTCTTTCTTATATGGGACCTTGACGCCCAACTGATGAGGCACTGAAAGTGGAATCTCTCCGCACAGCTCAGGGTAATGTCGACAAGGGGGGGAGGGGGTATGACCTCCACCCCCTTTTGTCATCGCCTCCTCATTACGGAGAAGTTTAATTAAGGCTATTGGCGCAGCCTTCGTCTTCCACCCCCTCCATCCCCTCCTCACAACGCCCCTCCCTGCACCCACAGCCGGGATCGCCGGATTGTAAGACGCTCCGGAGACTAAGACGCAGTCCTCACCCACTCCTCACCCACTCCTCACCACCCTACTGCTCACCCACTCCACACCCACTCCACGCCCACTCCACGCCCACTCCTCACCTCCACACTCCTCACCCACTCCTCACCCACTCCTCACCACACCATTGCTCACCCACTCCTCACCTCCCCACTCCTCACCTCCACACTCCTCACCTCCACACTCCTCACCTCCACACTCCTCACCTTCCCGCATCGCTCACCTCCTCACGTCCCTTACCTCCTCACTCACCTCTGCGCTGACCTCTCCTCTTACCTCCCCACATCCCTTACCTCCACGCGTTCCTCACCTCCTTCACTACCACCCCACTCTTCACGTCCCTCACCTCCCTCACCTCCCCATTCACCTCCCCACTCCTCACCTCCCCACTCCTCACCTCCCTGTCCCTCACCTCCCCACTCCTCACCACACTCCTCACCTCCCCACTCCTCACTTCCCTGTCCCTCACCTCCCCACTCCTCACCACAATCCTCACCTCCCCACTCCTCACCTCCCTATCCCTCACCTCCCCACTCCTCACCACACTCCTCACCTCTCCACTCCTCACTTCCCTGTCCCTCACCTCCCCACTCCTCACCACACTCCTCACCTCCCTACTCCTCACCTCCCTATCCCTCACCTCCACACTCTTCACCTCCACACTCCTCACCTCCCTGTCCCTCACCTCCCCACTCCTCACCAACCCACTCCTCACCTCCACATTCACCTCACCACTCCTCACCTCCACATCCCTCACCTCCACACCCCTCACCTCCCCACTCCTCACCAACCCACTCCTCACCAACCCACCCCTCGCCTCCATACCCCTCACCTCCACACCTCTCACCTCCCCACTCCTCACCAACCCACTCCTCACCTCCACATTCACCTCCACACTCCTCACCTCCACACTCCTCACCTCCACACTCCTCACCTCCACACTCCTCACCTCCACACTCCTCACCTCTCCACTCACCTCCCCATGTTCCTCACCTTCCCACATATCTTACCTCCCACATTCCTCACCTCTCCACTCCTCACCTCCCCACTCCTCACCACCCCGCGTCCCTCATCTCCCCACTCCTCACATCCCCACTCCTCACCTCGACGCATCGCTCACCTCCCCACGTCCCTCATCTCCCCACTCCTCACCTCCCCACGTCCCTCACCTCCCCACTCCTCACCTCCCCGCGTCCCTCACCTCCCCGCATCCCTCACCTCCCCATTCCTCACCTCCCCACTCACCTCCCCACTCCTCACCTCCCCACGTCCCTCATCTCCCCACTCCTCACCACCCCGCGTCCCTCATCTCCCCATTCCTCACCTCCCCACTCCTCACCTCCCCACTCCTCACCTCCCCACGTCCCTCACCTCCCCACTCCTCACCTCCCCGCATCCCTCACCTCCCCCCCCACTCCTCACCGCGTCCCTTGCAGATCATCACCAGACACGGCCTCCGCCACTCAGCTCTCTAAGCCTTCACCTGTGTACTGACACCACAGGTGAGCTCATGAAGTGAGGCGACACAGGGGACACTTGCACAGGTGAGTTTAACAAAGCTGAGCTGCTCACCTGCGTCCGATGGCTGCTTCTTTTTTCCCATGGTGCCGCTAATCCGGCAAAGTGGTCACTTGAGTGGAGCGGAGGACGGAGATGACTTCAGCTGCCGCAGACAGCAGAAGTGATCTCCCCTTCGCTCGAGCGCCCATAAAACCCGCCCCGCTCCTCCTCCTCCTCCCCGCTGACTCACCCCAGCTACCTGCTGCCCTGGATGTTATCTCTGTTGGTTGTGACTGCCCTCCCTACTTCCGCGTGCAGCAGTGGTGAAGATGCTCAGCGCTGGTGTCCAGGGTGAAGTAGCGCAGCCCACAGGGTGAGGTGGTGCAGCCCGCAGGGTGAGGTAGTGCAGCCCACAGGGTGAGGTGGCGCAGCCCACAGGGTGAGGTAGTGCAGTCCCCAGGGTGAGGTAGTGCAGCCCGCAGGGTGAGGTAGTGCAGCCCACAGGGTGAGGTAGTGCAGTCCCCAGGGTGAGGTAGTGCAGCCCGCAGGGTGAGGTAGTGCAGCCCACAGGGTGAGGTAGTGCAGCCCGCAGGGTGAGGTAGTGCAGCCCGCAGGGTGAGGTAGCGCAGCCCGCAGGGTGAGGTAGTGCAGCCCACAGGGTGAGGTAGTGCAGCCCGCAGGGTGAGATAGTGCAGCCCACAGGGTGAGGTAGTGCAGCCCACAGGGTGAGGTGGTGCAGCCCACAGGGTGAGGTAGTGCAGCCCACAGGGTGAGGTAGTGCAGCCCACAGGGTGAGGTGGTGTAGCCCACAGGGTGAGATAGTGCAGCCCACAGGGTGAGGTAGTGCAGCCCACAGGGTGAGGTAGCGCAGCCCACAGGGTTAGGTAGTGCAGCCCACAGGGTGAGGTGGTGCAGCCCACAGGGTGAGGTGGTGCAGCCCACAGGGTGAGGTAGTGCAGTCCCCAAGGTGCTGGGGTTGTCAATCGCCACCCAAGGCCACCTTGCTCCAAACCTCATCGATTGTGGTCAAGCAGCTTAAACTATGGGCCGTGTAGGTGATGTCACCACAGCGCTTGTGCCAGGCTAGGTGCACTCCGAGGCCACGTGAACTGTTGAAGGCTCGCTTATGCCATGAGTTGACCGCCTAAGATGACTGGCAGATGCACCAGCTGTACCCCTTACTGTGCCAACTCGCTGTGTTTTAGCCGCTCTGCGCTCTGCTCGTTGTGAGCGTCGCTTCTCTGCCCTCCGCTGTTGTTGTGGCGTCCTTCACGAGTCTCCTCCATAGAGACCGATCTTAACACCACCATCTCTTCTCCAGTTCGTGTCCCCTCTATCTGGCCAAACGGAAGCTGCTTGGGCATGCAGTGGCTGGGCATGCGAGCTACATGACCCAGCCAATGCAGGCTTGCCTGCCGGAGGGGCTTACTGATGAGACTTTGTCCAGATTTTTCAAGGATGTGTGAGCTCCTCACACAACCCAGCATAGTTAAAACCAGGATGTATCGTAGGCAGACCAGCCTGAATGTGTATAAACTGCGAAGATGTTTCATTCGGGGGATCCACGTTTCGCAAGCATAGAGAAGAGTGGATATGCCTATGGCTGAGAAGACCCAAAGATTCGTGTGGAGCAACAGACAAGGGTATCTTCCACACAGCATCACGCAGCCGATGAAAAGGTAATGCTGCTGGACTGATTCGGAGTGAAACCTCTGCTGTCAAACCAGAACTGGTCATAAGCACACTGCCCCGGTATGGAAAACTCTCCATTCTCTCCACAACTGCTCCACCACCAATGGAGGGAGTGGAGTGTTTGATGGCAAAAAATATCCAGGCAGGTGCTTAGTTTTGGTGGGGCCAATGGTAAAGCCCCACCTCTTAGTGGCATGCTCCTGGTTCAGTAGTAGCGCCTCAAACTCTCTGTGAGCAGCAATCAAAGGATCATCAGCATGTATAACATGGTTGACCTATAGGGAGCCATCCCTCGACAAAACCCGGACGTCGATCAGCTCTCATCGTATCTCTACCAGAAGGAAATTCCTCCAATACAGCCATGGAAAGGTTCTCGAACTATGTGGTCAAAGATGATGTTAAATGTGGGAGCTAGAAGACATTCCTGTCGCAACCCAATGTGAAGAGGGAATTACTGACTCCTGGCCACGTAGCTTTACCCAGGCCTGCCAACCATCATGAAGGCCCTTAATGATTGTGAGCAGAAAGTCAGGGACTCCGAAAGTACGAAGTACAGCCCAGAGGCCTGGCCTGTTGATGGTATGATTGGCCTTGACCAGGTCAATAAAGCAGATGTAGGTCTTGTTCGAATTCCCTACACCCCTGCTGTAGCAATAGGACATAATATTCCATCGAGGCTCCAAAAGTCTCTACTCAGCGTGCCTGGCAAGGCGATATTGAATAATCCTTGTTAGGACCGTTCCCGGCATACTGAGGACAAAGATGCCCCCCAATAGTTGATACAAACTGTGCGGTCCCGCTGATTGTAACAGGGCATCCTTCCAATCCTGCAGACCCCGTCCTGTGGCCGACAGTTGTGATGTCATGTTGGGTTGTCTGCACACAGATGCCACCCTCCCTCAGCATTTCACTTGGGAGATTCTCTGCCCAGTGCTTTTCCTGGTCTGATACTCTGGATCGCTCCTCGTACTTCCTCCACAGATGACACCTCAGCCAACCACTCACAGGGGTTGGATACTTCTGCCAATGAGGCACAGCAGCCCCAGCGGCGACATCCCCACCTTGCCCATGATGTTGTGTGTGCTAAGGGAATTCCCCTCCCCCAAGACGTCATAGAAATGCTCTGCAAACCTGCAGAAGAGTTTCTGGGAGTCGGGAGATTGGATCACCATTCTTTCACCTTAATGATGATGATAGGTGAGGTGCTGCAAGTTATTTTGATGGTATTAAATAGATATTTGTGATTGTGGGCTACCAAGGCAAATCAATTTCCTCAGTATCCTGCGCCCCACACTCATCCTGGCTTTCCATACCTCCGAGCTCAGACTGTGGTAAGCCTCCTCATTCTCCGATGCTTGATGTTGTATATGACGGGAGTGGGCCTGTTGTTTTCTTTCAACTAGTCAGAACACCTCATCCTTCAGCCAGTGTCTCTGGAGAGGTATGGACTGCATACCCAATGCAGCTATTATAGCTGCATGAGCCAAAGTCCTGAACCTCACCCATTTCCCCTCAGCATCAGGAGGGGCGGGGTGAGGGCGGCGATGATATAAACCTCAGCTGCAAGCGATGTTGAAATTCCTGATTGCAACTATACTCGGCAAGCTGAAACCAGGCTGATGTGGGTTTGAGTGGAGTTCTAAATGGGCAGCGCATCTGATGTTCTGTCACTGTATAGGCCAGCAGATAGTCTTGCTGGGACCCGGCGTGCATCCATGTTGTGTGGATGCGCCGATGCCCGAACAGCGTGTTGGTGATTACAAACCCATGGGCTGTTATTGAGCTGATCTGGCCCATGCCTTCCAATGACTCCAGCTCAGGTGTCTGTGTCATAACCCACTTAGGCATTCAAGTCACCCAACAGGATGACTCGATCTGGAGGACGAGGGCCACTTTAGCCAGCACCTGGGACACGAGGTCATAGAAGGCGTCTGACCTATTGGCCTTATTGCATTCCCATCTTCGGTGGGGGCGTAAGCAACCACCACCGCCATTCCTCGCATCTTGCTGATGGGGAGGGGAGCCCACAACAGCCCGGAACTTACAGCTTCCCACACCTCACCGCTATGCTCCCACACCCCTTCATTCATTTGTTCAAAAGCAATGCCACTCCCTTATGTTTGGCAGTTTCCTGGCCCAAGTGGAGAACTGTCCACTCCTCATGTTGACTGGAGCTAGAACCGGTCCACTAGACCTCCTGTATTCCCCAGAGGTGCAGGCAGTACCTGTCCATATCCCTTAAGAATGGCAGCCTCTCCTCTGCAACGAGAGTCCGAACATTCCACTTGGCTAATCGCCGGAGTCTTCTGTTCCTGGAGGAACCTCGAGAGGGGTGGGTGGGGGGAGTTCAGTTTGGCTCTGCCAAATGAGAGTTTGTGGTATAGGCTGTGTAATTGGTGTGGGCTGTGTGTGTGAGTGGGGGGTATGAAGTAAGGTTAGTGTGTGCGAGGGGCTGATAACCCCTCCACCTGCCATTTCCTTTACCAATCACCACAGTGGACACGCTGAAATAAACTCGTGTCGTGAACCCATAGAGCCAGAGGCACAAAGGGACACAGAGACCCATCGAGATATACTAAAGACAGCCAGGGTAGAGCAGCTGTGGACATGCAACCTAAACTACGGACCGCACAGTAAACCCACTGTGGTCTGCGCTCCTTCAGAGGAGGAACAGCAAATCTCCACGAAGCCTCTCTGCTGAAGCCCTCTCGTGGTGAGCAGCAGCAGCAGCAGAACCTCAACATTGGCTGCTGCTGCTGCGTTCACTTCAACGAGCCGACCGGGCCGCGGTTCCAGGACCCTCCGTGCCGGCTGAGCAACTCTATCTGAAGACGCGCACCCGAGGTTCTCACCTGGTTTATGCAAAGTAAAGTTCATATCTTCTACAACTCTCCATTCCCGGACAGGATGAGATCGCCTTACTCCATGACAACCGTCACTGCTCCCCCTGTGGTGGAGGTCTGGGAAGAACGGAGCTCTCTCTTTTCATTCCCTCTCTCTTCGCGGATTCCAACCGTGTCACCCCAAGCGATTTCTGCGCCGGCCTCCGTCTCCAGCTGGTCGAGGTTTTGATTCAGACTCACGCAGAGACCTACAGACTTACACAGAGACCCATAGACTCCTACGAAGACCCAGTCTCTCAGACACACAATTGATGGTGGGTGGGGCTGCTTGACCATACTTCACCAAGCCAGCCAGTGGGGGCTGGGGAAGGGGATGGGTGTGTGGTGTCAGCGCTCTGGGCTGGGTCTCCAGCGTCACCGCCACGGGTTGTGGGGCCCACGCGGCCCCCCGCACCCCGGGGCCCACGCGGCCCCCCGCACCCCGGGGCCCACGTGACCCCCCGCACTCTGGCCCTGGCCCAGCAGTGCCACTACGCGGCTCTCGTGACCACCACCTTTATTGATTGCATTGTCACGGAGACACATTTAAAATCAACAACAACCACAACAACAACCACCACAATAATAGTAATAAAGGATTCATTATCGACTGTTTGGTTTGGGCCACGGAGTGATCTGAACAAATTTGTTTCATGGGACCCTCCACCACCCGACACAGGCGTGTGACGGTGTGCCAATTGTGATCATGACAGCCTCGCTCACCCGGTGAGTTAGAAGCGATGCTCACCATGAGATTGAGCAGTGCTCTCTCACGCTCACATCCACACTCACCAGGTGAGTAAGAAAGTGATGCTCACCATGAGATTGAGCAGTGCTCTCTCACTCTCGTATCCATTGTCCTCCCCCACCCCCGCACCTCTGATTAGTACGGTTGGCTACATACGGTGCGAAAAAAGTTCAACATGCACACATACATATACACACAAAAACAAAGTCAAATATTCGCCAGTATAGCCTTAAGAGACTGTTGGTGCAAGTGCTGTTAGCAAGAATCTATGAAGGCCGGCACGGCACATGAGGGGGTGGGTGGCCAGCACCACGCCCGGCCGCCTTTGTCTCCCCAGTGGCAATGTTTTCACACATCGCACCAGGTACTCATTCGAGGCTGAGGCGACCTAGGGGAGGCTCAGGACCCATTCAGATAATCGTCACTGGTGTTGGCCGTGAGCGGGAATCAAACTCGAGTCACCGATTTCGTAGCACAGCACGATAACCGCTGCACTACTGCTCCCCACACACACATACACATGTAAAAAAGATAAAGATCCCCCATATAGCCTTAACAGACTGTAGCGGCAAGTGCTGTTAGCGAGCACCTATGAAGGCCGGAATGGTACACGAGGGAGTGGGTGGCCAGCACCACGCCGGACCGCCTTTGTCTCCCCAGTGGCAATGTTTACACACCGCACCAGGTACTCATTTGAGGCTGAGTCGACCTAGGGGAGGCCCGGGACCGGTTCAGATAATCGTCACTGGTGTTGGCCGTGAGCGGGAATCGAACCCGGATCGCCAGGTTCATAGCGCAGCACGCTAACCGCTACACTATCGCTCCCCAGCACATACATGTATCACACACACATATACACACATACACACACACACACATATACACACACATACACACACACACATACACACACATAGACACACACATATACACACATACACACACACACGCACATACACACACATACATATACACACATACACACACATATACACACATACACACATACATACATACACACACATACACACATACATACATACACACACATACATACACACACATACATACACACAAGACGTGTTCGGATCGTTGCGTGGCCCGAGCCAAACGTCGTTTTGGCTGCGGGAGGCTCCGCATTAAATAAAAATTCCATGAACATCCACCCCCACCCGGGCGCGGCGGCGCTATGTACAGTGACCCGTTACACGGGGCGCATCCACGCACCCCCCTTCCGCCGCTCCCTCGGCGACCCGGCAACCCCTTGCCATGCGGCAGCCGCTACGGCGCCGCCATCGCAATCCCACCGCTACAGACACGGCCGCCGCAGAACCCTCCTATAGACACAAGGCCAATATAAATAAAATAGTCTTAGGCACGGCCATTATGAACAACTACTCGAGATGTGGCCATTATGAACCCTCATTAGCCGCATGACCATGATGATCGATGACGCGAGACTCGGCCATTGTGAATCCGTGCGGACAGAGACACGGTCACTGTGAACCCGTACAGGACAGAGACACGGTCACTGTGAACCCGTACGGGACAGAGACACGGTCACTGTGAACCTGTACAAGACAGAGACACGGTCACTGTGAACCCGTACAGGACAGAGACACGGTCACTGTGAACCCGTACAGAACAGAGACACGGTCACTGTGAACCCGTACAGGACAGAGACACGGTCACTGTGAACCCCGTACAGGACAGAGACACGGTCACTGTGAACCCATACAGGACAGAGACACGGTCACTGTGAACCCGTACGGGACAGAGACATGGCCACTGTGAACCTGTACAGGACAGAGACACAGTCACTGTGAACCCGTACGGGACAGAGACATGGCCACTGTGAACCTGTACAGGACAGAGACACGGTCACTGTGAACCCGTACAGGACAGAGACACGGTCACTGTGAACCTGTACGGGACAGAGACACGGTCACTGTGAACCCGTACAGGACAGAGACACGGTCACTGTGAACCCATACAAGACAGAGACATGGTCACTGTGAACCCGTACGGGACAGAGACACGGTCACTGTGAAACCGTACAGGACAGAGACACGGTCACTGTGAACCCGTACAGGACAGAGATACGGCCATTGTGAATCCGTGCGGACAGAGACACGGTCACTGTGAACCCGTACAGGACAGAGACACGGCCACTGTGAATCCGTGCGGACAGAGACACGGTCACTGTGAACCCGTACAGGACAGAGACACGGTCACTGTGAACCCGTACAGGACAGAGACACGGTCACTGTGAACCCGTACAGGACAGAGACACGGTCACTGTGAACCCGAACAGGCACAGAGACACGGTCACTGTGAACCCGTATGGGACAGAGACACGGTCACTGTGAACCCATACAGGACAGAGACACGGGCACTGTGAACCCGTATGGGACAGAGACACGGCCACTGTGAACCCGCACAGGACAGAGACACGGTCACTGTGAACCCGTATGGGAGAGAGACACGGCCACTGTGAACCCGTACAGGACAGAGACACGGTCACTGTGAACCCGTATGGGACAGAGACACGGTGAGTGTGAACCCGTACAGGACAGAGACACGGTCACTGTGAACCCGTACAGGACAGAGACACGGTCACTGTGAACCCGTACAGGACAGAGACACGGTCACTGTGAACCCGAACAGGCACAGAGACACGGTCACTGTGAACCCGTATGGGACAGAGACACGGTCACTGTGAACCCATACAGGACAGAGACACGGGCACTGTGAACCCGTATGGGACAGAGACACGGCCACTGTGAACCCGCACAGGACAGAGACACGGTCACTGTGAACCCGTATGGGAGAGAGACACGGCCACTGTGAACCCGTACAGGACAGAGACACGGTCACTGTGAACCCGTATGGGACAGAGACACGGTCAGTGTGAACCCGTACGGGACAGAGACACGGTCACTGTGAACCCGTACGGGACAGAGATACGGTCACTGTGAACCCGTACAGGCCAGAGACACGGTCATTGTGAACCCGTACAAGACAGAGACATGGTCATTGTGAACCAGTATGGGACAGAGACACGGTCACTGTGAACCTGTACAGGACAGAGACACGGTCATTGTGAACCCGTACAGGACAGAGACACGGTCACTGTGAACCAGAATGGAACAGAGATACGGTCACTGTGAACCCGTACGGGAGAGAGACACGGGCACTGTGAACCCGTACAGGACAGAGACACGGTCATTGTGAACCCGTACAAGACAGAGACACGGTCACTGTGAACCCATACAGGACAGAGACACAGTCACTGTGAACCCGTACAGGACAGAGACACGGCCACTGTGAACCCGTACAGGACAGAGACACGGTCACTGTGAACCCGTACGGGACAGAGACACGGTCACTGTGAACCTGTACAGGACGGAGACACGGTCACTGTGAACCCGTACGGGACAGAGACACGGTCACTGTGAACCTGTACAGGACGGAGACACGGTCACTGTGAACCCGTATGGGACAGAGACACGGCCACTGTTAACTCCTACGGAACAACCATAATCCTCCAGCCCCCCCAAACCGCCATCGTTCTCAATGGACCCCCTCCATCTACCAGGGCACACCCACTACCCCCCTCACGTGAAGGAGGAGTGGGGGACCCCAGGGCCCCCCTCAAACGGAGGAGTGGGGGACCCCAGGGCCCCCCTCAAACGGAGGAGTGGGGGACCCCAGGGCCCCTCTCAAACGGAGGAGGAGGAGTGGGGGACCCCACTGAGCGTTGTCCCCGTGGGGGTGCCGCTGATGGCGCTGAACACGTGGACGGAGTCACGCAGGGAGGGGCGCGTGGGGGGCCCCGACTCCATGGGGACCTGGGAGGGGGGGGGGGCAGAGGGGGTAGTGATTTAGAAACATGCACCTCGATTATTCGGGCTCCTACAGATTTTCACACGGTAATGATGATGATCAGCCACTTTCTTGTGCTCGTAGCTCAGCGGGCCTTACCTGGTATTTGTATATACTTGTATATTAGTGGTTTTTTTTTTACCTTTTCTACACTTTGCACTCCTATTGTGTTTGTATTTTTTGTTAGTGCAACGTTCTGACCCCGTGCCCCTACTGGAAATCTGTGAAAAAAGAGCTTTATAGCTCATCTGAATCCTCCTGCACCACCCTCACCACCCGCACCACCCTGACCACCCCCGCACCACCCGCACCGCCCTCACCACCAGCACAACCCTCACTGCCCTCACCGCTCTCACCGCCCTCACCACCCGCACCGCCCACACCACCCGCACCACCCGCCCCGCCCTCACCGCCCGCATCACCCGCACCAGTGTCGCTGGTAGGAGGTCATGGGGCAGACCCAGGTGCCACAGTTCGACTGACTGAGACGACTGGCTGATGCACCACCTGTGCCCCCTACTGTGCCAACTTGCTGTACTTTAGCCACCAGGCGCTCCGCAGGTTGTTGTGAGTGTTGCTCCTCCCCCCTCTGTTGTTGTTGGAGGGCGACTGCCTCCAACTGCCCAGTAGCGTCCTTCACGAGCCTCCTCCACAGACGCCGATCTTGACACCGCTGGTACCAGTTATCGGCAAGCCCACTTAGCTCCACACCCTCCTGTACCACATCACTCCATCTCTTCTCTAGCCCGTGCCACGCCCATTTAGCCCCCTCGATTCGGCCGAACAAAAGCTGTTTGGCATGCGGTGATTGGGCATGCGGGCTACATGGCCCAGCCAACGCAGCCTTGCCTGCCGGAGGTGCTCACCAATGGGACTTTGTCCAGAATTTTCGAAGATTCGTGAGCTCCTCACACAATCCAGCCTGGTTAAACCCAGGATTGATCGTAGGCAGGCCAGCCTAAATGTGTCTAACCGGCGAAGATGTTCCATTAGGGGGGTCCACGTTTCGGAAGCGTAGAGAAGGGAGGGAATGACTGTGGCCGAGAAGACCCAAAGCTTCGTGCGGAGCAACAGACCAAGTAGCTTCCACACAGCGTTATGCAACCGATGAAAAGATAATGCCGCTCGTCTGATTCGGAGTGAGACCTCTGCTGCTAAACTGGAGCCGATCATGAGCACACGGCTCAGGTATGGGAAACTCTACACTCTCCACAATTTCCCCATCACCGATTGGGAGTTGTGGGGGTGCCCGATGGTACAAAATACCCAGGCAGGTGCTTCGTTTTGGTGGGGCTGATGGTAAGGCCCCACCTCTTAGTGGCACACTCCAGTTTCAGCAGCAGCGCCTCCAACTCCTCTGAGCGAGCTGCAATTACCAGGTCGTCAGCATACATAATGTGGTTGACAAATAGGGAGCCATCCCTTGATCGCACCCGGGCATCGATCAGCCTCCCATTATATCTGTACCAAATGGAAATTTCTCCGGTACAGCTATTGAAGGCTTCACGAACTACGTGGTCAAAATAGATGTTAAATAATGTGAGAGCCAGAGGGCATCCACCCACACCACCCTCACCGCCCTCACCACCCGCACCACCCGCACCACCCGCACCACCCGCACCTCTCTCACCACCCGCGCCACCCGCACCACCCGCATCGCCCGCATCGCCCTCACCGCCCTCACCACCCTCACCACCCTCACACACTCGCCCCCTGAGGGGGGGCGGTCAGGTCAGGGGGTGTGGCGGTGGGTAGCGGGGATCTCAACCCCTCTGGAGGTGAGGTGGAGGGGGTAGCGGGGATCCCGGCCCTTCTGCACACGTTGTTTGCCCTTTGCTCTGGGGTTTATTGCTCGGGAGTGGGGGGCGTGCGGGGTGTGGGGGGGTATGTGTGGGGGTGTGGGGTAATGCGCAGCATCAGCTGATGATGGTGATGACTATCGGCTGCGGGCGCGACGAGGTCGCAACAACAACACCACCGCCACCACCGTCACGCCACCCTCACCCTTGCTGGGCGTTCACTGCTCAAGCGCTGATCTGTTTGTGCAATGGCTCGCTGTCTCTCAGGAGGTGACACACGCTTGCTTTTGTACCCATTGCTATTTGCTTCATTGCTGTGCCGTGTTCTTCGCGGTGACCCTCGGCCGAGACTCCTCCTCTCTCCTGGTCACACTGATTATATTAACTTGCCCCCTCCACCCCGACCCCTCCAACCCGACCCCTCCACCCCGACCCCTCCACCCCGACCCCTCCACCCCGACCCCTCCAATCCGACCCCTCCAACCCGACCCCTCCAACCCGACCCCTCCAACCCGACCCCGACCCCTCCATCCCTACCCCTCCATCCCTACCCTTCCATCCCTATCCCTCCATCCCTACCCCTCCATCCCTACCCCTCTATCGCGCCATGTGTACCGCATCACGTGTGATGTCGGCCAGCTGCTGCACCATGTCCCGGTAGTTGGTCTTCATGTCCTCGTGGTACTCCAGCTGATCTTCCTTGATCAGCCGCTCATTCACCTCCAGAGCCTGCCCACATGCCTCCACAAACAGCCTGCACACACATACAAAGACAAAGATCCCCCGTATGGCATGAACAGACTTTTGGGGCAAGTGTCGTTAGCAAGTAGCACCTATGGAGGCCAGAACAGTACACGAGGGGGTGGGTGGCCAACACCACGCCCAGCCGCCTTTGTCTCCCCAGTGGCGATTTTTTTACGCACCACACCAGGAACTAATTTGAGGCCGAGTTGACCTAAGGGAGGCCCAGGACCGGTTCAGATAATCGCCACGATGTTGGCCGTGAGTGGGAATAGAACTCGGGTCGCCGGGTTTGTAGCACAGCGCACTAACCGTTACACTACCACTCCCTACATACAAAGACACATACACACAAGATCTGACATTCGCCACTGCAAAGTGGCAGTGACGTTACCACGACGCTTGTGCCAGGCTATGTGCACTTTGACGCCACGTGAAGGGCTGAACGCTTGCTAGCAGGGTACGGAACAGACCAAGGTGCCATGGGTTGACTGACTGAGATGGCTGGCAGATGCACCGACTCTGCTCCCGACTGTGCCAACTCGCTGTGTTTTAGCCGCCCGGCGCTCCGCTCATTGTTGTGAGCGTCACTCCTCTGCCCTCCGTTGTTGTTGGAGGGCCACTGCCTCCAACTGACCAGCAGCATCCTTCACGAGCCTGCTTCACGAGCCTCCACCACAGAGGCCGATCTTGACACCGCTGCTAATGGTCTTCAGCAAGTCCACTCAGCTCTACATCCTTCTGTACCACATCAGCCCCATCTCTTCTCTCGCCTGTGCTGTACCCGTTTTGCCCACACTATTCGGCCAAACAGAAGCTTATTGGGCATGCGGTGGCTGGGTATGTGGGGTACATGACCCAGCCAAGGCAGCCTCGCCTGGTGGAGGAGCTCATCGATGAGACTGTGTCCAGATCTTCAAAGGCTATGTGGGCTCCTCACACAATCAGATATATGTGCATATATACAAAGTCCCCCATATAGCCTAAACACGCTTTTGGGGCAAGTGCTGTTAACAAACACTGCAAAGAGGGGGTGGGGTGTGGCAAGGACCAGGCTCGGCCACCTTTTTCTCCCCAGTGCTCATGTTTACGCAGACTGTACGAGCTACTCGTTTAAGGCCGAGTTGACCTAGAGGAGGTCCGGGACGAATTAAGATATTTACCGCCACCGATGTTGGTGGTGAGTGGGAATCAAACTCGGGTAACCAGGTTGGTAGTGCGGCGTGATAACCACGGTGCCACTGCTCTCCACACCCCTGCAGGGTAAGGTTCAAGGACGAGATTGAGGGATGGATTAGAGATTCAAGTTCACTCCGATAACGCAATCACGCGACCCTTGACCCCACACAATTTTCAGCTTCCACCACGAGCCTGACTCACTTAGAATAGACGCCCCTACCGGGGTCTCTACAGGGGTCTCCACAGGGGTCCCAACCCCTCCTTCCACAGGGGTCCCTACCCCCTTCCTCCACAGGGGTCCCAACCCCCTCCCTCCGCAGGGGACCCTGCCCCCTCCCTCCACAGGGGACCCTACCCCCTCCCTCCACAGGGGTCCCAACCCTCTCCCTCCGCAGGGGACCCTACCCCCTCCCTCCACAGGGGTCCCTACCCCAACCCTCCACAGGGTCCCCGACTTGGCAGCAGTGCGCTAACCGTTACATAACCGCTCCCCAGATGCACACGCACGCACGCACACACAGGTACACGCACACACAGGTACACGCATACACAGGTACACGCACACACAGGTACACACGAAGGCACAAAAGCATACACAGACACTAAAACAATACAATTGCAGGGGTACCACCACGGGATCTGTGCCAAGCTAGGTGCACTTCGAGGCCACACTTATAAAGCAGACTGACAAGGACAGCGAGCAGTCCACTCCCACACTCACCACACTCATCACACTCACTCACCACACTCACTCGTCTCACTCACCACGAACAACCATCGCATCCACGAGCCTTCCTCCTCCCACTCACTCACCACCCCACTCGCACTCGTTTACACACAAAGCGCTCGCCACAAATGAACCACGATACCTCGCTGATCTCGTCAAGGAGCATAAACCATCACCACGCAAACTCCGCTCATCCTCATAGCAGCGGCTTTTGGCTCAGCCATCGAACAAAGACGGTGGTCACCGCATCGCGCGCTTTCAGGTGCGCTTCTGCGGCCGTTTGTAACGCTTTTCCGTCTGATATTCGGAAGCCACTGGAGCTATGCACTTTTAAATCATCCTCTAGATTGCAAACTCTTTTAGAACTGCTTTTTGTGTTTAGTTTGTTGGTCTTTCCCCCACACCTCCTATTAACACGAGAGGCTACATACGGTATGAAATAAGTTCAACACACATACATCAACATAGAGCTCCCCACGTCGCTCACCAACTACGCACCTCTACAGTGAGGGAAAAAAGTATTTGATCCCCTGCTGATTTTGTACGTTTGCCCACTGACAAAGAAATGATCAGTCTATTATTTTAATGGTAGGTTTATTTGAACATTGAGAGAAAGAATAACAAAAACATCCAAAAAAACGCATGTCAAAAATGTTAGAAATTGATTTGCATTCTAATGAGGGAAATAAGTATTTGACCCCCTCTCAATCAGAAAGATTTCTGGCTCCATGGTGTCTTTGACACAGGTAACGAGCTGAGATTAGGAGCACACTCTTAAAGGGAGTGCTCCTAATCTCAGCTTGTTACCTGTATAAAAGACACCTGTCCACAGAAGCAATCAATCAATCAGATTCCAAACTTTCCACCATGGCCGCGGCCAAAGAGCTCTCCAAGGATGTTAGGGACAAGATTGTAGACCTACACAAGGCTGGAATGGGCTACAAGACCATTGCCAAGCAGCTTGGTGAGAAGGTGACAACATTATGAGACCTCCTTTGCCAGAAACAAGATATAGGAATAGGTTTTACCCTTTTAACTGGCACAAAAACTGACACCTTTATTCAAGGCATCATGTTTGCAAAAACCACAACACAAGCAGTCAGAATGCAAACAAAAAAGACAACTCTGATAATATGCACTGTCCTTGAATTTGATTGGTCCACACCCGAGACAGCTTTTCTTAGAGCCTAGTCTCCATTGGTGTTGGACCAGAAGACGCCAAAAGGCGTACAACTCAAAAACAGCGCACCATCAGAGTATTGAGGGCTCGGGGTGAGCATTTACATTATGAGACCTCCTTTGCCAGAAACAAGATATAGGAATAGGTTTTACCCTTTTAACTGGCACAAAAACTGACACCTTTATTCAAGGCATCATGTTTGCAAAAACCACAACACAAGCAGTCAGAATGCAAACAAAAAAGACAACTCTGATAATATGCACTGTCCTTGAATTTGATTGGTCCACACCCGAGACAGCTTTTCTTAGAGCCTAGTCTCCATTGGTGTTTGACCAGAAGACGCCAAAAGGCGTACAACTCAAAAACAGCGCACCATCAGAGTATTGAGGGCTCGGGGTGAGCATTTACATTATGAGACCTCCTTTGCCAGAAACAAGATATAGGAATAGGTTTTACCCTTTTAACTGGCACAAAAACTGACACCTTTATTCAATGCATCATGTTTGCAAAAACCACAACACAAGCAGTCAGAATGCAAACAAAAAAGACAACTCTGATAATATGCACTGTCCTTGAATTTGATTGGTCCACACCCGAGACAGCTTTTCTTAGAGCTTAGTCTCCATTGGTGTTGGACCAGAAGACGCCAAAAGGCGTACAACTCAAAAACAGCGCACCATCAGAGTATTGAGGGCTCGGGGTGAGCATTTACATTATGAGACCTCCTTTGCCAGAAACAAGATATAGGAATAGGTTTTACCCTTTTAACTGGCACAAAAACTGACACCTTTATTCAAGGCATCATGTTTGCAAAAAACCACAACACAAGCAGTCAGAATGCAAACAAAAAAGACAACTCTGATAATATGCACTGTCCTTGAATTTGATTGGTCCAGTTGAATTTGATTGGTCCAGTTAAAAGGGTAAAACCTATTCCTATATCTTGTTTCTGGCAAAGGAGGTCTCATAATGTAAATGCTCACCCCGAGCCCTCAATACTCTGATGGTGCGCTGTTTTTGAGTTGTACGCCTTTTGGCGTCTTCTGGTCCAACACCAATGGAGACTAGGCTCTAAGAAAAGCTGTCTCGGGTGTGGACCAATCAAATTCAAGGACAGTGCATATTATCAGAGTTGTCTTTTTTGTTTGCATTCTGACTGCTTGTGTTGTGGTTTTTTGCAAACATGATGCCTTGAATAAAGGTGTCAGTTTTTGTGCCAGTTAAAAGGGTAAAACCTATTCCTATATCTTGTTTCTGGCAAAGGAGGTCTCATAATGTAAATGCTCACCCCGAGCCCTCAATACTCTGATGGTGCGCTGTTTTTGAGTTGTACGCCTTTTGGCGTCTTCTGGTCCAACACCAATGGAGACTAGGCTCTAAGAAAAGCTGTCTCGGGTGTGGACCAATCAAATTCAAGGACAGTGCATATTATCAGAGTTGTCTTTTTTGTTTGCATTCTGACTGCTTGTGTTGTGGTTTTTGCAAACATGATGCCTTGAATAAAGGTGTCAGTTTTTGTGCCAGTTAAAAGGGTAAAACCTATTCCTATATCTTGTTTCTGGCAAAGGAGGTCTCATAATGTAAATGCTCACCCCGAGCCCTCAATACTCTGATGGTGCGCTGTTTTTGAGTTGTACGCCTTTTGGCGTCTTCTGGTCAAACACCAATGGAGACTAGGCTCTAAGAAAAGCTGTCTCGGGTGTGGACCAATCAAATTCAAGGACAGTGCATATTATCAGAGTTGTCTTTTTTGTTTGCATTCTGACTGCTTGTGTTGTGGTTTTTGCAAACATGATGCCTTGAATAAAGGTGTCAGTTTTTGTGCCAGTTAAAAGGGTAAAACCTATTCCTATAAGGTGACAACAGTTGGTGCGATTATTCGCAAATGGAAGAAACATAAAATAACTATCAATCTCCCTCGGCCTGGGGCTCCATGCAAGATCTCACCTCGTGGAGTTGCAATGATCATGAGAACGGTGAGGAATCAGCCCAGAACTACACGGGGAGGATATTGTCAATGATCTCAAGGCAGCTGGGATCATAGTCACCAAGAAAACAATTGGTAACACACTACGCCATGAAGGACTGAAATCCTGCAGTGCCCGGAAGGTCCCCTGCTCAAGAAAGCACATACACATGCCCGTCTGAAGTTTGCCAATGAACATCTGAATGAATCAGAGGACAACTGGGTGAAAGTGTTGTGGTCAGATGAGACCAAAATTGAGCTCTTTGGCATCAACTCAACTCGCCGTGTTTGGAGGAGGAGGAATGCTGCCTATGACCCCAAGAACACCATCCCCACCGTCAAACATGGAGGTGGAAACATTATACTTTGGGGGTGTTTTTCTGCTAAGGGGACAGGACAACTTCACCGCATCAAAGGGACGATGGATGGGGCCATGTACTGTCAAATCTTGGGTGAGAACCTCCTTCCCTCAGCCAGGGCATTGAAAATGGGTCGTGGATGGGTATTCCAGCATGACAATGACCCAAAACACATGGCCAAGGCAACAAAGGAGTGGCTCAAGAAGAAGCACATTAAGGTCTTGGAGTGGCCTAGCCAGTCTCCAGACCTTCTCATAGAAAATCTGTGGAGGAAGCTGAAGGTTCGAGTTGCCAAACGTCAGCCTCGAAACCTTAATGACTTGGAGAAGATCTGCAAAGAGGAGTGGGACAAATCCCTCCTGAGATGTGTGCAAACCTGGTGGCCAACTACAAGAAACGTCTGACCTCTGTGATTGCCAACAAGGGTTTTGCCACCAAGTACTAAGTCATGTTTTGTAGAGGGGTCAAATACTTATTTCCCTCACTAAAATGCAAATCAATTTATAACATATTTGACATGCGTTTTTCTGGATTTTGTTGTTGTTATTCTGTCTCTCACTGTTCAAATAAACATACCATTAAAATTATAGACTGATCATTTTTTTGTCAGTACAAAATCAGCAGGGAATCAAATACTTTTTTCCCTCACTGTACATGGGTGCACGTGTGTGTGTGATCGTGTCTATGTGCATGTGGGGAGTGGTAGTGTGGTGGTTAGTGCACAGTGCTACGAACCTGGTGACCCGAATTCAATTCCTGCTCAAGGTCAACACCAATGACAATTATCTGAACCGGTTCTGAGCCTCCCCTAGGTCGACTCGGCCTCAAATGAGTACCGGGTGCCATGTGCAAACATCGCTACTGGGGAGACAAAGGTGGCCGGGCGTGGTACTGGCCACCCATCCCCTGGTGTGCTGTGCCGGCCTCCATAGGTGCTACTTGCTAACAGGACTTGCCCTAACAGTCTGTTAAAGGCTATACGGGGGGTGTGTCTGTGTGAATGTGGGACAGTTGTGGAGAGAGTGGAGAGTTTCCCATACCTGGGCAGTATGCTTATGACCGGCTCCAGTTTAACAGCAGAGGTCTCACTCCGAATCAGTCGAGCGGCAATATCTTTTCATCGGTTGCGTAACGCTGTGTGGAAGCTACCTGGTCTGTCGCTCCGCACTAAGCTTCAGGTCTTCTCGGCCACGGTCATTCCCTCCCTTCTCTACGCTTGCGAAACGTGGACCCCCCTAATGGAACATCTTCGCCGGTTAGAAACATTTAGGCTAGCATGCCTACGATCCATCCTGGGTTTAACCAGGCTGGATTGTGTGAGGAGCTCACAAATCCTTGAAAGATCTGGGCAAGGTCCCATCGGTGAGCTCCTCCGGTAGGCAAGGCTGCGTTGGCTGGGTCATGTTGCCCGCATGCCCAGCCACCGCATGCCGAAACAGCTTTTGTTCGGCCAGATCGAGGGGGCTAAACGGGCGTGGCACGGGTTAGAGAAGAGATGGAGTGATGTGGTACAGGAGAACGTGGAGCTGAGTGGACTTGCCAATGACTGGTACCAGCGGTGTCAAGATCGGCCTCTGTGGAGGAGGCTCATGAAGGACGCTACTGGGCAGTTGGAGGCAGTCGCCCTCCAACAACAACGGAGGGCGGAGGAGCGGCGCTCACAACAACAAGCGGAGCGCCGGATGGCTATAGCACAGCAGGTTGGCAGAGTAGGGGGCACAGGTGGTGCATCAGCCAGTCATCTCAGTCATCTTAGACAGTCGACCCGTGGCACTTGGGTCTGCCCCGTGACCTCCTGCCAGCAGGCGTTCGACACTTCACGTGGCCTCAAGGTGCACATGGCCTGACACAAGCGTTGTGGTGGCGTCACCGCCACTTAGTGGCGGTTGTTGTTGTGAGAGATTGTGAAATGTTGTTATATTTAGAGGAAGCAACAGGAAAATCGTCATGGGCAGTGTTGTTGCACGATTAAACCGCTAATTTCTCTGATCACAGCACAACACATCTGGAGGGTGATGACTGAGTTATTACGTGTGGTATACTGATTTTACTACCATCCACTTGCTCAGGAGATGTTATCTCTCTGGCATGCAGGAAGTCGTGGGTTTGATCCTGACCCCGGCGCCTGCTCTATATTTAGAGTTTGCGTGTCACCTCGTGGTCACATGGATTTTACTCTGAGTTATCCCGTTTTCCCTCCACATTTAGAATCAACGACACGCGTTTCGATATATGGCTGCTATACATTTCCACATGATGATAAGCCACTTCGTTGAGCATTTGTGATAGCCAAGTCACTTCTGACAAAGAACTACATAGCTCAGTGGGCCTTACCTGGTAAAATAAAATAGTACAAAAAAATTGCTCAACCAAACATCGTGATGCACAAGGCGTGTTACAGTTGCACACACCATGAAAACGACTACTCATTTGAGGCTGAGTCGATCGAGGGGAGGCCCCATGATCGGTTGAGAAGGATGCTGCTGGGAAGTTGGAGTCAGTCGTCCTCCAGCAAGGAGCGATGCTCACAACCATGAGCAGAGTGCCGAGTGTCATGTTGGGGAGAACAGTTGGGGCATCAGCCAGTCATCTCAGTCAGTCAACCCATGGCACCTAGGTCTGGTCCGTGACCTCCTGCCAGCCAGCCTTTGACACTTCACGTGGCCTCAAAGTGTACCTAGCATGGAACAAGTGGCGTGGTGACGTCACCACCACTTTGTGGTGAACGGTGGTTGTTGTTTTTAATTGTGATTGTGTCTATGTGTGTAAGACATGTGTATCATCATTGGAGTTGGCCATGAGTGGGAATCTAAGTCAAGTAGCCAGGTTCGTAGAGCAGTGGCACTAATAATTGTGCCATTGCTCCCCTCACTCACAAACTCATTCCCACTCTCACACAAACACTCACCTTCACACACTCTCAACTCACCCACTCCCCCTCACGATGGAGGCACGTAGGAATGCCCCAGCGGTAACCGTGACACCGCACGCGCTACGCATTCCTTTCGCCATAGAATCAGGCACGGTGTAAGGTCGGGGGGCGGGGCGCCTCGGGCAGTGAGGGGGTTCCTGGGGGGCACCGTGGGGAATGGGGGGCAGAGGGAGGGCAGCACGCACCGGAACACCTCCTTCAGTTGCTTTACTTTGTTGTCCGGAAACTTCTTGGCGTTGCTCTCATCTAGGAAAGCCCTGGCGTAGGCCAAGGGGCCTGCGTTGACCTGGAGGGTGGGGGCAGGGGACATATAGGGGTCATGGAGGTCACCGCGTGGTCGAAGGTCAAGTTATCACGGTCAGCATTTGTGCACAGATAAATGGCATAAGTCACGGGAGCCAGGGTGGTTAAGGTCAATTATGCACACCAACCTACACACACGCTCCAAACACACTCCTATATGCGCCGACACGCACATACACCTACACACTCCTATAAACGCGCACACCTGTACACACCTACACACACGCACCTACACACCTCTGTACACCCCTGTATGCACCTACACGCACACAACTACAACAACGACCGGTAATTGCCACTAAGTGACGTCACCACGGTACTTTTGCTGGCTGTGCACTTTAAAGCCATTTAAAGTGTCAAACGTCCGCTTGCAGGATGTAATGGGACAAACCCAGGTGCCATGCGTTGACTGACGGAGATGACTGGCAGATGCACCAGGCCCCTACTGTGCCAACCTGCTGAATTTTAGCCGCCCGGCACTCCGCTAGTTGTTGCGAGCGTTTCTCCTCTGCCCTCTGCTATTGCTGGAGGGCAACTGACTCTACCTGACCAGTTGCATCCTTCATAAGCCTCTTTCACAGAGGCCGATCTTCATTCATTGGCAAGTCCACTCAAGCTCCATATGCTCTCGAACCACATCATTCCATCTCTTCTCTAGCGTGTGCCGTGCCTGTTTCGCCCCCTCTATCCTGCCGAACACAAGCTGCTTGGGCCTATGGTGACTTGGATGTGGGCTACATGACCCAGCCAAAGCAGCCTTGACTGCGGGAGGAGTTCACTAATGGGACTGTGTCCAGATCTTTCAAGGATTTGTGAGCTCTTCACACAATCCAGCCTGGTTAAACTCAGGATGGGTCGTAGGCAGGCCAGACGGAATGTTTCTAACCAGCGAAGATCTTCTATTAGGGGGGTCGACCTTTCTCGAGCATAGAGAAGGGAGGGCATGACCGTGGCCGAGACGACCAGAAGCTTCGTCGTGGAGCAACAGACCAGGTAGCTTCCACACAGCATTACGCAGGTGATGAAAAGGTAATGCCGCTCAACTAATTCGGAGTGAGACCTCTGCTTTGAAACAAGAGTTGGTCATAAGCACCCTGCACAGGCACGGAAACTTCATCACTCTCTTCACAACTGCCCCACAAATGGGGGAGTTGGGGGGTGTTTAGTTGTGGAGAGTCTGTTTGTAAGGCCCCACCTCTTAGTGGCACGCTCCAGGTCACGCAGCAGTGCCTCCAACTCTTCAGAGAGAGCAGCAATCACCAGATCATCGGCATACGTAACATTGTTGACATAGAGGGAGCCATCCCTCTACTCACCTAGGCATGGATCAGCCTCCCACTGTATCTGTACCAGATGGAGATTCCTCAGTACAGCCATGGAAAGCAACTCGAACTATGTGGTCGAAAAAGATGTTAAATGTGGGAGCCAGAGGACATCCCTGTCGCACCTCACGGTGAATGGAAATGGCTTTGACTCCCGGTCACGTAGTTTTACCTGAGCCTTCCCATCATCATGAAGCCCCTTAATGATTGTGAGCAGAGAGTCAGGGACCCCAAAAGCATGAAGAACAACCTAGAGCCCAGGCCTATTCATGGTATCATAGGCCTTGACCAGGTCAATGAAGCAGAGATGTAGGTCCTGTTGAAAATTAAGTACATCTCTGCTGTAGCAGACAGACAGAGAGTAATCCTTGCCAGGACCTTTCCAGGCACACTGATGAGGGAGATGCCCTGGAGTTGTTACAAGCTGTGCAGTCCCCCTTTTTGAAAATGGGGGCAACCAGAGCATCCTTCCAATCCTGCGGAACCCGTCCTGTGGACCAGACAGTTGTGATGATGTCACGTAGGTCAGTCTGCACACAGACGCCACCCTCCCTCAGTAGTTCGCTTGAGAGGTCACCTCTGCCTGGCGCTTTAGCGGGTCTCAGTTTCAGTTTCATTTATTTGGTAGAGCCCTGTGAGCCATTCGGCTCTTGAATCGGGTGCAACCGCAACAAACAAAAAACAAAAACATGAACAAGAAAACATCTTAAAGTGACTATGTGACTGTGCAAACTGAAAATCCAGGAAAAAAACAGCAAAATATTCCTGAAAAAGCACCATACACCAACGCTGTGTGCAAAAATCCCAGTGGGATGCAAGTCAAACAACAACCACAAGACAAATGAGATTAAGGCCATCAGTCTAACTCCGTACTCCAACAAACAAACATGGCCAAACCAAAAAAAAAGTTTTTGAAATCACCAAAATAGATCCATAAAAGCAATGTAACAGTGATCAAAGGAACTGTGACCGAATTTTCACAATAAACGACATAAACAACATGTAACACCAAACCCTGTAGCCATAGCTGGCTGCATGAGTCACTCCACAACAACAGGAGCATCAGTATGAGTATCAAATTTTCCAATGCACCTTTAAAATCAGCACAATAAATAAACATACAGATAATACTTTGCAGCGGTCATCCGGAGCGAAACATTTTATTTTATTTTAGGCCACTGAATAGCAGTGGCAGCTAGGGGTGTACAACTCCTCTAGAGCAGTTTTGAGTGAAGATCTCATAGGTAGTGATTCAAGTTACAGTTAATTGGCAATATCATTCCAGACCCTGGGGGCATCAATAGCAAAGGCCCTTCCTCCAGTTTTTGTACGGCAATAGGGAATGTGAAGCTGGTAAATGAGCGAAGACCTGAGGTCAAATGTGTTCTTTGAAAAAGAGAGGAGATCCAGCAGGTAGTCTGCGGATATCTTTGTAAGTACATCGTGAATAAATAAGATCTGGTGCACAAGCCGTCGTACATTAAGAGATGTTAAGTTTGACCCAATGTAGAGATCACAGTGGTGAGTCCTATATGGGCAGTTCAATGCAAATCTTAAGGCCGAAGTGATAGATGGAATCAAGCTTCTTCAGTACAGTACATGGGGCTGATTTATACACGAGTTTACGGTAGCCTCCTACCGTCTCAAAGATTCCAGGTCGCCCTTTGCACTTCCTCAACCGATGCACCTCAGCCAACCACTCACAAGGAGCGGCTACTTTACTTATATTTGAGGCACAGCGGCACCAGCAGGGTCAACCCCACCTGGTTTGAGTTTAGGGGTTTCAACTCCCCCAAGACCTCACAGAAATGCTCCGCAAACCTGCAGACCTGTTCTTGCAGGTTGGAGATCTGATCACCATTCTCTCCCTTAAGGATGGTGATAGGTGTGGGCACTGCAAGTTATTTTTTCATGGTGTTAAAAAGGTATTTGTTATCGTGTGCTGCCGTAGCAGTCTCTATTTCCTCAGCAACAACCCGCGACCACCACTCATTCTCGAAGCGCTGCACGGCTCTCTGAGCGAATGCTGTGGCAAGCCTCCTCGTTCTTGGACGTAGGATGTTGTAGTTGGTGGGAATGGGCCTGCCGCTTACATTCAACTAGCAGCCATAGCAACTGCATATGGCGCTGTATTGAAACTCACCCATTTCCCTTTGGCGTCTTCATCAGCAAGAAGAGATCAGGCTACTGTGAGTTTGAATTGGGTACTAGATGAACACCCAACACCGGAGTGGAAAAATGGCAGGCATATCTTACAGATGACAAGCCGATGGTCAGTGAGCAGATCAGCTGCACGGGAGGTCCTGGTGTCAAGGACATGGGCCCGCATCCTCTGTTCCATCACTGTACAGTCCATCGATGATGTGTGGATGCGCCGATGCCGGAATAGCGCGTTGGTAGTTACAAGCCCATGGGCTGCACAAAAGTCTAGGAGCCTCCTACCGTTGTTATTGAGCTGATCCATTCACTTCAGCCCAGATGCCAGCGTTATGACCCAGGCATTCCATGCCCCCCAAAAGGATGGATGACTCTATCCTGAGGGGTCACTTTAGCTAGCACCTGTGACATAGAAGACATCTGACACATAGGCCTTGCCTGTATCCCTCCACTGATGTTCATCTTCGGTGGGGGTGTAAGCCACCACCACCATTCCTCTCCTCCCGATGATGGGGAGGCGAGACCACAGTAGCCTTATCACGATGCTGCCACGCCCCCTGAATTATTTTGTTCATGAGAAAAGCCACTACCTGTTACATTATGGGACATCCTTTGCCAGTACCAAAATATGAGTATGCCTAGGCTAAAAAAAAAGCTGTCTCTGGTGTGGACCAATCAGTTTCAAAGACAATGCATAAGTATTGTGGTTAATTCAGACATGATTCCTTATAAAAGGTTTCAGTTTGGTGTTTTAACATCTTAACACCTGTTTGTTGCCAGAAAAAAGGGGAAAACCTATTGTCACTCCCTGTTTTGCAGTTTCCTGACTCGAGTAGAAGACTGTCCACCCCTCATAGTCGCTGGAGCGAGAACCAGTCCACCGGACCTCCTGAATACCACAGAGATACCGGTCCAGCCCCAGACAGAGGGGTGGCAGCTTCTCCTCCGCAGTGAGCTTTCTAACATTCCACATGGCCACTCACAGTGGCTTTTTTGCAATTTCTGGAGGAACCCTAAGGGTAAGGATTCAGTCTCCTGTGTCTGCCATATGGGGTTTGGACAGGAGACCTCACATAGGCCTATACTCCCCCCCCCCCCCGGGACCTCCGGCACAAGCTTGGTTTGATATTTAAATTGTGCCGATTGAATTGAAGGTGGAGGGGTCACCAGCCCCTTGCACCCATCCAGGGCCCCCGTTGGCCGCTGTGGTGGCGACGTGCACCATGCCTGATTGGAATCGGCCCTCCTCCAATGACACTGCTCACAGCCACCACAGCGTTACCGATCATCACCATCGAGGAGATAGGGACCAGTTCGGATAATCACTGGCACCAATGTTGGCCATGAATTGAACTCGAGACACAGGGTACAAGCGCAGTGTGCTCACCAATGGAGTCTATGGGTCTCTACGTGAGTCTATGGGCCTCTATGAGAGTCTATGGTGACTGGGCTGAGACCATCATCTTACCCCACTTGAGACCCCAGGTCAATCACAGGCAGCTGTTTTGATTGTGTCTCCATACAAAGACAGAAACATACACACGCGCGCAGACACTCGCCACGGTGGCGAGATGTTAACTACCTCGCCTGGTATACAGGAGGTTGTGGATTCGATCCCGACCCTGATGCCTGTATATTTGGCGTTTGCATGTTCTCCCCGTGGTCGCATAGATCATGCATTTTAGAGTATTTGGCTGCTATAAATTTCCACACAATAAGCCACTGTGTTGAGCTATCATTTGTGGCCAGGTCGCTCCTGAAAAAAGAGCTATATAGCTCAGCGGACCTTACGTGGTAAAATAAAAATCGTTAAATAGCTAACATAGAAACACACGTGCATACAGCATACAGGAATATAGGGTAGGGAACGCTGGGAGGTGAACGTGGTGGTAGTAGTGGTGGCAGTGGTGATGACGGTGGCAGTGGCGGTGAAGGCAGTAGTGGGAGTGGCGACGGCGGGAGTGCTGGTGGCAGTCGTCGTGGTGGCACCGTACCTGCGGGGAGACGCAACCCTGCAGCTTGAGCTGCAGCTTGATCATGTCGACGTCGCGCGCCACGCTCAGTGCCCGCAGCTCGGCGGCCCGCGCGCTCATCTCGTCCACCGCCACCTCCACAGGGCCCAGCTCCACGTGCTGCTCGTACATCACGGGCACGCGCTTCTTCACGTACGGGAATGCGTGCGTGGCTGGGGGGGGTCACATGAGTTCACGGGGGGGATGGTCACTGGAGGGGCCTTCGCTGAACAAAAGTAACACACAAGACAAAGCTCCCTCGTACAACATTCACAGTGTGTTGGGGCAAGTACTGTTAGTGAGGTCGGCACGACGCATTAAAGAGTGGGTGGCAAACACAGCCCGAGCAGCGACATTAACACTTCGATACTAGGTACTCATTTGAGGCCGAGTCAACCTAGGGGAGGCCCAGGACAAATAAAAAATAATTGTCACTGCAGTTGGAAATCGAACTCGGGTCGCTGGATTCACAGTGCTAACCGCTGCGCCACCATTCCTCACCACAAGCAGGCACGCATGCATGCAGGGGTCTCATTCTCAGAGGCAAGACCTCTGTGTCCCTGCTATGTATTTAGCGAATGCAAAGTCCCGAAGCCAAATGGTTTCTTCCGGTCCTGCTATGTTGAGGGTGAGTAGGCCTCCTCTGCATTTGTGGATTGGGCAGACTTCTAGGATGTGGTGCATGGTTTGCTCCACCCCACAGGCACACATGGGGCGTGCTCTTATGCCCCATCGTTGGAAGTTGGCCAGGCATGGGCCATGACCAGTCCTAAGCCTGTTGATGGTGGACTACTCCTTCCTGGGAGGTTGAAACCAGGGGGCTGTTGTGTGGGGAGAGTCACGAGGTACTTATTTGCCAGGTCCAATGACTCCCATTCTTGTGTCCAGGTGAGATTTGTGTTGAAGTCGTGAGTGGGTGGGTGAGTGGGTGGGTGACTGGGTAGGTGAGTGGGTAGGTGAGTGCGTGGCTGGGTGAGTGAGTAGGTGGCTGGGTGAGTGGGTGGCTGGGTGAGTGGGTGGGTGGCTGGGTAGGTGAGTGCGTGGCTGGGTGAGTGGGTGGCTGGGTGAGTGAGTGGGTGGCTGGGTGAGTGAGTGAGTGGGTGGCTGGGTGAGTGAGTGAGTGAGTGGGTGGCTGGGTGATTGAGTGGGTGGGTGAGTGGGTGGGTTGCTGGGTAGGTGAGTGCGTGGCTGGGTGAGTGAGTGAGTGGGTGGCTGGGTGGGTGAGTGGGTGGGTGAGTGGGTGGGTGGCTGGGTAGGTGAGTGGGTGGCTGGCTGGGTGAGTGGGTGGGTGGTTGGGTAGGTGAGTGCGTGGTTGGGTGAGTGAGTGGGTGGCTGGGTGAGTGAGTGGGTGGCTGGGTGGGTGGGTGAGTGAGTGGGTGGCTGGGTGGGTGAGTGCGTGGCTGGGTGAGTGAGTGGGTGGCTGGGTAAGTGGGTGGCTGGGTAGGTGAGTGAGTGGTTGGGTGAGTGAGTGGTTGGCTGGGTGGGTCTTTGCAATTCGTCTTTCTTGACGGAAGGCGTCATCTTTGGTGGGTTCAAGAGGTCCTCGTGGACTGGCAGGTGCGTGGAGTTGCGAACTTTTTCAATTATTTTGTAGGGTTACTGCGAGTGTCCGGATGTGTGTGTGTCGGGGGGGGGGGGTGATGTTTGCCATAACAGGGACCCAAGAAAGCGGGGTGGATCGTAGTGTACCAGTGATGATGAGCATGGTGGCGTTTAGCTGTGTGTCGACTCTGTGTGTGTGTGTGCGACGACCTTGACCAGACAGGGGCACAGTATTCTGCTGTTGAGAAGGAGATTCCTAGTGATGAGGTGGTGCTACTAGCTGTACCCCACATTTAGCTGGCTAGTTTGGAGAGGAGGTTGTTCCTGGTTTTGATCTTGGCTACTGTTATTCTCAGGTGCTACCAGAAGGTGAGTGATCTGTCCAGGGTCACCCCGAGGTATGTGGGAGTGGGGTGGTGCTGTAGCTTGTTGTTTTTCATCTGGATGTTGAGCTCTTGATTGGCCTTTGCGCTGTCGAGGTGGAATACACTGGACAGAGTTTTTGCAGGGCTTGGTTTGAGTCGCCACGTGTTGCAGTATTGTTCAGGTTTTGCTGCATCCTCGTTTAGGGTCTGATCCAGGGTGTCGAATTTGGGAGCTTGTGTTGCCAGGCAGATGTCATCAACGTGTATGAATTTTCGGGAGGTGGTTTCTGGTAGGTCATTTGTGTCTAGGTGGATCAGTGGGGGCCAGTACTGAGCCTTCAGTGAGACTGTGTCCTTGCTAAAGCTCCGCTCCTCTTCCCAGACCTTGGCCATGGCACTCACGAAACTGTTCTGTTCCGGTACGGACTCCCTGGGCCTACCCTGGGTGTGGTCAGCCGGAAAGTGGCGGTGGCAACGCTGCAATTGTTGGTGGATCACAAAGACAAAGATCCCCCCTACAGCCTTAACAGACTGTTGGGGCAAGTGCTGTTAGCGAGCAGCATCTATGAATGCCGGAACGGCACACGAGGGGGTGGGTGGCCAACACCACGCCCAGCCGCCATTGTCTCCCCAGTGGCGATGTTTACACACTGCACCAAGTACTCACTTGATGCCGAGTCGACCTAGGGGAGGCGCAGGACTGGTTGAGACAATCGTCACCGGTGTTGGCCGTGAGCGGGAATCGAACTCGGATCGCTGGGATCACACGTGCGTACACACGCCTGCACACTCACTTTGTGAAACTCGCTCCCCGTTGGCATCGAGGAGGAGCGCGCTCCCTGACTCGCCAGAGGGCGGTACAAAAGAGTACGGAATGATCCCCATCTGTCCGTTCTTTATGGGATTGGGTGGTCGTTGTTCCCCTGGCATGCGTGGGTTTTCTCATGGGTGCTCCGGCTCTCTCCCACGACTATCAACACACTCTTCAGCGTAATAAAAGTGGCTCGAAACACCTTGATGGACAAAGACTGCAGAGCTTGAGCAAATGTTAGCAGTGTCTCCCGCCCACCACCCAGCTGCTGCTTCCCCCGCTCGCCCATGGTTCCTCCTCGTCGACCGCGAGATTTGCATGAGTGATGACGACGTTGCGAGGCGTATAACTACTCGTCGCCATCGCCACCACCATCCTCGGGATGGTGATGTCATAAATTTTGTGCGGCTGGCATTCAAAAATATCCACGGATATCGACTCCCCCCCCCCCCCGCCCCCCCTCTCGGGTTCCACGTCTCTCTTATGGCGCCTGGCACCTCCCTTCCCTTCCTTCCACACCATCAGCAGCACCGCAAACGCAACACTCCGCTTATCACCGCGATGGAAATTGCACCGCCGCAGCTGATAAGCACCGCAGTGACACGAAGTTCTGAACTGCAGGCAGTAATAAATGGGAGGCAGTGATGCAGCCTCGCAACTGCTCATCGTCGCCCCCCCCCCCCCTCACCGCTGGCGGAACGGCATCCACGATATGGAAGACGAACGAAGGGCCGACTGCTCTTACATACTGCCGGGCCCCCCAACGCCTCGGATGAAGGCGGGAGTACCCACGCTTTACCCCACCGCGTATTCACAACGGACGTGCGGTCAGAGGGGGCGGCAGTAGGGAGGTGGGGGGTTTGGGAAACCCCGATGCTCCTCCCCATCGCTTCAGCTACCAAAGAGATGGCGGTGGAATAGACGACCGTCACACCGTTCACCGGAGCTCCCCTCGACGGAGCTCCGCTCAGCCGGAGCTCCGCTCACCAAAACTCCACTCACCAAATCTTCGCTCAGCCAAACTCCGCTTACCAGAACTCCGCTCAACCAGAACTCTGCTCAACCAGAACTCCGCTCAACCAGAACTCAGCTCACCGTCAGCAGCGTCCCTAGTTAAACACAGAGATGGCGCCCAGCCGGACCCCTTGCCCATTGCTCAGCCACCCCAGGTTCCGCACCACGCATCTCCCCGCGTCCCCCCGTAGACTCACACAGAGGGGCGTCACAGTGGCGAGGAGATGTTAACTACCTCGCCCGGTATACAGCAAGTTGTGTGGGTGCGATCTCGACCCTTACGCCTGCTGTGTATATTTGGAGTTTGCGCGTCTCTCTCTCGCTCTCCGTGGCCGTGTGGATTTTTCTCCGGGTCCTCCGGTTTTTTCCTCCACATTTAGGAACATGAGTTTAGAGTATTTGGCTGCGATACATTTCCACGTGATGATAAGCCACTTCATTTGGCTATCGTTTGTGATGACCAGGTCGCGTCTGAAAAAAAGAGCTGTACAGTAGCTCAGTGGGGCCTTACCTGGTAAAAAGTAAGACAGACTCACACAGCAGCAGCAGCAGCAGCCACGATATCCGCCGGCCTGCGCTGCACACAGCCAGCTTCTGCTGCTGCGCTATCGGCTAAGACGCACGCGCTGAGAGTGTCCCCGCTTAGGGAGTCGGCGCGGCGCCGGTTGAGGACGGTGCCGCGCTGGGTGAAGACGGCGCGGTGCCTCACTGGTGAGGACGGTGCGGCGCTTGCACTGCTCGTGGACGCCGCCCTGGCGGGCGCCGCCGCCCCCCAGCGTGTACGGCGTCTCGAAGGCGAAGCGCCGCACGCCGTGGCAGCGCTCGAACTCCGAGCGCCGCTCCTGCTGCTCCTTCTCCTCGAAGTACGGCGTCACGTACGTCACCTGGATGTACGCACACCGCGGGTCCAGGTCCTTGGCGTTCACCTGGGCGGGGGGGGGGGGGGCGAGGGAGGGTTGCGGCACCAGGGTCACAGCTCGGGTCGTGGCCGCACGGGAAGCGTGGGGGGGAGGGGGGAGCGCGCCCGGTAGGGACGGCACCACGAGCACGGATTGGGGGTGGCCGGGCCAGGTGCACTTTGAGGCCGCCTGAAGTGTCGAACGCCCACTGGTGGAAGGACACGGGACAGACCCAGGTGCCGTGGGATGACTAACTGAGACGACTGGCTGATGCACCACCTGTGCCCCCTACTGTGCCAACTTGCTGCATTTTAGCCGCCTGGCGCTCCGCTCGTTGTTGTGAGCGTCGCTCCTCTGCCCTCCGTTGTTCCTGGAGGGCGACTGGCCAGTTGGAGGCAGTTGTAAACATACATGTGTGTACATACAAAAGACAAAGTTTCTCCACCCATAATAGCCTTAACAGACTGTTAGGGCAAGTGCTGCTAGCGAGCACCTATGAAGGCCGGCACGGCACACGAGGGGGTGGGTGGCCAGCACCACGCCCGGCCTCCTTTGTCTCCCCAGTGGCAATGTTTACACACCGTACCAGGTACTTATTTGAGGCTGAGTCGACCTAGAGGAGGCCTAGGACCGGTTCAGATAATCGTCACTGGTGTTGGCCGTGAGCCGGAATCAAATTCGGGTCGCCGGGTTCGTAGCGCAGTGCGTTAACCATTGCACTACTGCTCCCCTGCACAGGACCACACACACATGTATAAGCACACTTGCACCAAAACACAAGGACAAACACAAGCACCCACACATACATGTGTACACACACACGGATACGCACACGTACATGTTTACACACACATGGATACGCACACGTACATGTGTACGCACACACGGATATGCACACGTACACGTGTACACACACACGGATACGCACACGTACACGTGTACACACGAGTATACACGCGGCACCGTAGTGACGTCACCATGGCGCCTGTGCCAGGTGCACTTTGAGGCCACGCGAAGTGTCGAAGGCTCGTCGACAGGACAGACCCAGGAGGACCGACCCAGGTGTCACGTCCACACGCACACACACGCACCCGTGTACACACGTGTACACGCACTCGCGCGCACACACACACACACCCGTGTACACACGTGTACACTCGTGTACACGCACTCGCGTGTACATACGTGTACACGCACTTGCGCGCACACACGCGCACACACACGCACCCGTGTACACACGGGTACACGCACTCGCGCGCACACACACGCACACGTGTACACGCACTCCGCCTACCCTCCCCCGTCCAGAACCCCCCTGACCCCGCGCGTGCCTTGCCCGAGTCCTGGAGCATGCGGACGTTGGAGGCGCCGAACTTGTGGGCGTAGAGCTGCAGCAGGCGCTGCGACAGCTCGGCCAGGCCCGTCAGCTTGGGCTCCTTGTACACGTACTCCTTGCCGTCCTCCTCCTCAAAGAAGCCCTGCAAGGGGGATGCCGGCGGGAGGTGGCGGCAAGGGGGACGGGGAGGGGAGGTTGAGGAAGTGCGGCCGGGAGAGAGGAGGGGGTTGACGAGGAGAAGCAGGACGAGGAGGAGAAGGAAGTCACCAACCCCCCATATACCTCCCCCCCCCTTCCATAGAAGAACATAGGGAGGGGGACATGTCAAGGTGATGCACGGGGACGTGGTGGAACACAAGGGGAGACACGCGGAGAGACACACGGGGTGACACACGGGGTGGCACACGGGGTGACACACGGGGTGACACACGGGGTGACACACGGGGTGACACACGGGGTGACACACGAGGTGACACACGGGGTGATACACGGGGTGACACACGGGGTGACGCACGGGGAGACGCACAGGGAGACACACGGAGAGACACACGGAGAGACACACGGAGAGACACACGGAGAGACACACGGAGAGACATACGGGGTGACGCACGGGGTGACGCACGGGGTGACACACGGGGTGACACACGTGGTGACACACGGGGTGACACACGGGGTGACGCACAGGGTGACACACGGAGAGACACACGGGGTGACGCACGGGTGACACGGGGTGACACACGGAGAGACACACGGGGTGACGCACGGGGTGACACACGGGGTGACACACGGGGAGACACACGGGGTGACACACGGGTCACTTACCGCTGCCTTTAGAGTCGGCAAGGGGGAGGGGGTGAGGGAAGAGACAGGGAAAACAGAAGGCGGACATGACATCCGCCACCTCACCTTCACGCACCGCCTCCCAAACCACCCCACCCTCATCACTCACCACTGTCTCATCTGTCACCATCACTCACCACTGTCTCATCTGTCACTGCATCCCTCAACTCCTCCTCGTCGCATCTCACCATCCTCACCAGAACCCCTACTTGCTCGAGGGGTCTCACTCCCAAGGGGTGGAGCCTCACCAAAGGGGGCGGAGCCTCACTCTCAGGGGGTGGTTCATCAATCAAGAGAGTGGAGCATCAACCAAGGGGGTGGAGCCTCACTCAAGGGGGTGGAGCCTCACTCGAGGAGGTGGAGCCTCACTCAAGGAGGTGGAGCATCACCCTCACCTGGCCGAAGAAGGCCACCCTGAAGAAGGTGCCGAGCAGGCGCCGCCCGCTGTGCGTCACCTCAACCACCTTCTTGTAGGCGAGGTGCAGCGTGTTGTACACCTGGGACAGACGCTGTGGGGCGACACGGGGTCAGGGGTCAGTGTGGGGGGGGGGGGCGACACGGGGTCAGGGGTCAGTGTGGGGGGGGGGGGGGCGGCGACGACACCAGGTGCAAGGTGGGCGGGGGGGGTGGGTGGAGGGAGGCTCGCCGGTGCCTCTGCTCGCTCACCTGGAAGTCGCGGCGCTTCTCGAAGACGGGCACGACGAGGCGGTAGACGTCGGCCAGCAGCTCGTAGCGCTCGGCCTTCCAGAGCGCGTCGGCCACGCGTTCCAGCAGCTCCACCAGCACGTCCTGGTGCCGCACCGCCACGTCGCCGCATAAACACCTCATCGTGACACCTCGTCGCGGCGCCCCATCGCGGCGCAACGCCCCTTCGTTAGGGGAGGGGAGCACCTCGTTGGGGGGGGCACCTCGTAAGCAGGGGCAACTCGTTAGGGGGGTGCCTCGTTAGGGGAGGGGGGGCACATCGTCGTGACGGCGCTCACCTCGTTGAAGTGAACGTCCTCCATGCCGGCGTCCTCTTTCATGGCCGCTTCCTCGTCCACGTTGGGGGAGAGGACGCGGAACGCGGCGCAGCCCCTGGTGTACGAACCTGGGGTAAGCGCAGAGGGGGTACACGCAGAGGGGGTACACGCAGAGGGGGTACATGCAGAGGGGGTACACGCAGAGGGGGCACACACAGAGGGGGCACACACAGAGGGGGCACACACAGAGAGGGGGTACACACAGAGGGGGCACACACAGAGGGGGTACACACAGAGGGGGTACACACAGAGGGGGTACACACAGAGGGGGTACACACAGAGGGGGCACACACAGAGGGGGCACACACAGAGGGGGCACACTCAGAGGGGGCACACACAGAGGGGGTACACACAGAGGGGGTACACACAGAGGGGGTACACACAGAGGGGGTACACACAGAGGGGGCACACACAGAGGGGGCACACACAGAGGGGGTACACACAGAGGGGGTACACACAGAGGGGGTACACACAGAGGGGGTACACACAGAGGGGGTACACACAGAGGGGGTACACACAGTGGGGGTACACACAGAGGGGGCACACACAGAGGGGGTACACACAGAGGGGGCACACACAGAGGGGGTACACACAGAGGGGGTACACACAGAGGGGGTACACACAGAGGGGGCACACACAGAGGGGGTACACACAGAGGGGGTACACACAGAGGGGGTACGCGGAGCGATGGGCAATGAGTGATCAGTGACGAGCGGTGGGTGATTAGAGATGGGTGGCGAGTGATGGGCGATGGTTCCTCACCTTTGCGTTTGAGGTACTCGGCGACGAGAGCGGCGACGTGGACGTAGCACATGGCGGCCTGCGGCGCACGCAGCAAAGACAAAGGTTCCCCAGCCGTGTAGGCTACACTGGCTGGTTGGTTCAAGTGCTGTGAGCGAGCATCTATGAAGGCCGGCATGGCACATGAGGGGGTGGGTGGCCCGCACCGGTGGCGATGTTTACACACCGCACCAGGTACTCATTTGAGGCTGAGTCGACCTCGGGGAGGCCCAGAACTGGTTCAGATAATCATCAATGGTTGGCCGCCGTCGTGAGCAAGCGCAGTGCGCTAACCACTGCACCATCATTCCCCACACGCACGTACACATACACACACACACAACAACAAGAGCCGTCATTGCCACTGACTGGCGGTGACGTCACCACGATGCTTATGCCAGGCTAAGTGCACTTTGAAGCCACGTGAAGGGTCGAAGGCTCGCTAACAGGAGTACACGTTGTGGGTTCACTGATGGTGCCAGGCTAAGTTCAGGAGGTCACAGGACAGACCCAGGTGCCATGAGTTGATTGGCAGAGGCACCATCTGTGCAGCTCACTGTGCCACCTTGCCATGGTTCAGCTGACTCAGAGGGATGTTTGTAGCGCCCGATGAGGCGAGGGGACAGGAGTGTGAAATTGTGACGATTTGATGATGTGATGGTGTGACATGACGGTGTGACATGACGGTGTGATGACGTGACGGTGTGATGTGACGGTTTGACCACGTGATGGTGTGACATGACGGTGTGACGTGACGGTGTGATGACGTGACGGTATGACGTGACGGTTTGACGACGTGATGGTGTGACATGACGGTGTGATGACATGATGGTATGACGTGATGGTTTGACAACGTGATGGTGTGACATGACGGTGTGACGTGACGGTGTGATGACGTGACGGTATGATGTGACGGTTTGACGACGTGATGGTGTGACATGACGGTGTGACGCGGAGACGCGATGACGCAACGGAGTGACAACGCGACGTGACGGTGTGACGATGTGACGGTGTAACGGTGTGACGATGTGACGTGACCGTGCGACGTGATGACGCAACGTGCCGGTGTGACGACGCATCGCGACCGTGCGGCATGATGATGTGATGACGCAACGTGCCGGTGTGACGACGCATCGCGACCGTGCGGCGTGATGATGTGATGACGCAACGTGCTGGTGTGACGACGCGACGTGACCGTGCGGAGTGATGATGTGATGACGCAACGTGACCGTGTGGCATGATGATGTGACGATGCATCGCGACCGTACAGAGTGATGATGTGACGACGCAAAGTGCCGGTGTGACGACGCAACGTGACCGTGCAGAGTGATGATGTGATGACGCAACGTACTGGTGTGACGATGCAACAAGACCGTGCAGAGTGATGATGTGATGATGCATCGTGCCGGTGTGATGACGCAACATGCCGGTGTGACGACGCGACGAGACCGCGCAGCGCGACGGTGCGACGCGACGGTGCGACGCGACGGTGCGACGTGACGGTGCGACGTGACGGTGCGACGCGACGGTGCGACGCGACGGTGCGACGCGACGGTGCGACGCGACGGTGCGACGTGACGGGGCGACGTGACGGTGCGACGTGACGGTGCGACGTGACGGTGCGACGTGACGGTGCGACGTGACGGGGCGACGTGGGCGCGGCGTGACGGTGCGACGTGACGGGGCGACGTGACGGTGCGACACGACGGTGCGACGCGACGGTGCGACGCGACGGTGCGACGTGACGGTGCGACGTGACGGGGCGACGTGACGGTGCGACGTGACGGTGCGACGCGACGGTGCGACGTGACGGTGCGACGTGACGGTGCGACGTGACGGTGCGACGCGACGGTGCGACGTGACGGTGCGACGTGACGGTGCGACGTGACGGGGCGACGTGACGGTGCGACGTGACGGTGCGACGTGACGGTGCGACGTGACGGTGCGACGTGACGGGGCGACGTGGGCGCGGCGTGACGGTGCGACGTGACGGGCGACGTGACGGTGCGACGTGACGGTGCGACGTGACGGGGCGACGTGACGGTGCGACGTGACGGTGCGACGTGGGCGCGGCGTCAGAGAGGCGCACCTCCGAGAGGTCTCCGTGCTGTAGGTGCGTGCGCGCCATGCTCTCTAGCCAGGCCTTGCGCAGCTCCGGCGTGCTGGCGTAGGAGCGCGCCAGGCTGTACTGCAGGTCGGCCAGCAGTTCGGGGTCGCCAGCGTGCTCCTTCATCTGCGCCGTCGCCATCAGCACCGTGCGGATCCTCTTGGTCAGGTCCTTCACCTCCGCGGGGAACGCCGTGGCCTGGGGGTGGTGGGGGGGGAAGCAGAGGGAGGAGGGGAGGGGATGAGGTGAGGGGAGGGAGCAGGAGAGGAAGCAGGGGAGGGAAGAGAGGAGGGGAGGAAGGAGGGGAGGGAGGTGGCGATATGAAGAGGACGCGTGCACACACACACAAGGGTGACGCACCGAGTGTGTATGAGGTGGTGGCGATGATGTTGTTGCTGATGTTGATGATTGTGATGTTGCTGATGATGTTAGTGGTGATGTTGGTGATTATAATGTTGACGGTGGTGATGTTGTCGGTGGTGATGTTGTCGGTGATGTGGCCACCTTCATGGCCTTGTCGCTGTTGGCGTAGTTGTTGACTATGGACAGCGAGTGCTGGAACCTGGAGCCTCCGATGCCAACAACATCAGCGATCAGCTGACTCACGGCAATGATGATCTACGCACACACATGGACATCACACGCATAAACATCACACACACGGATGTCACATACGCACGTCACACAAGCACATATACGCACGCACGTCACACATACGTCACACACAAACGTCACACGCACGTCAGACACACGCACGTCACAAACGAACACACACACGCACGTCACACACACGCTCGTCACACACGCACACACACGGACGTCACACAGATGGATGTCACACACACGCACATACACGGACGTCACACACGCACGTCACACACACGCACGTCACACACACGCACGTCACACACACGCACGTCACACACACGCACGTCACACACACGCACGTCACACACGCGGACGTCACACACGCGGACGTCACACACACGCACGTCACACACACGCACGTCACACACACGCACGTCACACACACGCACGTCACACACACGCACGTCACACACACGCACGTCACACACACGGACATAATAGACGGACGTCACACACGCACAACCGCACACATTCCTACACACACACACATCCACCTACATGCACACACAACACACACACGCTTGCACACATGGATTTCAAACACGCACGTCACGCATGCACGCACACACTAAAAACTAACTTTAAAAAAACATTTATTTTACCAGGTAAGGCCCACTGAGCTATGTAGCTCCTTTTTCAGAAGTGATTTGGCCACAAACGATAGCTCAACAAAGTGGCTTGTCACTTGGGAATGTATTTCAGCCAAATACGCACGTTAATTCTAAATCTGGTGAGAAAAAACCGGAGGACCGAGAGAAAAATCTCCACGACCACGGGGAGAGACACTCAAACTCCAAATATACAGCAGGCGTCAGGGTCGGGAAATCGAAGCCACGACCTCCTGCGTACCAGGCGAGGTTGTTAACATCTCCTCGCCACAGCGGCGCCCCACACACTCACACACCCCGCTCCTGGTACGCTCGCACGCATGCGCACACCTGCAGGTGGGAGCGCACGAAGGACTTTCTGCCGGTGTACTCGAAGTTGTTGCGCATGAGCAAGTAGAGCAGAGCGCAGGCCTCGCTGCGTGTGGAGCCCAGCTTGGCGCTGCAGCACTTGAGCAGCTCGTAGCAGAGCGAGGCGCACATGTCGGCACGGCCCGTGAACAGCGCCGCCGGGAACTGTGGGAGTCAGGCGCACGGGTAACAGGTAGAGACGGAGGCGAATTCCAATTTGGTTCGTGTGAACTGTGGAGGTCAGGGTACCAGGGTCAGCACCAGCAGCGGGGTTAGGATTAACGGTCAGGGTGACGGGTGTGGTGCAGAGCGTGGTGCTGTGCGTGGTGTCGTGCGTGGTGCTCTGTGAAGTGTTGAGTGCCGTGTTGAGTGCCGTGTTGAGTGCCGTGCGGTGCTGCGTGCTGCGACATGCAGTTCCGTAGTGCTGTGGTGCGGTGCCACCTGCTGTGTGCGGTGCAGTGCTGCGTGCGGTGCGGCAAGCGGTGCCTTGTTGATGAAGCCGCGCAGCACAGCGAAGACGTGGCGCAGCGTGGCTTCGGACTGTGGCACGGCGAGGAAGGTGAGTAGCACGTCGAAGACGCGGCGCATCAGCCGCCCGTGGCTCTCCTCTGCCAGCAGCTGCTCCTGACGCGCGCGCGCACACACGCAGGCACACACACACAAAGACAAAGGTCCCCCGCGTAGCCCAATGCAGTCTGTACGCGAGGGCCGTCGGCGAGTGAATGCCCGCGAGGTCACGGGATCGACCCAAGGTGGTGCCATGAGATTGACTGACTAAGATGACTGGCAGATGCACCAGCTGTACCCCCTACTGTGCCAGCTTGCTGCTTTGTAGCTGCCCGGCGCTTCACTCGCTGTTGCGAGCGTCGCTTTCCCGGCCCTGCACTGTTGTTGGGCGCCTCCAAACTGACACATATACGCATGTGTACATACAAAAGACAAAGATCCCCCATAGAGCCATAATAGAATGTTGGGGCAAGTGATTTTAGCAAGCACCTATGAAGGCCGGCATGGCACACTAGGGCGTGGATGGTCGGCACCACGCCTGGCCACCTTTGTCTCCCCAAGTGGAAATATTTATACACTGCATTAGCTACTGATTTGTGGCTGAGTCGACCTAGGGGAGGCCCAGAACCGGTTCGGATAACTGTCACCGGTGTTGGTGTTGGTCGTGAGTGGGAATCAAACTCGAAGCTGGCGAGTTTGTGGTGCAGCGCGTTGACTGCTACAATACGGCTCCCCATTCCCAGACACAAAGACAATGATCCCCCGTATAGCTGTAACAGACTGTTGGGGCAAGTGCTGTTAGCGAGTAGCATCCATGAAAGCCGGCACGGCACACGAGGGGGTGGGTGGCCAGCACCACACACGCGTACGCTCACGTGCATGGGGGCGGGCACACACACACACACACTGACGTCTGGGTCACAATTCCATGTGGGGTGGTGGTGGGCACCTTGAAGCTGTGGGTGAAGCAGGCGAGGGCGTCGAGCACCACGAGCCCGGCCTCCGTCGCCAGCGCCGCCTCCAGCACCGCCTCCACCTCCGAGTGGCCGTAGCCTAGACACGCACATGGACACGCGCACATGTGCACGGGTGCGCGCGTGTATAGACACGCACGAGGGCACGCACACGTGTACACGGGCGACCGCACGGAACAGAGACGCTAATGGTGGAGACTGACCAAGAGTCAGGAGATGGCACAGAGAGAGAGAGCGAGAAGAGAGGGAGAGCGAGAGAGAGAGGGAGAGGGAGAGCGAGAGAGAGCGAGAGGGAGACGAGAGAGTGAGAGAGAGCGAGAGGGACAGCGAGAGGGAGAGCGAGAGCGAGAGAGAGAGCGAGAGTGAGAGAGAGTGAGAGAGCGAGAGGGATAGCGAGAGAGAGAGAGCGAGAGAGAGCGAGAGAGGGAACGAGAGAGAGAGAGCGAGAGAGAGAGAGCAAGAGAGAGAGCAAGAGAGAGGGAGCGAGAGAGGGAGCGAGAGCCAGAGCGAGAGAGAGCGAGAGAGAGGGAGTGAGAGAGAGAGAGGGAGCGAGAGAGAGGGAGCGAGAGAGCGAGCGAGAGAGAGAGGGAGCGAGAGAGAGGGAGCGAGAGAGCGAGCGAGAGCGAGAGAGCGAGCGAGAGAGGCAGAGAGAGAGGCTGAGAGAGACGCTGAGAGAGAGAGAGGTGAAGGCGACCGAGTGGATGACCGTCGAGCGGAGGTTTCCGTTGCTGCTGTCCAGGGATTGCGGCGTGGTGCGGATTCACAGCTGTTAGCGCCGGGCGGCAGCGTTAGGAGTGGGAGTGTTAGGAGTGGGATTGTTATGAGTGGGAGTGTTAGGAGTGGGATTGTTAGGAGTGGGAGTGTTATGAGTGTTCTATGAGTGTTAGGGGTGGAATGGGAGTGTTAAGGGTGGGGTGGGAGTGCCATGTTAGGAGTGGGATTGTCAGGAGTGTTCTATGAGTGTTAAGGGTAGAATGGGAGTGTTAGGGGTGGGGTGGGAATGTTAAGGGTGGGGTGGGAGTGTTAGAGGTGGGAGTATTAGGAGTGGAGTGCCTTGTTAGGAGTGGGAGTGTTAGCAGTGTTCTATGAGTGTTAGGGGTGGAATGGGAGTGTTAAGGGTGGGGTGGGAGTGTTAAGGGTGGGGTGGGAGTGTTAGAGGTGGGAGTATTAGGAGTGGAGTGCCTTGTTAGGAGTGGGAGTGTTAGCAGTGTTCTATGAGTGTTAGGGGTGGAATGGGAGTGTTAAGGGTGGGGTGGGAGTGTTAGAGGCGGCAGCGTTAGGAGTGGAGTGCCTTGTTAGAAGTGGGATTGTTAGGAGTGTTCTATGAGTGTTAGGGGTGAGAGTGTTAGGGGTGGAATGGGAGTGTTAGGTGTGAGATGGGTGTTAGGGGTGGGAGTGTTAGGGGTGGGAGTGTTAGGGGTGGGAGTGTTAGGAGTGGGATGGGAGTGTTAGGGGTGGGAGTGTTAGGTGTGGGAGTGTTAGGGGTGGGAGTGTTAGGGGTGGGAGTGTTAGGGGTGGGAGTGTTAGGGGTGGGAGTGTTAGGGGTGGGAGTATTAGGAGTGGGATGGGAGTGTTAGGGGTGGGAGTGTTAGGTGTGGGAGTGTTATGGGTGGGAGTGTTAGGGGTGGGAGTGTTAGGTGTGGGAGTGTTAGGGATGGTAGTATTAGGGGTGGAATGTTAGGTGTGGGATGGTGAGCTAGGAGTGCTAGGAACGTTCTAGGAGTGTTAGGGTTAGGCCGAGAGTATTACATGTGTAAAGGAGTGCCAGGAGTGGGCTAGGTATGTGAAGCAGGAGGGAGAAGCAGGAGGGAGCCTGCTTACCATGGTCAATAGCAACCCCCAGAATACTGGAGAGCTTTCTGACGCTGGGGAGACACAGAGAGAGCGCCGTGGCATTACTCCTCCTCCTCCACGCCACTGCTGTTGCCCCTCACCATCGCCATGGTCAAGGGTCTGGGTTCCAGCCACGGGGATCAAAGGTACATGGGGGAGGGTGGGGGGTGCGAGGAAGCGCGAGGAGGCGCGGGGAGGTGCGGGGAGATGCGAGGAGGTGCGAGGAGGTGCGAGGAGGTGCGAGGAGGTGCGAGGAAGTGCGGGGAGGTGCGAGGAGGTGCGAGGAGGTGCAGGGAGATGCGGGGAGGTGCGAGGAGGTGCGAGGAGGTGCGAGGAGGTGCGAGGAGGTGCGGGGAGATGCAAGGCGGTGCGGGGGAGGTGTTGGGAGTGGATTAATCTTGGCACTCGCTCGTTGCCAACTGGACAAGGGACGCAGTCGTGTCGTGCCAGCATGGGGTGGGGGGAACCAAGCGGTGGTACGCGAGTCTGTGGGCCTCTGTAGGTCTCTTGGGTCTCTGTGGGTTTCTAGAGGTCTCTGTGGAACTCGATGACACGGGGTTTGCTGCGGGTGAGTTGGGGGCTGCTCTATCCACTGCTGGATAACCTGGATCAGCTGTGCATGCCGGCTAAGAGCACCCGAGTCTCTCTTCTGTGCCAAACCGAGCGCCCCACTGGCCGCGCACGCGCGCCCACAAGTGCAATCGCTACACAGACTCATGCGGTAGAGACACCGACACACAATCACCCACAGGGACACACACACAGGGACACGCACACAGGGGGACATGCACATGGGGACACACACATGGGACACACGGGGACACACACATGGGACACATGGGGACACACACATGGGACACACGGGGACACACCAACAACGACAACTGCCATTCGCCACTAAGTGGCGTTGACATCACTATGGTGCTTGTGCCAGGCAATGTTCACGTTAAGGCCACGTTAAGTGTAGAACGCCCGCTGGGAGGCCACGGGACAGACCCAGGTGCCATGGGTCGACTGAGATGACTGGCCGATGCACCCCATGTGCCCCCTACTGTGCCAACTTGTTGTGCTTTAGCCTGTTGGAATACCTCTGCTGTAGCGGATGAACAAAAAATATGGAATCTGTGAGTGATTTGTGATTCCGGGCTACTGAGGCAAACTCCATCTCCTCAGAAACCCGCAACCAACAACCATTCTTGCAGCGCTGTATGGCCCTCGGAACCTCCGAGCGAAGGCTGCGGTAAGCCTCCTCATTGTGATGTGGGGTGCTGTAGATGGTGAGAGTGGGCCTGTCGCTTTTTCTCAGCCAGCCGGAACACCTCCTCTGTCAGCCAGGGTCTCTGGGAAGGTCTGGACCGCGTACCCAAAGCAGCCATTGCAGCTGCATGAACCTAAACAAAGCCAATTTCCCCTCATCATCAGGAGGAGTGGGGGACAATACCAACTCCAGCTGCAAGTGATGATGATATTCTGGCTTGCAACTTTAATCAGCTAGCTGAGACCAGGCCACTCTTGGTTTGAACAGGGTCCTGGATGTACACCCACCACCGGAGTGAAAGAATGGCAGACTTACAGATGACAGTGGGCAGATCAGCTCTACAATAGGTTCTTGTGTCAATGGCATGGGCTTGCATCTGCTGTTCCATCACTATATAGTCCAGCAAATGTTCTTCATTGGAACCGGCGTGCATCCATGATGTTGTGTGGATGCGACAATGCCGGAACAGTGTGTTGGTAATTACAAGCCCATGGGCACAAAATTATAGCAGCCTCCTACTGTTGTTAATGAGCTCATCTGGCCCATGCCTTCCAATCATTCCAGACCAAGTTCCAGCATCATGACCCACACAGGCATTAAAGTCACCCAACAAGATGACTCTATCCTCAGTGGCTACTTTAGCTAGCACCTGTAACAGGTCATAGAAGGCATCTGACTCCATCGGCCTTCCCTGCATCCCTCCACTGATGTTCGTCTTTGGTGGGGGCATAAGTAGCCACTTCCCTGTTGTTTGGCAGTCTCCTGTCCCGAGTAGAAGACTGTCCACCCCTCATGGTAACAGGAGCCAGAGCCAGTCCACCGCACCTCCTGGATATTACAGAGATCCAAGCAGTACCGGTCCAGCACCCGACAGAGGAGTGGCAGCCTCTTCTCGGCAGCGAGCATTCAAACATTCCACATGGCAATGACTTTTTGCTATTTCTGGAGGAACCCCGAGGGTAAGGATTCAGTCTCTTGGCTCCGCCAATTGGGGTTTGGCCAGGAGACGTCATAGATGCCTGTCCCCCTGGGGCCTCCTGCACTAGCTTAATTCTATATTTTTCACGTGGTTTAGTGGTAAATAATTGAAGGTAGAGGGATTACCAGCACCTCGCACCCATCCAGAGCCCCCTTTTAGCACCTGTGGTGGCTAAAAGCACCATGAAGGGGTATGGCCGATTTTGTAATTGGTCTTCCTTCCATGGCAATTGCTCACATCCACTACAGTGTTGCCGTCCGGCACCAGCGAGGAGGTAGGGGACACACACGGGGACACACAACAACTACCGCCATTCGCCACTAAGTGGCGGTGACGTTACCACGGCGCTTGTGCCAGGCCATGTGCACCTTGAGGTCACGTGAAGTATCGAACGCCCGCTGGCAGGTCACGGGGCAGACCCAGGTGCCACGGGTCGACTGACTGAGATGACTGGCTGATGCACCACCTGTGCCCCCGACTGTGCCAACCTGTTGTGCTTTAGCCACCCGGCGCTCCGCTCGTTGTTGTGAGCGACGCTCCTCCGCCCTCCGTTGTTGTTGGAGGGCGACTGCCTCCAACTGCCCAGTAGCGTCCTTCACGAGCCTCCTCCACAGAGGCCGATCTTGACACCGCTGGTACCAGTCATCGGAAAGTCCACTCAGCTCCACGTCCTCCTGTACCACATCACTCCATCGCTTCTCTAGCCCGTGCCACGCCCATTTAGCCCCCTCAATCCGGCCGAACAAAAGCTCTTTCGGCATGTGGTGGCTGGGAATGCGGGCTACATGAACTAGCCAACGCAGCCTTCCCTGCCGGAGGAGCTCAGATCTTTCAAGGATTTGTGAGCTCCTCACACAATCCAGCCTGGTTAAACCCAGGATGGATCGTAGGCAGGTGAGCCTAAATGTTTCTAACCGGCGAAGATGTTCCATTAAGGGGGTCCACGTTTCGCAAGCGTAGAGAAGAGAGGGAATGACCATGGCCGAGAAGACCTGAAGCTTAGTGCGGAGCGACAGACCACGTAGCTTCCACACAGCGTTACGCAACCGATGAAAAGATATTGCCGCTCGACTGATTCGGAGTGAGACCTCTGCTGTTAAACTGGAGCCGGTCATAAGCACACTGCCCAGGTATGGGAAACTCTCCACTCTCTCCACAACTGCCCCATCACCGATTGGGAGTTGTGGGGGTGGAGTGTCCGATGGTACAAAATACCCAGGCAGGTGCTTAGTTTAGGTGGGGCTGATGGAAAGGCCCCATCTCTTAGTGGCACGCTCCAGTCTCAGCAGCAGCGTCTCCAACTCCTCCTCTGAATGAGCAGCTATTACCAAATCATCGGCATACATAATGTGGTTGAGCAATAGGGAGCCATCCCTTGACCACACGCGGGCATCGATCAGCCTCCCATTATATCTGTACCAAATGGAGATTCCTCCGGACCAGCTATTGAAGGCCTCACGAACTACGTGGTCAAAATAGATGTTAAATAATGTGGGAGCCAGAGGACATCCCTGTCACACCCCAAGGTGAACAGGGAATGTCTCTGACTCCCGGCCATGTAGTTTTACCCGGGCCCGCTCACCATCATGAAGGTCCTTAATGATCGTGAGCTGGGGGTCAGGGACTCCAAAAACACGAAGAACAACCCAGAGCCCAGGCCTACTGATGGTATTATAGGCCTTGACCAGGTCAATAAAGCAGAGATGTAGGTCTTGTTGGAATTCCCTACACCTCTGCTGTAGCAGACGGACAGAAAATATGGCATCTGTGCAGGACCGCCTTTTCCTGAAACCACATTGGGGCTCCGCAAGCCTCTCCTCAGCGTGCCTGGCAAGGCGATGTTGAATAATCCTTGCCAGGACCTTTCCTGGCACACTGAGGAATGAGATGCCCCTTTAGTTGTTACAGTCTGTGCGGTCCCCCGTCTTAAAGAGGGGGACCACCAGGGCATCCTTGCAATCCTGCAGAACCCGTCCAGTGGTCCAGACTGTTGTTATGATGTCATATAGGGCAGTCTGTGCACAAACACCACCCTCCCTCAGCATTTCGCTTGGGAGATCATCTCTGCCCGGTGCCTTTCCTGGTCTCAGACTCCGGACTGCCTTCAGTACTTCCTCAACAGATGGCACCTCAGCTAGCCACTCACAGGGGGTGACTTCTTCCAATATTTGAGGCACTGCAGCCTCAGCAGGGTCATCCCCACTTTGTGCCATGATGTTTTCCTGGCTGAGGGGTTTCCCCTCCCCCAGGACCTCACAGAAATGCTCAGCATATATGCAAACCTGTTCCTGGGGGTCGGAGATTGGAACACCGTTTTTTTCCCTAATTATGGTAATAGGTGTGGCGCTGCAGGTTACTTTTTTGATGGAGTTAAATAGAGATTTGTGATCGCGGGCCACTGAGGCAGACTCTCCTCAGCAACCCACGACCACCACCCATCCTTGCAGCGTCTCACGGCTCTCCGAACCTCCGAGCGAAGGCTGCGGTAAGCCTCCTCATTCTCGGACGTGGGATTCTGTAGCCGATGACAGTGAGCCTGTCGCTTTTTCTCAACTATCCTGAACACCTCCTCTCTCAGCCAGGGTCTCTGGGGAGGTCTGGACCGCGTACCCAAAGCAGCCATTGCAGCTGCATGAGCCTAAACAAAGCCAATTTCCCCTCATCATGAGGAGCAGGGGACAATGCCAACCTCAGCCGCAAGCGATGATGAAATTCTCACTTGCAACTTTCATCAGCTAACTGAGACCAGGCCACTTTAGGTTGGAATGGGGTCCTGGGTGTACACCCATCACCGGAGTGGAAGAATGGCAGGCGCATCTTACAGATGACTAGTCGAAGGTCAGAGGGCAGATCAGCTCCACGGTAGGTCCTGGTGTCAAGGACATGGGCTCGCATCCGCTGGTCCGTCATTATGTAGCCCAGCAGATGTTCTTACTTGGACCCGGCATGCATCCATGATGTTGTGTGGATGCGTCGATGCCGGAACAGCATGTTGGTAATTACAAGCCCATGGGCTGCACAAAAATCTAGCAGCCTCCTACCGTTGTTATTGAGCTGATCTGGCCCATGCCCTCCAATCACTCCAGACCAGGTGCCAGCATCATGACCAACTCGGGCATTGAAGTCACCCAACAAGATGACTCTATCCTGAGGGGCCACTTTTGCCAGCACCTGTGACAGGTCATAGAAGGCATCTGACTCAATGGCTTTGCCTGCATCCCTCCATGGATGTTCGTCTTCGGTGGGGGCATAAGTAACCACGACCACCACTCCTCACCTCCGGTTGATGGGAAGGCGAGCCCAAAGTAGCCTGGGGCTTACAGCTTCCCACACCTCACCGCCACGCTCCCACGCACCCTTCATTCTTTTGTTCAAAAGAAGAGCCACACCCTGTTGTTTGGCAGTCTGCTGCCCTGAGTAGAGGACTGTTCACCCCTCATGGTGGCAGGAGCCAGAACCGATCCACCGGACCTCCTGATTGCCACAGAGATCCAGCCGGTACCGGACAAGCTCCCGACAGAGGAGTGGCAGCCTCTCCTCCGCAGTGAGCGTTCGAACATTCCACGTGGCCACACGAAGTGGCTTTTCGTTGTTTCTGGAGGAGCCCCGAGGGTAGAGATTCAATCTCCTGGCTCCGCCAATTGGGGTTTGGTCAGGAGACGTCACAGACGCCTGTCCCCCTGGGGCCTCCGGCACACACACACGGGGACAACAACAACAACCGCCATTCGCCACTAAGTGGCGGTGACGTCACCACGACGCTTGTGCCAGGCTGTGTGTACCCTGAGGGACGTGAAGTGTCGAACGCCCGCTGGCAGGAGGTCACGGGGCAGACCCAGGTGCCACGGGTCGACTGACTGAGATGACTGGCTGATGCACCACCTGTGCCCCCTACTGTGCCTACCTGCTGTGCTTTAGCCACCCGGCGCTCCGCTCGTTGGTCTGAGCGTCGCTCCTCCGCCCTCCATTGTTGTTGGAGGGCGACTACCTCCAACTGCCCAGTAGCATCCTTCACGAGCCTCCTCCCTAGAGGCCGATCTTGACACCGCTGGTACCAGTCATCGGCAAGTCCACTCAGCTCCACGTCCTCCTGTACCACATCACTCCATCTCTTCTCTAGCCCGTGCCGCGCCCGCTTAGCCCCCTCAATCCGGCCGAACAAAAGCTGTTTCGGCATGCGGTGGCTGGGCATGCTGGCTACATGACCCAGCCATCGCAGCCTTCCCCGCCGGAGGAGCTCACCGATGGGACCTTGCCCAGATCTCAAACGGGGACACACACACACGGACACACACACGGGAACACACACTTACTGTGGTGCAGGCTGCCACCGCTGGCGCCAGGTTCGGCGCTGGGCAGGTGAGAGAAGCGAGCATGCAGCGAGGCGGCCCTGCTGGGGAGGAGGTTACGCGGCGCGGGGAGCGTCTGAGACTTCCTTTCTGGGGGCGGCGGTGGTGCAGAGCGCACCGGGCTAGCGGCCTCCACCGCCCTTCACACAGCACCGCACCATGCCGCACCAGACCAGACAGTACCAGACAGCACCGCACCAGACAGCACCACACAGGACCGCACAACACCGCACAGAACCAGACAGCACGACACCACACAGCACCACACCACACAGCCGAACACCAGACAGCACCCAGACAGCACCACACCAGACAACACCACACCACACAGCACCACACCACACAGCACCACATCACACAGCCAGACACCAGACAGCACCCAGACAGCACCCAGACAGCACCACACCACACAGCAGAGCACCAGACAGCACCACACCACACACACCGGAGCATTGGCAGGGAGAGGAAGAGAGAGTGGAGAGTGGAGGAGAGAAACAGCGCGATGAGCGAGATGTGGCAAACCCTCCATGCTCTACAAATAGATCCACCATCACCACCATCACCACCATCACCACCACCGACACCATCATCACACCATCATCGTCGTCACCATTATTATCACCACCATTACTGCCATCACCCCCACCATCATCGTCACCATCATGATCACCACGATCACCACCACAAACACAACCGTAACCGTCCACGCATTCGTCGCCATCATCGCCGTGCCCTCGTTGTTAGGTATGGGTGAGGAGATGGTGAGGTAGTGAGGAGATGGTGGTGAGGACAGGGGCCGGCTCATATCGTCACCGCCGGGATAGTTCTCAAAGCGCATGCGGCCACGGGGAGGGGGGGTGCCCCCCACACTCGCTTTAAGAGCCTCTCTCTGACATTCCACACGCGCACAGCCTGCCTTAGCGCCCGGACAGCCTCCTCGCACCATCACCATCGTCGTCATCCCGGCTGGGGGAGGCTAAATCGGTACCACTTGTGAGAGAAGTCAACAGTGGTTGTCCCGCGTGGATGGAACTCGCCCCCCCACCACAGGAACGTGGAATGGCCACCGCTAGCGACAGCAGGGCTGTGCACAGGCAGGCGAGTGCCACCCCAAGCGGAGTAGAGTCACGCAGGGCAAGTGGTCGGCGGGGCAAGTGAGGGTGCACGAGGCTGAGCGTGGAGGTGAGTGTCCAAACAGGTGAGTGTCCACAAGTGAGCGTGCAGGTGAGTGTCCACACAGGTGAGCGTGCACACGGCTGAGCGTGCAGGTGTATGTCCACACAGGTGAATATCCACAGGTGAACGTGCAGGTGAGTGTCCACACAGGTGAGCGTGCACATGGCTGAGCGTGCAGGTGAGTGTCCACACATGTGAATATCCACAGGTGAGCGTGCAGGTGAGTGTCCACACATGTGAATAGCCACAGGTGAGCGTGCAGGTGAGTGTCCACTCAGGTGAGCGTCCACACGGGTGAGCGTACACATGGGAGCTGGTGAGTGCAGGGAGCCTCACCGGCACGGTGAGTGGCGGGGAGCGATTGGCTCAGCCAGGTCGCGATAGCATTGATTCAAAAAGAACAACTGTGAAAACAGCCTTACCATGCTCACCACTCACTCACAACACTCTATACTCACCACACTCTATATTTACCATGCTCACCATGCTCTATATTCCCCAAGTTCACAATGCGTGTTTACACACATATGTACGCACGCCCGTGTGCATGTGTATGGGTATGCACGCGGGGTACTCTACCTGGCCAGGTAGCGCTTCCCCATGTACTTGAACTGATGGAGACAGATCCTGAGGGACACACACAGGTATGCGAGCGCGTGGGTAAGCGAGCAAGTGAGGGAGTGGGAGGGTGAATGACCGGGTAGATGAGTGAGCGGGTGGGAGGGCGGGTGTCTGGATGGGTGAGCAGGTGGGTTAGCGGGTGGGTGAGCGGGTGGGTCAGCGGGTGGGCGGGCGGGTGGGCGAGCAGATGGGTGGGTAAATGAGCAGGTGAGTGAGTGGGCGGGCGGGCGGGCGGATGGTGGGTCAATGGGTGAGTGGGTGGGTGAGCGGGTGAGTGGGTGGGTGAGCGGGTGAGTGAGCGGGTGATTGGGTGGGTGAGCGGGTGATTGAGCGGGTGAGTGAGTGGGTGAGTGGGCAGGTGGTGGCTGAGTCAGTAAGTGGGTGAGTGGGTGGGTAGGTAAGCAAGCGGGTGAGTGGATGGGTGGGTGGTGGGTAAGCGAGTGGGTGGGTGAGGGAGTGGGTAGGCGGGAGGATGGGTGAGTAAGCAGGTGAGTGAGTGGGCGGGTGAGTGGGTGGGTGAGCGGGTGAGAGAGCGGGTGATTGGGTGGGTGAGCGGGTGATTGAGCGGGTGAGTGAGTGGGTGAGTGGGCAGGTGGTGGCTGAGTCAGTAAGTGAGTGAGTGGGCGGGTAGGTAAGCAAGCGGGTGAGTGGATGGGTGGGTGGTGGGTAAGCGAGTGGGCGGGTGAGGGAGTGGGTAGGCGGGAGGATGGGTGAGTAAGCAGGTGAGTGAGTGAGCGGGTGAGTGGGTGGGTGAGCGGGTGAGTGAGCGGGTGAGTGAGCGGGTGAGTGAGTGGATGGATGCATGAGCAAGCAGGTGAGTGAGTGGGCAGGTGAGCGGGCAACTCACTCGAGGAGGGTGAAGAAGTCGAGGAGTTCTGTGTCAGAGGCTTTGTTCCAGTACGCGAGCAGTGCATCTGGGTGCAAACACAAAGGCGACCCCTATAGCTTTAACAGACTGTTCGGGCAAGTGCTGTTAACCAGTGGCACACCTATGAAGGAGGGAGTGGAGGTGGACTGTGGAGAGGGGGGGAAGAGGGGGGTAAGTATGGAAGGGGGGTAAGGGAGGGGGTAGTAGAGAAGGGGGGAAGGGGTAGTGGAGAAGGGCGGTAGGGAGGAGGAGAGTAGAGAAGGGGGGAATGGAAGGGGTTGTGGAGAAGGGCGGTAGGGAGGAGGAGAGTAGAGAAGGGGGTAAGGGAAGGGGTAGTGGAGAAGGGCGGTAGGGAGGAGGAGAGTAGAGAAGGGGGGAAGGGAAGGGGTAGTGGAGAAGGGCGGTAGGGAGGAGGAGAGTAGAGAAGGGGGGAAGGGAAGGGGTAGTGGAGAAGGGCGGTAGGGAGGAGAGTAGAGAAGGGGGGAATGGAAGGGGTAGTGGGAGTACCCTCAGAGACGCTCTTCAGGACGTGCAGGACACACAGCAGGAGGCTGCGGCTCTCGCCGTGCTCCAGAGGACGCAGCCGCAACACCGACCCTGCACCTTGCTGCCGGGGCACGGGTGGGGATGGTCATGAGCACACTGCCCAAGTATGAAAACTTATCCACTCTCTCCACAACTGCCTCATCACTCATGGGGAGTTGAGGGGGTGGAGTATTTGGTAACATAAAATACCCAGTCAGGTGCTTAGTTTTGGTGAGGCTGATGATAAGGCCCCACTTCAGGTTCAGCAGCAGAGCCTCTAACTACTTCTCAGAGTGAGCATTAATCACCAGAACATAACATGGTTGACCATGCCTGGCCATCAATCAGCCTTCCATTGCATCTGTATCAGATAGAAATTCCTCCGGTACAGCCATGGAAAAAGCTTCTCAAACTACGTGGTCAAATATGTCAAATACTGTAGAAACCAGAGGACATCCCTGTCACACCCCAAGGTGAACAGGGCATGGCTCTGAGTCCTGGCCATACAGTTTTACCCAGGCCTGCCCACCATCATGAAGGTGATTAATGATTGTGAGCAGAGAGTCAGCACAAAGAACAACCCACAGCCCTGTGCTATTGATGGTATCATAGGCCTTGACCAGGTCAATAAAGCAGAGATATAGGTACTGTTGGAATTCTCTACACCTCTGCCATAGGATACGGACATGCAGGACCACCCTGGCCTGAAACTACATTGGGGCTCCACAAGCCTCTCCTCAGCTTGCCTAGCAAGGCAATGTTGAATCATCCTTGCCAGGACCTTTCCCGGCCTCACACTGAGGAGTGAGATGCCCCTGTAGTTGTTAAAGTCTGTGTTGCTCACCCTTCTTAAAGAGGGGAACCACCAGGCCATCCTTCCAATCCTGCGGAACTTGTCCCGTGGTCCACTGTTATTATGATGTCATATAGGGCAGTCTGCACACAAACGCCACCCTCCCTCAGCAGTGCGCATGGGAGATTATCTCTGCCCGGTGCTTCTACTGGTCTCAGACTCGGGATCGCCTTCTGTACTTCCTCAAAAGATAGCACCTCAGCCAGCCACGAACACAGGGTGTCTGGACTGAGGGATTTTCCATCTCCCAAGACCTCACAGAAATGCTCAGCATACCTGTTTCTGGGGGTTTGAGATTGGATCACCGTTCTTTCACAAAGTTTATTTTGATGTAATTAAATAGTAATTTGTGATTGCGGGCTACTGAGGCAGACTGTATCTGCTCAGCAAACCGCAGCGAAGGCTCACACATGAGCGTGCACCAGGTACCCATTTGAGGCTGAGTGTACCTAGGGGAGGCCCAGGCCGGGTTCAAATAATCATCACCGGTGTTTGCCATTAGCATGAATCGAACCCGGGTATGTAGCACAACGTGCTAACTGCTCCACGACCGCTCCCCAAAGAAAGATCCCCCGTATAGCCTTAACAGACTGTAGGGGCAAGTGCTGTTAGCGAGTAGCACCTATGAAGGCCGGAACGGTACAGGAGGGGGTGGGTGGCCAGCACCTCGCCTGACCGCCTTTGTCTCCCCAGTGGCGATGTTTACACACTGCACCAGGTACTCATTTGAGGCCGAGTCGACCTAGGGGAGGCTCGGGACCGGTTCAGATAATCGTCACTGGTGTTGGCCGTGAGCGGGAATCGAACTCGGGTCGCCGAGTTCATATCTCAGCGCGCTAACCGCTACACTACCGCTCCCCACACGCGCACGCACACACGCGCACACGCGCACACACACCTTCTCGAGCGAGTTGGCCTTGTCGTGCGCGCTCGGCAGCCCCGTGGCGGACTCGATGCTCACGAGCGACGCGCGGGAATCCGCGTGTCTCACCACCAGCTGCCCTGGGGTGCCTGCCGCCAGAAAATAAGCACACACGCACATGGACAGATGCACACGCGCACACACGGACAGATGCACACGCGCACACACGTACAGATGCACACGTGCATATGCGTACACAGACAGATGCGCGCGCACACACGGACGGACACATGGACAGACGCACATGGAGAGACGCGCACACGGAGAGACGCGCACACGCACGCATGCACACGCGCACTTCTCTCTACGCTGCTCGGCACGCGTAGGGATCGCACCAGAGACGACAGAGAAGAGGTGCCGCCCCTCCCTCACCCCACCACCCCCACGTGACCCCCCCCCCCCCCCCACCTGTGCCGGAGATGGCTGAGAAGAGGTCCCCGGCCGCTGTTGCCGTGGCGGCGGCCTGAGCCCGGTGCGGAGTGCACGACCCCGCGGCGTTAGAGGTCGCGCCGCCCGGCACGGGGTTCTGCACGCATGCGGTGAAGTCGTCGCGCGTAACCTGCATACGCACACGTATAACAAAGACAAAGATCCCCCGGATAGCCTTAACAGACTGTTGGGGCAAGTGCGGTTCACGAGTAGCACCCATAAAGGCTGTACATGAGGGGCTGGATGGCCACCACCACGCCTGACTATGTTTGTCTCCCTAGTGGCAATGTTTACACATTGCACCAGGTACTCATTTGAGGCCGAGTTGACCTAGGGGAGGAGGCCAAGGACCGGTTCAGATAATCATCACCGGTGTTGGCAGTAAGCAGGAATCAAACTCAGGTTACCAGGTTCATATCGCAGTGTGCTAACTGCTACACGACCACTTCCTCACACAAGACAAAGATCCCCCGTAAAGCCTAGCAGACTGTAGGGGCAAGTGCTGTGAGCGAGCACCTATGAAGGCCGGAACGGTACAAGAGGAGGTGGGTGGCCAACACCATGCCCGACCGTCTTTGTCTCCCCAGTGGCGATGTTTACACACCGCACCAGGTACTCACTTGAGGCTAAGTCGACCAAGGGGAGAACCAGGACCGGTTCAAAAAATCGTCACTGGTGTTGGCCGTGAGCGGGAATCGAACCCAGCTCGCCAGGTTAATAGCGCAGCGCGCTAACCGCTACACTACTGCTCCCCACTTCTCCACACACTCGTGCACACATGCTACTTGTGTAGCGTCGGATCGCGTACGCGCATGTGTAGCGCTGTAGATGGGTTGCACTTACCCGCAATGGCGGACAGTGCCCATCAGGGGCGGTACCTCGAGCCGGCGGGGAGGTTGTTACGATCCCCAGCCCGGGAGGGAGGGGGCTGCGGGGTGTTCTAGGATCCCCCGCGGCCCCTCCCAACGGGAGGGGGGGGGCTGCGGGGTGTTCTAGGATCCCCCGGGGCCCCCACCTCCTAGAAAGCGGGCGTGGCCAGAGGCTGACACACCGGAGCGGTGTATAAAAGCCGGACCTCAACACAGGTTGAGGGCAGAGTTACGAAAACTGAAGACTGAAGACTAGGTAGACTAAGACCCTGGGACCTCGAGCCCGCTGCCCTTGTAAGGGCCGGGTCGAGCTGGACCAGTGGTCGGGCCCGTACCTTGGCTGGGTCTGGTCAGGTAGCATCCCCTAGGACACGGATAGCCGGAGGGCTGGGAGCCAGCAGGGGGCAGTGTTTAGATCACGATAGCCCGGAGGCCATACCTCCCTAGATAGGGGGCATAAGGGAGTTAGAAATAAACATACCGTGTTGCCTCTACCTCAACGTCTCCGTAAAATAACTCACTACACTTGCACCATGAAGCCATGTGAAGCATGGAAGACTCGCTGACAGGAGGTCACGAGACAGACCCAGGTGCCATGGGTCGACTGACTGCAACACGTGCCCCCCTCTGTGCCAACTCGCTCCGTATTAGAGGCCGATCTTGTGTTGGTATATAGGCCTTTTTCAAAATTGATATTAATAATATTTGCCGATAATTTTTTTTAATAGTAACCGAAATACTGAATGAAAACACACAAACCCAGAATCAGCAAACAACAGCTGGAGGTCGTGGAAAGGCCATTAAAAAAGATGAAATAATGAACTCCGGGGCAAAGAAAGGCTAGCGGTTATCTGCGAAATCTCCAGATGAACAAGCCTGTTTGATATGACACTGGGTCGCGGTCACCAAGAGGGGAGGGAAAATTCCAAACCGAGAGCAGCCAGCGAATGAGAGAGAGACTCCCGGCCGTCTTTGTCTTCCCACAGCGCAGGAGAGAAAGGAATTTCACACCAGAGCAAGGGAATGTATTATCGTGCAGGCCATCTGCACACACGATGTGCTGGACTTAATAATGGCACCCCACCCCACTACCGCGGGCGGACAAGTAATTAAAACAACCACACACAATACATAAGTGTCATACATAACATTAATGTTAACGTTATTCACCGTAAACTATATTCCGTTTATACAACCTTGCAAACACCAAGGAATACAAATTCCCAGGATCAAGAAACTTACCTCTTAACCCAGGATATCGGAAATAAAATGATATAAATGATAAAGCATACACACGGAATGACGAAAATTAAAAAAAATGAAGGGCCAGGATAATGGGGTGAATCATAACCTTGTTGAACATAAAACCAAATGATATTTGAGCGATGTTAAACCGAGGGCTAGGGAAAGAGAGAGCCTCCCGGCCGTCTTTGTCTTCCCACAGCACGTGATAATAGGCATATGCTCAAGAGAGCACCTTCACTCGTGAAAATAAAAATCAAATACCAGGAGTCACAGACAAAATTCTAACTGCGTGTGGTACGGTACCCAAAAACTATGATGGAATAAAATGTTAACATTAAAAACCTTAACCCTTCCTTTGTGCGTTGGAAAATGTCATACAGGGGGGAATCTCGCCCCTCCCTCCAGATTGTGTAACGCAGACAGAGGGACGCCTTCGGAACGATTTGAAACATCTGTGTTTTTTTATGGTTTATGGAAAGAGAAGGTTAACGAACAGAACCAGGCCGTAAATGACACACACACTGACGCACATACGGACACAAACACTCCAGACCAAGACACACAGCTAAATCAAAGGAGCTCCGCCTTGTCAGGAGGAGCTAAGGGGAGAGATTTTGACATAAAAATAGGATGCTCCAGCATTGAAACACTCATCAGCCAGCGGACAAGCTCAGCGACCAGCGGACCAGCTCAACTCATCCCTGCAGAAGAAGATCAACCATCAGAAGATCAACCACCACCGACGCAGAAGAAGTCTCTACAACGCGCCAGAATGGCAAGATTCGCTGTTTAGCGACAGGCTACACGGTGCGAATCTGTCATCAGGAGCATCGCAACAAACGTATCGCCGAGCGCTAGATAGAGCGCAACCAGCGACCATCACGCCAAGACACAACCGTGCCAGCGACCAGCAGACGAGTGCCATCTACCGATCGTACAACCGTGTCCGCTACGAGCGGGCCGTGAGCCAGCCACACCGACGGCGCACAACCGAAAACCGCTGCGAGCGAACTGTGAGCGCCCTCTACCGACAGAACGCCGCGCCTACAGCATCGTGCCAATCAGCCAACTAGTGGGCCGAAACGACTGCTGTGAAAAGAGAGTCAACCAAACGTATGACGCACCTTGCCCCCCACCACACGACAAACCAGGCGTCTGCTTGACGCAAATAATTAATTCCGAACACTGGCCTACTCCACACAATCCATATTACTTAAAACATACATGAGTCATTAACAAAGCCTAATCCTCAAGACGTGAACCATCAGTGGCCGTAAAAGCATCGCGATAGACCAAGTGATAACCATCCATCGTTTATAAGTACAGTAATAATTTTTCCTCCTTAATTATTTTGTTTTGAGTTGTACTTCTAATCGCATAAATTACCAACAGATCCATCATACGAATTCATCCTTGACACCTTCGCCACGGAGCTACGCTCACGGGGGGGGGGGGGGGGGCGGGGGGGGGGGGGGGGAATAGCGTATCCAACCAGTTTCCTTATCAGGCGATCTGGTCCACAATTAATAAAAAAGTTGGCCAAAGATAAGGATCTCAGGGGATAGCGCGCACCCCATCGCACACCCTCACTCCAAGCCATTTCTTTAATCACATAGTCTTGCCGATGGATAAATTGATATATGTGTGCCTTTGGGAATAATAACTGTTTTGATTGCCTTTTCGTATGAATATCGTTGCATAATTTTAAGGACCTTTCGTTCATAATTGCCGCATGTGCTTGTGTTACACTGCATAAGAATAAATTTCTCTGATACCCAAAGTGAAACGTGATGAGAATTGTCTTGAAGGTTGCTTATGGATCATTGAATGAATGCGGTACTGTGTGGGCAATTTTCAAGTATACGAATTTGCATATTATAAAGTTAAGGTTTTTATTTGGAATAGCGTATGCATGTTTTAACGACTCTCTCTCTCACCAACTGAGCTCACGTTACGCGGGGGAAGGAATCACATGTGCCGTTGTCAAAGTGAAACAACGCAGTCGTTGATGATACTGTGTTGATACTGTGTTAAAATTCCAAGATTGAGAGTTGCATCTTCTAGAGTTAAAGTTTAGTTAGAAATAAAATGTATTAACGCAGAAGTGGTTGTGTGTTCTTTCCTGAAATTTATGCATAAGAACTGTATTCTGCGTTGAGATCTGAATCTGGAGACCTGACATAAACACACTAATCCACTCAGTAAATGTTAAAGCGAGAATAATTGTATTGACGAGCGTTAATGCGAAATTAAACGAAGCCGAATTGACTCTGGCATGCTCACAGCACCTGCATAATTGCCTTATCCCGATTGGATACGACCCTTGTCAGCGAGGCTGGGCGTAATAACCATAAATTCCGTATTAGCATAGCCGCACCCACTCGCATGAATCAATACGATTCTTTCTAGAATTAACATAATTTCAGATAATTATGTAATTTTTCACAATTCATTTAATTTTTATTATTTTCATCAAATTTTCATAACCTACAAATACAACACTTGACACCGCTGGTACCGGTCACCGGCAAGGCAACTCAGCTTCTGTACCGCATGAGGCCATCTCTTCTCTAGCCCGTGTGGTGCCCCTTTTCCTCCTTCTATTTAGCTCATTCCCCCTGCGTGACCTCCGTGTCCCACCCACCCCCACCGTCCCCCCTCCCACCCCCACCGTGTCCCACCCCCACCCCCACCGTGTCCTCTCTCCCCCCTGTGCCCCCCCCCCACCCCCACCGTGTCCCGCCCACCTTCCCCCCCCACCCCCACCGTCCCTCCCCCACCGTCCCTCCCCCACCCCCACCGTGTCCCCCCCCCACCCCCACCGTGTCCCCTCCCCCCCCTTGTGCCCCCCCCCACCCCCACCGTGCAGGTGTTGGCGCTGGCGCTGGGCAGCAGGGCGTGGTCGCGGGCGACGTTGAGGCGGGAGACGTTCTCCAGCGCGATCCCCAGCAGGGGCAGGTACAGCGACGCGATCCGCGCCTGCTGGTTCTGGGACGTCAGCAAACCGCAGTTGGCAACCGCAGCCAGCAACCAGCCAGCAACCGCAGCCAGCAACCAGTCAGCAACCGCAGTCAGCAACCAGTCAGCAACCAGTCAGCAACCACAGTCGGCAACCGCAGACAACAACCAGTCAACAACCAGTCAACAACCAGTCAACAACCAGTCAACAACCAGTCAGCAACCAGTCAGCAACCAGTCAGCAACCACAGTCAGCAACCAGTCAACAACCAGTCAACAACCAGTCAACAACCAGTCAGCAACCAGTCAGCAACCAGTCAGCAACCAGTCAGCAACCAGTCAGCAACCAGTCAGCAACCAGTCAGCAACCGCAGTCAACAACCAGTCAACAACCAGTCAACAACCAGTCAGCAACCAGTCAGCAACCAGTCAGCAACCAGTCAGCAACCGCAGTCAACAACCAGTCAACAACCAGTCAACAACCAGTCAGCAACCAGTCAGCAACCAGTCAACAACCAGTCAGCAACCAGTCAGCAACCAGTCAACAACCAGTCGACAACCAGTCAGCAACCAGTCAGCAACCAGTCAACAACCACAGTCGGCAACCAGTCAACAACCACAGTCAGCAACCAGTCAACAACCACAGTCAGCAACCAGTCAACAACCGCAGTCAGCAACCGCATTCAACAAGCACAGTCGGCAACCGCATTCAACAACCACAGTCGGCAACCGCAGCCAGCAACCAGTCAACAACCGCAGTCAACAACCACAGTCGGCAACCGCATTCGGCAACCGCATTCAACAACCGCATTCAACAACCGCAGTCGGCAACCGCAGCCAGCAACCAGTCAGCAACCGCAGTCAACAACCGCAGTCAACAACCATAGTCGGCAACCGCAGTCAACAACCGCAGTCAACAACCGCAGTCAGCAACCGCAGTCAGCAACCGCAGTCAGCAACCGCAGTCAGCAACCACAGTCAACAACCGCAGTCAGCAACCGCAGTCAACAACCGCAGTCAGCAACCGCAGTCAGCAACCGCAGTCAGCAACCACAGTCAACAACCGCAGTCAGCAACCACAGTCAACAACCGCATTCAACAACCGCAGTCAGCAACCGCAGTCAACAACCACAGTCGACAACTGCAGTCAACAACCACAGTCGGCAACCGCAGTCAACAACCGCAATGGGCAACTGCAGTCAACAACCACAGTCAACAACTGCAGTCAACAACCACAGTCAACAACCACAGTCAACAACCGCAGTCAACAACCGCAGTCGGCAGCCGCAGTCAGCAACCGCAGACAACCACCATGACTGTAGCTCTGTGTGTGGTGCTGTGGTAAGCGCGCTGCATTGCGAACCCGGTGACCAGAGTTCGATTCCCGTACACGGCCACCACCAACTGAAGTGACAATTATCTGATCCGGTCCTGGGCCTCCCTTAGGCTGACTCAGCCCTAAACGAGTATCTGGTGCGGCGTGTGCGCGTGTAAACACCAGTGCTGGAGAGACAAAGGTGGCCGGGCGTAGCGGTGGCCACCCACCCCCAACGGCACTTGCCCCGGCATCCCGTGTGGGGCTACACGGGGGAGCTTTGTCTGCGTACCTTGTGTGCGTAGCGGTCGTCGTGCGCGTGTTTAGCCATCAGCTGCTTGAGTACAGCGATGGCGGCCGGACGCACGTCGCCACTCTCTTGCTGCAGCGCGGAGCTCACCTGTCAGCCGCACAGCTCACCTCGTCACCTACACCTCGTCTCAACCGCCGCATCGCATTCACCTCGTCGTCCCCGCCTGATCACCCTCACCTCGTCGCCCACGCTTTGTTAAGCACACCTCATCGCACTCACCCTGCCCACATTCGAGTCCCAAAGTCAAAGTTGCTTGCCCTGTCCCTACGCTCAAAGACGCACACGCGCGTGTGCCTATGCGCGCGAGCGTGTGAGTGCATGGGTGCGCGCGTGTGCGCGCGTGTGCATGTGTGTGTATGTGTGCGTGTGTGATGCTGGGAGCTGTAGTGCAACGGTTATCGTGCTGAGCTACAAACGCGGGGGCTCGAGTTCGATTCACGCTCATGGCCAACATCAGTGACGATTATTTGAACCGGTCGTGGGCCTCCCCTAGGTCGACTCAGCCTTAAATGAGTACAAAGGTAGCCGGGCGTGGTGCTGGCCACCCAACCCCCTAGTGTACCATGCCGGCCTTCATAGGTGCTCGCTAATATAACTTGCCCCTACAGTCTGTTAAGGCTATATGAAGGATTGTTGTGTGCGTGTGTGCATGAGTGCATCTCCGCTCACCTCCCGAAGTAAAAGTCCAACCAGGAAGTGGTTTTTGCAGAAATCTTCTGTCAAACTGTAATCCAGCTGCAGATCTGAGACACACAGTGCATCCGTGTACACACACAACAGCCGCCATTCTCTACTGAGTGGCGGTGGCATCACCAGGATGATTGGTGCTAGGCCGGTTGGACTTTAAGGCCACATGAAGTGCCGAAGGCTCACTGGCAAGAGGTCACGGGACAGACCCAGGTCCCAGGGGTTGACTGAGAGGACTGGCAGATGCACCACCTGTGCCCCCTACTGTGCCAACTTGCTGCATTTTAGCTGCCTGGTGCTCTGCTCGTTGTTGTGAGCACCACTCCTCTGCCCTCCTTTGGTGCTGGAGGGCAACTGCCTCCAACTGCCCAGTAGCGTCCTTCACGAGCCTCCTCCACAGAGGCTGATCTTGACACCACTGGTACCGGTCATCGGCAAGTCCACTCAGCTCCATATCCTCCTGTAACACGTCACTCCATCTCTTCTCTAGCCCGTGCCATGCCCTACACACAGCCTGCCTCGGCACACTGGTAATCCAATCACTACTGTCCCAGGGGTGCTTGTGTCATGACCCACTCTGTGTCCTACAGAGGTCCAGATGGTACCGGTTCTGCTCCCGGCAGAGGCATAGCAGCCTCTCTTCCCCAGCCAGTGTTCGGACATTCTACGTGGACAGCCACAGCAACTGCCTTTCACTACACACACCCTTCAAAGACAAAGTTACCCCATATAGCCTGAAGAGGCGTTAGCCGCAGCTGCAGCTCCAGGCGTTACCTCACCAGCTTATAACCCCCCCACGGCCCATCCTGGTTCCTGTCTCTTAGAGCTCTCTTCACTTGATACAGTAATTTTGCTGTGACGGTTCCACCTGAAGACAGAAGCTTGTGTTGCCTCCGAAACGTCGTGATTTAATTTAGTTGTTTTTTCATCCAATTTTTTACCTACGTGACTTTACCGAAAAAACCAAAGAGCCTGAAGAAGCTGTTGGGGCAATTGCTGTTAGCAAGGACCTACGAAGGCCGGCAAGGTACAATGAGTGGGTGGGTGGCCAACACCATGTCCAATCAACTTTGTCTCCCCAGTGGCGATGTTTACGCAGCGCATCAGGTACTCGTTTGAGGCCGAGTCGACCTAGGGGAGGCCCAGGACAGGTTCAGATAATCGTCACAAGTGTTGGCCGCAAGCGGGAATCAAACTCGGGTCGCCGGGTGCGTAGCGCAGCGCGCTAACCGCTACACAACCGCTCCCCTTCACACAAACATGCACGCACACTCATGTGTACGTGTGCGTGCGGGTTTGTGTGCATGGTGTATTGATCGGAGATAGATTCACAAGCAGAACGAGCAGCAGCACTCCGGTAGACTCCCACGTACCCGCGAGCCAATCAGCAGTTCCGTTCTGACTCCGGCCACCCCAACTGGGACTCCCCAACTGGGACTCCCCAACTGGGACTCCCAAGCTGGGATTCCACCCCTTTCCAGCTGGGACCCCCCAGCTGGGATCCCCCCCTCATCCGAGCGAACCCCCAAGCTGGGACCACGCGCACCGCCACGCCTCGGAGTTGGGCTCCATCGTCCATCTCGGGGGTCTCGGTGAAACGACGCTTCCGAGTCGACGAGAATTCATCGTCTCAAGCTCCACACTTAATCGTTATATCGAGCGCCAAGATGCTTTATTTAAGTTTAAATAGCGGTGGAAGAATACAGAATTGTTTAGATGGCATCCACGCGATGAAGATTATCCCACTTTGTTGAGCTATCATTTGTGACGGCCGGGTAGCTCCTGGAAAAAGAGCTACGTAGCAGCTCAGCGGGGGCCTGGTAACATGAATAGAAATAGTAAAAAAAAATATAGTAAGAGGGCCAAACTCCGAGACGCGGCTCCGCGAGTCCCTCTTCCGCAGCGACATCACGCCCCGAGCACGTGATTCCCCGGCGCGGCCGATCGTGGCCGAGAGGGCGCTGGCGCCTGTCACTGCCGGCGCCCGCCGCTCCGCTGCCGCCACCACCAACACCGCCGCGCTGCCCGACCCTCCGGGGCCATACCCACCCGCCACGCTGCCCATCGTTACACACCGCTCAAGCCGGATGGTTGGTAAATATGCGTGCTATGTTACACGTGGTACTGATTCAAAGGAATGTAGAGATCGTGTGTATGTATACGTGTGTACCAGATTGGGGGAGCGGTGGGACAGCTGTTAGCGCACTGCGCTACGAACCTGGCCACCCAAAAGTTAAATTCCAGTTCACGGACAACATCAGTGACGAATATCTGAACAAGTCTTGGGCCTTCTCTTAACATCTCGTCATGGTGGCGAGGAGATGTTCACTCCCTCGCCTGGTACGCAAGAGGGCATGGGTTTGATCCTGACCCTCACACCTGCTGTATGTTTAGAGTTTGCATATTCTCCCTGTGGTTCTGTGGATTTTTCTCCGGGTCCTCCGGTTTTTACCCCCAACATTTAGAAACATGCGTTTAGAGTATTTGACTGCTATAAATTTCCACGTGATGTTATTTAAGCCATTTGTAATAGCCATGTCGCTTCTAAAAAAGAGCTACGTAGCTCAGTAGGCCTTACCTGCTAAAATAAAAATAGTTTAGTTTTTAAATAGTTTTAGTCAGCCTTAAATGAGTACCTGGTGCGGTGTATAAAACATCGCCACTGGGCAGACAAAGGCGGCCAGGCGTGGTGCTGGCCACCCACCTCCTGCGTGACCGTGCCAGCCGTCATAGATGCTGCTCGCTAACAGTACTTGCCCCAACAGTCTGGTAAAGCTACACGGGGGATCTTTGTCTCTGTGTTCCACATGACGAAGGTAACACTGATTCAAATTGAGATGGCTCCCTTGTGTGTGCGCGACAGTGTAAATGAGGAGCGTGTTTACCAATCATCCGGTGTGTGCGGCACGTAATAACGACCCGATTTGTATGTGAACGGCGCGACAGATGGTTCTGTGGGGTATGCGGAGGAAGGGACGCCCCCCGTCACACACAGCGCACGGGCCGCATCATCGTTAGCAGCCGATCACAGCAATCACCAGCATCCCCCCACACCTGGGGCACAATCAGGGGGTTAGCAGGGATCCAGGGGATTCAAAAGGGGAGCATCAAGGAGGGGGTACCTGGCAGGCCCTCTCGCGTCGCCTCCGTTGGAAAGAGCAAATCTGTTCCACACAAGGACCATAATGGCTGACACACGGCAATAATGGAGACAAGGAGACATGGAGATGCGAGGTACAGAGACATGGAGATGCGTGGTACAGAAACACACAGACATGGAGATGCGTGGTACAGAGACACACAGACATGGAGATGCGTGGTACAGAAACACACAGACATGGAGATGCGTGGTACAGAGACACACAGACATGGAGATGTGTGGTACAGAGACATGGAGATGCGTGGTACAGAAACACACAGACATGGAGATGCGTGGTACAGAGACACACAGACATGGAGATGCGTGGTACAGAAACACACAGACATGGAGATGCGTGGTACAGAGACACACAGACATGGAGATGCGTGGTACAGAGACACGGAGACATGGAGATGCGTGGTACAGAGACATGGAGATGCGTGGTACAGAGACACGCAGACATGGAGATGTGTGGTACAGAGACACACAGACATGGAGATGTGTGGTACAGAGACACACAGACATGGAGATGCATGGTACAGAGACATGGAGATGTGTGGTACAGAGACACACAGACATGGAGATGCGTGGTACAGAGACACGGAGACATGGAGATGTGTGGTACAGAGACACGGAGATGTGTGGTACAGAGACACACAGACATGGGAGATGTGTGGTACAGACACACAGACATGGAGATGCGTGGAACAGAGACACGCAGACATGGAGATGCGTGGTACAGAGACACACAGACATGGAGATGCGTGGTACAGAGACATGGGGATGCGTGGTACAGAGACACACAGACATGGGAGATGCGTGGTACAGAGACACACAGACATGGAGATGCGTGGTACAGAGACACACAGACATGGGAGATGCGTGGTACAGAGACACACAGACATGGAGATGCGTGGTACAGAGACATGGAGATGCGTGGTACAGAGACACACAGACATGGGAGATGCGTGGTACAGAGACACACAGACATGGAGATGCGTGGTACAGAGACACACAGACATGGGAGATGCGTGGAACAGAGACACACAGACATGGAGATGCGTGGTACAGAGACACACAGACATGGAGATGCGTGGAACAGAGACACACAGACATGGAGATGCGTGGTACAGAGACACACAGACATGGGAGATGCGTGGTACAGAGACACACAGACATGGAGATGTGTGGTACAGAGATACACAGACATGGAGATGCGTGGTACAGAGACACGCAGACATGGAGATGCGTGGTACAGAGACACGCAGACATGGAGATGCGTGGAACAGAGACACGCAGACATCGAGATGTGTGGTACAGAGACACGGAGACATAGAGATGCGTGGTACAGAGACACACAGACAAGGAGATGCGTGGTACAGAGACACACAGACATGGGACATGCGTGGTACAGAGACACACAGACATGGAGATGCGTGGTACAGAGACACACAGACATGGAGATGCGTGGTACAGAGACACACAGACATGGAGATGCGTGGTACAGAGACACGCAGACATGGAGATGCGTGGTACAGAGACACGGAGACATGGAGATGTGTGGTACAGAGACACACAGACATGGAGATGCGTGGTACAGAGACACGGAGATGCATGGTACAGAGACACACAGACATGGGAGATGCGTGGAACAGAGACACACAGACATGGAGATGCGTGGTAGAGACACACAGACATGGAGATGTGTGGTACAGAGACACACAGACATGGAGATGCGTGGTACAGAGACACGCAGACATGGAGATGCGTGGTACAGAGACACGGAGACATGGAGATGTGTGGTACAGAGACACACAGACATGGAGATGCGTGGTACAGAGACACACAGACATGGAGATGTGTGGTACAGAGACACACAGACATGGAGATGCGTGGTACAGAGACACGGAGATGCGTGGTACAGAGACACACAGACATGGGAGATGCGTGGAACAGAGACACACAGACATGGAGATGCGTGGTACAGAGACACACAGACATGGAGATGCATGGAACAGAGACACGCAGACATGGAGATGCGTGGTACAGAGACACGCAGACATGGAGATGCGTGGTACATAGACACACAGACATGGAGATGCGTGGAACAGAGACACACAGACATGGAGATGCGTGGTACAGAGACACACAGACATGGAGATGCGTGGTAGAGAGACACACAGACATGGAGATGTGTGGTACAGAGACACGGAGACATGAGGCACGGAGATACAGGGCACAGAGAAACAGAGACACGGAGATAGAGACAGAGACACGGAGATACAGGGCACAGAGACGCAGAGATACAGAGAATGGAGACACAGAGGCATTGAGATAGAGACAGAGACACGGAGATAGAGACAGAGACACGGAGATACAGGGCACAGAGACACAGAGACACGAAGATAGAGACAGAGACACGGAGATAGAGACAGAGACACGGAGATAGAGACAGAGACACGGAGATACAGGGCACAGAGACGCAGAGATACAGAGAATGGAGACAGAGGCATTAAGATAGAGACAGAGACACGGAGATATAGCGCACAGAGATACGGAGATACAGGGAACGGAGACGCAGAGACACGGAGATAAAGGACACGGAGATACAGAGACAGAAATACAGGGCACAGAGACACAGAGACACGGAGATACAGAGACACAGATAAAGAGATACAGCACATGGAGACACGGAGATGCAGGGCACGGAGACAGAGACATGGAGACACAAGAGATACACAGAGACATCGATACGTGTAGCATGTAGACACATAGACATGGAGTTACAGAGAGAGGAGGCTTACGATGTCGAGACATAGGAACACAGATATATGGGACAGGGGACACAAGGAGACACAGAAACACGTGACACACATGCCACATGGAGACTTTCAGGAATGCATGTGTGTGTGCCAGTGTGTGCATGTCTGTGTACACGCGCGAGTCTGTGCGCATGTGCATGAGCATATGTGTGTGAGCGTGCGTGGATGTGTGCGCGCGTGCCTGTGCGTGCCTGTGCGTGCCTGTGCGTGCGTGTGTGCGCGTGCGTATGTCACCTTGGTACCGCTGGATGCGGCCCCTACTGAAGGACATGGCGAGGTTCAGGGGGATGTAATGCTCGTGGCTGCAAATCTCCTTCAGGAACGCCAACTTGAATTCAAACAGGGTCTACGGACACACAAGTCAAAGATCCCCCGTATGGCATGAACAGACTTTTGGGGCAAGTGCTGTTAGCGAGTAGCACCTATGAAGGCCGACACAACACACGGGGGGGTTGAGTGGCCAGCACCACGCCCGGCCGCCTTTGTCTGCCTAGCGGTGACGTTCACACACTGCACCAGGTACTCGTTTAGGCTGCGTCGACCTAGGGGAGTCTCAAGAGCGGTTCGAATAATCGTGACAGGCTGCGAGTTCGTAGCGAAGCGCACGAACCGCTACACTACCGCTCCCCACAGACACAGACACACAGATAAAGATCCCCCGTGTAGCCCACACAGGCTGTCAGGGCAAGTGCTGCGAGTGAGCTGGCGGTGCAGCCTGCGGTGTAACGCGAACGCCCGGCCGCCTTTGTCTTCCCAGGGTCTCACCTTGGGGTCGCCAGGGCCGAAACTGTGCATGTACAAGTTGATGAGTTTGAAGAGGAAGCCGCGGTCCATGAACGTGAAGCACCTCTACGCACGGAGACACGGGCATACGTACGTACGTGCGCACAGGCAGCGCACACGCAGCGCACATCCGCAGCGTGCACTCACAGCAAATCCACACAGCGTACACACACAGCACACATGCAGAGCATACACACCAGAGATGCAACACACACGCAGTATCTGCAGCACATTTGCAGCACAGGCGCAGCACACAGAGTGTACACGCACAGCACACATACAGAACACACACAGCATACACGTAGCACATACACGCACAGCACACGCACAGCACATACACACAACAAACTCACGCAGCGTACACACAGCACACACACATGCAGGACGCACACAGCACACACACGCAGCACACACATACAGCAAACACACAGCGAGCACACACACGCAACATAAGCACAGCATATACGAAGTGCACAGAGTATACACAGTATACACAGCACACACACACACACACATCACACACGCACAGCAAACACACATACACCAAATACACACAGCACACGCACAGCACATACACAGCGCATACAGTACACGTACAGAACACACAGCATACACGTAGCACATACACGCAGTGGCGTCACTAGGAGGAGGCGGGGGGTGTAGACCGTAGCGGGTGACACCATCAGAGGGGGTGACACCAAAATGACTGCCTGTAGCATTTGTGTGCAGTATTTCAGCAGAAATTTATTCATAATAAAGGTTTTTGGGTTAGATCGCGTTTATTTATAAATGTGTTGTAACCCTCCACCACCCGACACGGCCAATCAGCAAAAAAAGTGTCACGTTGACAAAAGACAAATAATTCACTACTTTAGCCCACCGGTGTGTTGAAGAGTGAATTCACATTTACAGTTTGTTATAACAACAAAATTTATTTTCGTAAGCCCAGCTTACGTGTACTGTATCAATATACCTACAAGGCTAAAACTCTATGCTAATTTACTTTTTGAACCTTCTAATGCGCTCCGGTCAGAGCCGTCGTTGTTACCCAACGACAATGATTGCTTCGAGTCACGTGGTTCCGTCTGCACGCGCTTGCAAGCACGTGCTGTTCTTTTCGTTGCCGCCCGTGTTTTTATAGTCGCTGATTGTCAAACTTTCTGGTGTTTTAGCTACAATATTGTGGTAATTTGTATTTGTGAACCGTGACCAATAACTTTTTTGAGAGTAAAGTCGTAATTAAAGGAAAAGGAGAAAAATAAACAAGGGCTTCTGCTCAGTTACTAATAATGTTGTAACTAATAATGTTGTAATTCAATGTAGAAAGATTTTACAAAACTATTGTGTTGTGAGTATTCATATAATCTAAGAAATATGACATTTTAGCAAGTTACAACTATATCACATGTTATTCTCTGATTAAAATTGATAATAAACTTACATGCAGAACAATTATTGATTATATAAATCTTTGATAACTAAATAGAGAAATTGACAATTTAAAACACGAAGTTGGGGGTAATGCTATGTTTCTTGATACATGTTTAGAAATATTACTTAAATCTTAAATTCAGTTTTTTTCATTTTAGTCTTGTGTTTCCTTGAAAAACATCACCGTCTTGCAAATATATATCTGATTTAATGTAGTTCTTAAATGTTTAGACGCTTTTTTAACTTCGAATTATATTGTTTTCTTACCGAAGTTTCACTTTAACCACGTGAAACTATGTAAAAGTACATTTAGGCTGTACGTATGATATTGTATTTTAAAGGTGTAATTTAAATTTTGCTAGTTGTGTATGTCACTACTATTGCCATTACATTCAGTGATATACGGGAATTACGATTTACGAGTAACATTAGCACAAAAAACATTACTAAGGATTCTGTATGGTCTGGTATGGGAGGAGGTCCATGGGGGTGACACCAACCCTAGTGACGCGTATGCATACACGCACAGCAAAATACACACACGCAGTACACACACACAGCACACACACGCAGCGTACAAGCACAGCATAAACACACACACGCAGTACACACACACACAGCCCACACACGCAGCACACACACGCACAGCACACACACGCAGCACACACACGCAGCACATACACACAGCACACACACGCACAGCCCACACACGCAGCACGCACACGCACAGCACACACACGCAGCACATACACACAGCACACGCACAACACATACACACAGCACACGCACAGCACACGCACAGCACAGCACACACACGCAGCACACAAACACACGCAACAAATACACAGCATGCACACAAACACAGCATAAACACAGCACATACACACAGCACACACAACATATACATACAGCACACGCACAACACATACACACAAAACACACGCACAGCACACACACACACAGCACATGGTGACCTTGATGAAGGCGGCGAGGCTGTGGTTGGCGCGCCGCGTCTCGCTCGCGAAGTCGCGGTGCTTGATGACGATGTTTTCCGTCGCCGCCACCACCAGATCCTCCACCGCCGTGTGGAACGACGCCGGCAACCGCTGCGTCCGGTTCAGCTGCACCACCACAACCGCAACCACAACCGTGACCACCTCAATCACAACCGCGACCACCGCAATGAAAACCACAACCACCACAATCACAACCACCGCAATCACAACCACAAAAAACGCAATCACAACCTGAAAAAACGCAATCACAAGCACAAATACCGCAATCGCAACCACCACAATCACAACCGCAACTTCCACAATCACATGCGCAACCACCGCAATTGCAACCATAACCACCACAATCACAAACGCAATCACAAGTTCAAGCACCGCAATCACAACCGCAACCACTGCAATTACAACTATAATTACCGCAATCACAACTTAAATCACCGAAATCACAACCACAACCACTGCAATCACAACTGAAACCACCGCAATCACGACCACAATCGCAACCACGGTGCGGGGTCAGACTGTGTAAGGGGTTGCAGGAACAGGTTCAGAGTTCACGGCTGGGCTCAGGAGGTCACCACCTTGATCCTCCCGGAGTCCACGAGGTTTTGAGCCATGGACTTGATGAGGATCTCAAAGAAGAACCATGAAAACTGGAGAAGAGAAGAAGAGATGGAGACACCTCATCAACATCACCTCCTCCTCACCATCGTCACGCACAGTCACTTCCACGTACATGACGCCGACACGCAGCCAACCATTCACCACTTAGTGCTGGTGACATTGCGATGGTGCCTGTACCAGGCTTGGTGCACCCTTGAGGCCAGATCAAGTGTCAAGGGCTCGCTGCTGACGGGAGGCCACGGGACAGACCCAGTTGTTTACGAGTGTCCAGGGGTGAGAGTGAGGAGCTTGCTGTATTACACACTCACCCTGGGACCGGGTGAGTGTGTGGGGTGAGGGTGAGGAGCTGTTCTGCCCACTCACCCTGGGACTGGGTGAGTGTGTGGGGTGAGGGTGAGGAGCTTGCTGTTCTGCCCACTCACCCTGGGACTGGGTGAGTGTGTGGGGTGAGGGTGAGGAGCTTGCTGTACTACACACTCACCCTGGGACCGGGTGAGTGTGTGGGGTGAGGGTGAGGAGCTTGCTGTACTACACACTCACCCTGGGACCGGGTGAGTGTGTGGGGTGAGGGTGAGGAGCTGTTCTGCCAACTCACCCTGGGACCGGGTGAGTGTGTGGGGTGAGGAGCTTGCTGTTCTGCCCGCTCACCCTGGGACTGGCTGAGTGTGTGGGGTAAGGGTGAGGAGCTTGCTGTATTACACACTCACCCTGGGACCGGGTGAGTGTGTGGGGTGAGGGTGAGGAGCTGTTCTGCCCACTCACCCTGGGACCGGGGAGTGTGTGGGGTGAGGGTGAGGAGCTGTTCTGCCCACTCACCCTGGGACTGGGTGAGTGTGTGGGGTGAGGAGCTTGCTGTTCTGCCCGCTCACCCTGGGACTGGGTGAGTGTGGGGTGAGGGTGAGGAGCTGTTCTGCCCGCTCACCCTGGGACTGGGTGAGTGTGGGGTGAGGGTGAGGAGCTGTTCTGCCCGCTCACCCTGGGACCGGGTGAGTGTGTGGGGTAAGGGTGAGGAGCTTGCTGCTCTGCCCACTCACCCTGGGACTGGGTGAGTGTGTGGGGTGAGGGTGAGGAGCTTGCTGTACTACACACTCACCCTAGGACCAGGTAAGTGTGGGGGGTAAGGGTGAGGAGCTTGCTGTTCTGCCCACTCACCCTGGGACTGGGTGAGTGTGGGGTAAGGGTGAGGAGCTTGCTGTTCTGCCCGCTCACCCTGGGACTGGGTGAGTGTGGGGTGAGGAGCTTGCTGTTCTGCCCACTCACCTTGAGGAGTTTGTTGCAGGTGAGGAAGTCGGTGCTGGGCTTGAGGAGGAAGCCGAGCGACTTGGCAAGTTCCTCGTGCAGGGTGAGGCCTTCGCAGGCCTCCGCAGACTCCTCTGTCTTGAACACAAACTACAACAACCAACAACAATCAACAACAAAAATCAGCAACACCGGAACACATGGGGACATGGAGAGACACAGGGACACACGGGGACATGGGGAGATTCATGAGGACACAGGAGGACATGGGGGCACAGGGACACGGATGGACACGGATGGACAAGGGTGGACATGGGAAGCAAGGGGACACACGGGGACACATGGGGATGTAAGGACATAGAGTGGAATTGACGATGTAGTAGTCACCGTGACGTAAGAATGCAGGAAGTGATCCAACTCCTCTTCATGGCACTGAGACACCACGTGAATAAGAACCCTGCACACCCAACAGACCCAACACACATAACTTACACAACACATACACAACACATACACCACTACGCCACTAAGTGGCAGTGATGTCACCAAGGTGTGTGTGCCAGACTATGTGCACTTTGAGGCTATCAAGTGAAGTGTCAAACGCCCGCTGGCAGGTCGCGGGACAAACCAAGGTGCCATGGGTTGACTGACTGAGATGACTGGAAAATGCACCAGCTATACTCCCTACTATGCCAACTTGCTGCGTATCAGCCTCCCAGCGCTCTGCTCGTTGTTGTGAGCGTCGCTCCTCTGACTTCCGTTGTTTTATGAGGGCGACTGCCTCAAATTTCCGAGCTGGATCCTTCACGAGCCTCCTTCATAGAGGCTGATCTTGACACCATTGGTACTGGTAATTGGCAAGTCCACTCAGCTTCATATCCTTCAGTCCATCTCTTCTCCAGCCGGTGTCATGCCCGACACAAGCCCCGTCTATCCAGCCAAACAAAAGCTGCCTGGGCATGCGGTGGGTCCACAAACGCACACGAGCATCGCTCCTCCACCCCACACCGCCCCCCCACCCACCGCGTGGCGTTGATAGCGACGTCGCTGTGGGTGGCGTGGGTGAGCACGTGGAACAGCTGATTAAGCAGTGTGGGCAGGAACGCCACCATCACGTGACTCTCTACGGCGTGCAGACTCTGCAGAGACATGCGGGGACAAGGGACATTGTCAGAATCAAAATAATTATAATTACTGGAGGAATCCAATTTCCACAGATGCCCAGTAGGGTGGATAAGAACGTTACAACAACAAAAACAATACATAAACAGGACAGGAGTGCAAAGTACAAGAAAGGAAAGTAAATCACCCAAACACATACAAATAAACCATCTACATCCTACATTAGACAGAGACATCATGGGACACGGAGACAAGGGGATATGGAGACACAGACAGGGGACGTGGGACGTAGATACACGGCAACGCACCGGGACAGGGAACACACGGAGGACCCGGAGGCACGATTCAGAGTACCCAGCCACAGAGACATGGGGACATGGGGACATGAGGACATGGGGACATGGGGACACACGCCAATGGGGAGTCGAAACACAAGGCACATTTGGGCATGGGACTTGAGACACGGGAGACAAACGGACACGACACATGGACACGAGACAAAAGACGCTGCACGCACACACAAAACGGACACGTGGCAGGGACACGTGGCAGGGACACGAGGCAGGGACGCGAGGCAGGGACACGTGGCAGGGACACGTGGCAGGGACACGTGGCAGGGACACGTGGCAGGGACACGTGGCAGGGACACGAGGCAGGGACACGTGGCAGGGACACGTGGCAGGGACACGTGGCAGGGACACGTGGCAGCGACACGTGGCAGGGACACGTGGCAGGGACACGAGGCAGGGACACGTGGCAGGGACACGTGGCAGGGACACGTGGCAGCGACACGTGGCAGGGACACATGGCAGGGACACGAGGCAGGGACACGTGGCAGGGACACGTGGCAGCGACACGGGGGTGTGCCGTGGTCGGAGCTGGTTCTCGGTGTCTCCGATACGGCCGTGATGATGAACTGGCCCGGCCCACTGGCCCCCTACCTTCAAGTACTTGATGAGCTCCCCCTCGTTGAGGGGAGCACCCCCTGTCTCCGCCTCCTCTGCGCGCTCGCAGTACGAGAAGAAGTTGTGCAAGTGTTGGTCCTGATGGGCGCATGCACACACCCACGTACACACAAGCGTACACACACATGTACCAATACCAGTACCCACCATTCGCCACTAAGTGATGGTGATGTCACCAAGGAGCCTGTGCCAGGCCAGGTGCACTTTGAGGCCACGTGAAGTGTCGAAGGCTCGCTGACAAGAAGTCACGGGACAGACCCAACTACCATGAGTTGGCTGACTGAGATGACCGGTAGATGCACCAGCTGTACCCCCCACTGTGCTAACCTGCTGTATTTTATCCACTTAGCACTCCGCTCGTTGTTGCGGGCGTCGCTCCTCTGTCCTTAGTTGTTGTTGGAGGGGCAACTGCATTTAACTGCTCAGGAGCGTCCTTCACGAGCCTCCTCCATATAGGTCGATCTTCACACTGCTGGTACCAGTCATCGGAAAGTCCACTCAGCTCCACATCTTCCATACCACATCATTCCATCTCTTCTCCAGCCCATGTTGCGCCCGTGTAGCCCCCTCTATGCAGCCAAACAGAAGCTGCTTGGGTATGCGGTGGATCGGCATGGAGGCTACATGAGGAGCGTGAAAGTTTTAAACCACTGTAGATGTTCCATTCGAGGGCTCCACGTTTCACAAGGATAGAAACTGGCCGAGAAGACCGGAAGTTTGGTGTGGAGTGACAGACCAAGTAGCTTCGACACAGGGTTACGCATCTGATGAAAAGATAATACCGCTCAGCTGATTCGGAGTGAAACCTCTGCTGTCAAACCAGAGCTGGTCATAAGCACACTGTCCAGGTACGGAAACACAACTGAGTTGAGGGCGTGGAGTATTGAAAGATACAAAATACCCATACAGGTGCTTAATTATAGAGGGGCTGATGGTAAGGCCCCACCTCTTAGTGGCAAGCTCCAGGTTCAGGAACAGAACCTCCAACTCCTTCTCAGAGTGAGCAGCAATCACCAGATCAGCAGCATATATAATATGGTTGACCAACAGGAACCCATACCTTGTCTGCACCCAGGCATTAAAAAGCCTCCCATTGTATCTGTACCAGATGGAGATTGCTTTGGTGCAGCCATGGAAATCTTTTCGAACTAAGTGGTCGAAGATGATGTTAAATCATGCGGGAGCCAAAGGACATCGCTGTCGCACCCCAAGGTGAACAGGGAATGGCTCTGACTCCCGGCAACACAGCTTTACTCAGGGCTGCCCACCATCGTGAAGGTTCTTAATGATTGTGACCAGGAATTCAGTGACTCCGAAAGCAGGAAGAACAACCCAGAGCCCTGGCCTGTTGATGGTATCATAGGCCTTGACCATTGCAATAACGCAGAGATGTCGGTACTACATGCACGTCTATACACAAGCAGTGGCGATGTCACCACTGTGCTTGTGCCAGGCTAGGTGAACCTTGAGGTACCGAAAAGTGTCGAAGGCCCTCGCTGCTGACAGTAGGTCACGGGGCAGACCCAGGTGCCATGGGTGAGGCGTGTAGATGGTGGAGACCAGGTGGGTGAGGCGAGGTGGGTGAGGCCATTGGGTGAGGCGAGGTGATGAGGCGAGGTGGGTGAGGCGAGGTGGGTGAGGCGAGGTGGGTGAGGTGAGGTGGGTGAGGCGAGGTGGGTGAGGTGAGGAGGGTGAGGCGAGGTGGGTGAGGTGAGGTGGGTGAGGTGAGGTGGGTGAAGCGAGGTGGGTGAGGTGAGGTGGGTGAGGCCATTGGGTGAGTCGAGGTGGGTGAGGCGAGGTGGGTGAGGCGAGGTGGGTGAGGAGGAGGTGGGTGAGGCCATTGGGTGAGTCGAGGTGGGTGAGGCGAGGTGGGTGAAGCGAGGTGGGTGAGGCGAGGTGGGTGAGGAGGAGGTGGGTGAGGTGAGGAGGGTGAGGTGAGGAGGGTGAGGTGAGGAGGGTGAGGCCAGGTGGGTGAGGCGAGGTGGGTGAGGCGAGGTGGGTGAGGCGAGATGGGTGAGGCCATTGGGTGAGTCGAGGTGGGTGAGGCCAGGTGGGTGAGGCGAGGTGGGTGAGTCGAGGTGGGTGAGGCCAGGAGGGTGAGGCGAGGTGGGTGAAGCGAGGTGGTGAGGCGAGGTGGTGAGGCGAGGTGGGTGAGGTGAGGAGGGTGAGGCGAGGTGGGTGAGGCCAGGTGGGTGAGGCCAGGTGGGTGAGGCGAGGTGGGTGCGGCGAGGTGGGTGAGGTGAGGAGGGTGAGGCGAGGTGGGTGAAGCCAGGTGGGTGAGGCGAGGTGGGTGAAGCGAGGTGATGAGGTGAGGTGGGTGAGGCCATTGGGTGAGTCGAGGTGGGTGAGGCGAGGTGGGTGAGGCGAGGTGGGTGAAGCCAGGTGGGTAAGGCGAGGTGGGTGAAGCGAGGTGGGTGAAGCGAGGTGGGTGAGGCGAGGTGGGTGAGGCGAGGTGGGTGAGGCGAGGTGATGAGGTGAGGTGGGTGAGACGAGGTGGGTGAGGCGAGGAGGGTGAGGCCAGGTGGGTGAAGCCATTGGGTGAGTCGAGGTGGGTGAGGCGAGGTGGGTAAGTCGAGGTGGGTGAGGCCAGGTGGGTGAGACCAGGTGGGTGAGACCAGGTGGGTGAAGCGAGGAGGGTGAGGCGAGGTGGGTGAGGCGAGGAGGGTGAGGCGAGGAGGGTGAGGCGAGGTGGGTGAGTCGAGTGGGTGAGGCGAGGTGGGTGAGGTGAGGAGGGTGCTCACCTGCGTGTAGATGGTGGAGACAAGGTGAGTGGCTACACGGAACACCTGCTTGCCGCCGTCCACCCAGCGAATATCCGGGCCCACATGCTGCATCAGCCAATCACAGCACAGCACGGCACGCACAGTTACAACAGCATGTACGAACACCAGCCCTCAGCACATACACAGGTGTATGCACACACAGGTGTGCATACACCTGTGTGTGTACACACCTGACACATTTAAATAGTAATGTTTGTCACGTAAACAAACATGCCAATTCGTTACAATTGTAAATGTTGTGGATTTACTCTCCCACACACTGGTGTGCTGTACTAGTGTAGTGACATCACTGGATGTCACCATGCTGTGGGTGCAGTCCCGGCCCTAGAGGGGCACGCTGTGTGTGTGCCGACCTACGGGGAAGGTCGTGTGAGGCCATGGCACTCTGGTTAACCCGGGAGGATACGTGACCAGATTGAATGACAGGGGGGCCCCGAAGCGGGGGCAAGGAGGATCACGTGGGTAGAACCCAGGTTCTTCCTGACAGTTCTGGAAGGGGGGCGTGGCCAAGGGCGGAGCCGGCCATGCCGGAGAGAATATAAGCCGAATCCCGAGAGGGATCGTGGTTGTCCATCCCGGGGAAGAAACCCTTCGTCTACGATCTTCGTACTGCGAGTCTTCCAGCACGTGGACCCTGGCAGTATGCTGTTGGTGTTACTCAGTAACCTGTGTAGTTAGCCCGGAGGTCACCACCCTAGGTTGTTGTCTTGTCAGGGGAAGTTACCCCGTTGTATTGGAACTAAATAAATGCGCTGCCTCCAAGTCTAAGAGTGTGACTCAGTTGAATACACTACACTAGTAATGAATTGCCATGTTTGTTTACGTGACAAGCCTTACTAATTAGCTGTGTTGGGTGGTGACGGGATTAAAAACACATTTATAGTTTGTCTTTTTGTGTACGGTTCAACATCGGCAACAAGTATCCAAACAGACCCTGGGCCTCCCCTAGAGACCAGGGGAGACAAATATGGGCTGGCACGAGTGTGGCCACAACCACGCCCTTGTGCCGGCCTATCACAGGTGCTCGTTAAACAGCACTTGCCCTAACGGTATGTGAAGGCTACGCAGGGGGATTCGTTGGCTTTAGCTTTTGTCGCGTACCTTGGTGGCCCCGGCGGTGTCGTTAGAAGCCAGGTATCCAGCGGGGAGCGACGCGGAAGCGCTGAGCGGGACCTCCCCTGACACCACGCGGCCATCGCGCAGCAAGGGCAGCCACGCGTAGCCCACTGCACACCGCGCGGGGGGGGTCACCGGCGGGACACCACAGGGACACCACAGGGACACATTACCCGCAGCGGACACGAGACATGGTGACATGGGGACACGGGGAGGGGACACGGGGACGTGGGCACGTGGGAACAGGGGGGAGCGAGGACACGGGAACATGGGGAAGTGGGGACATTGGGGAGCGAGGACACGGGGACGTGGGGACAGGGGGGAGCGAGGACACGAGGACGTGGGGACGTGGGCACGTGGGGACGTGGGGCAGTGAGGACACGGGGACACGGGGAAGTGGGGACAGGGGGGAGCTAGGACACGGGGACATGGGGTCACGGGGACAGGGGGGACGGCCGGGTGTCCGTGCGAGCGTCCCACCCTGCGTCTCCACCGCCTCCCTCTTCTTTGTGGCCGCCTTCCCGCTCACTTCACAGCTGATGTGGAAGAAGGAGAAGAGGAGGTGGTGACCCGAGTGCAGCTGCGTGGGCAGACGGATCTTCACCTGCACAAACGAAGACAAAGATCCCCCGTATACTCTTTAACAAACTGTTGGAGCAAGTGCTGTTTGGGAACGCCTACGAAGGCCAGCATGTCACGAGGGAGTGGGTGTCAACACCACTTTCAACCGCCTTTGTCTCCCCAGTGGCGATGTTTTTACACACCGCAACAGGTGCTACTCATTTGAGGCTGAGTCGACCTAGGGAAGACCCAGCATCAGTTCAGATAATCGTCACCGGTGTCGGCCACTAGAGGGAATTGAACTCGGATGGCCGGGTTCGTAGTGCAGCGTGTTAACTGCTACACTACTGCTCCACACACACATGCACACACACGGGAAACAACTGCCATTCGTCACTAAGTGGCGGTGACGTCACCAAGGCGCTTGTGCCAGGCTAGGTGCACGTTAAGGCCACGTGAAGTGTTCAACGCCCACTGGCAGAAGGTCACGGGACAGAACCAGCAGGTGCCATGGGTTGACTGACTGAGATGACTGAGATGACTCGCTGATGCACCACCTGTGCCCCCTACTGTGCCAACCTGGCTGTGCGGCACCGCGTCGTCGTCGTTGAGCGCTAACCTCGTCGTAGAACTCGGGGCTGTGCTGGTGGTGCAGCACGGCGGCGACGGCGCGCATCACGAAGGGAGGGCCGCCCGGCTTGCCGTAGACGCACTGCACGGGGGGGGGGGGGGACACGCGGAGCCACCGTCAAGGGGGGCCCTAGGCCCCCTCACTCCCTCGACAACCCCTCGAGCCCGTTCCGGAGTCCCCCGCTGTACTACGGGGATCGAGCGTTTACCCTCTCTCCACTGCACTGTGTGAGTTTTCTCCGGTTACTCCGATTTGCTTGGACGTGGTACGATCCGCTCACTCATTCACTGGGTTGGAGCAACATCCCAGTATAGGACCACAGAGCTCGGAAATGTTTTTGTCACTGAATTCTAGATTTTTGTCACTGGTCTGACTGCCTTAACACTCTCTCTCTCACTCTCTCCCTCTCTCTCACTCTCTCCCTCACACTCTCCCTCTCACTCACTCTCTCACTCCCTTTCACAGTCCCCATCTCACTCACTCTCTCCCTCTCATTCACTCTCTCCCTCACTCACTCTCACTCACAGTGCAGGGGGAAGCGTGCGTGCGTGGCGCTTCATGATCGACCATCTGACAATAAACCCACCCAAGATGCTGATGAGCCATTTGGAGGAAGGAATCCAACGGGAAAGAACCACAAACCCACCCCCCGTGGCCCCCTTCACCCCCCCCCCAAACCCCACCCCCCGTGGACCCCTTCACCCCCCAGCCCCCCCAAACCACACCCCCCGTGGCCCCCTTCAGCCCCGCCCAAACCCCACCCCCCGTGGCCCCCTTCATCCCCCAGCCCCCCCCCAAACCCCCCCCCCCCAAACCCCCCCCCCCAAACCCCCCCCCCATGGGACGCACCGGGAGAGGCTGAGCAGATTCCGCGTCCGAGTCCCGGAACTCGATGCAGACAGCCAGGTTCCTGGCCTACCGGAACAAAGACAAAGATCCCCCATATAGATTTACCAGACTGTTGGGACAAGTCCTGTTAGAGAGTAGCACCTACGAAGGCCGGAATGGCACACCAGGGGGTGGGGGTGCCCTGCGCCACGCCCGGCCGCCTTTGATTCCCCAGTGGCGATGTTTACACACCGCACCGGGTGCTCATTTAAGGCTAAGACGACCTAGGGAAGGGCCCATGACCGGTTCAGATAATCACTGTCACTGGTGCCCCGTGAGCGGTAATTGCTGGGTTCGTAGCGCAGCGCACTAACCACTGCGCTACCGCTCTCCATTGAACAACAATATCCACTAATGAGACAGAACTATACAATTCTACTGTGATCACAATGGTAAACAATCCTGGAAGCACACGTGGGATGGTCGCTGTAATCGATACGCACATAACGATGGTGACGATTAAGACAACGACGACGGTGATGATGATAACGATCGTGACATATGATGATGGTGACGACGACGACGATGACCATGTTGACGATAATGATTATGACAATGATGACGACAATGATGACGACAATGTGCGATGCCGTGCGAGGCTGGTACCTTGGGGAAGCTGCGCTGCCCGTCGTACTTGAGAGCGCGAGGGTAGACGTAGAGGTGGTTCCGGTAGACGGCGAACGGCTGCGCCAGGCGCGCCTCCTCCGGCACAAACTCCTCCACCTCCACCACCGCCGCGGCCCCCGAGACCCCCGATATTCCCTCACCCCCCGTCCCCTCGGGGGTCAAGTGGAAGGGGTGGACCGGGACGTAGGAAGAGGTCACGCAGTCTGCACACACACATGCCACAAAGACAAAGGTACCCGAGTAGCCTGCAGAGGCTGTTGGTGCAAGTGCTGTTTATATGTGTTGAACGTTTTTCGCACCGTACGTACGCATGAGTCAGTGAGTGCATGGGTCAGTGAATGCGCGGGTCATTGAGTGCGTGGTCAGTGAGTGCGTGGGTTAGTGATTACATGACTGAGTGCATTAGTGCGAGTGAGTGCATGTGAGAGTGTGAGTGAGTGAGTTAATGAGAGAGTAAGTGCTTGTGAGAGTGAGTGGGTGAGTAAGAGTGAGTGTGAGAGTGTCAGTGAGTTAGTGAGTACATTTTAGAGTAAGTATGAGAGTGAGTGTGAGAGTAAGTGTGAGAGTGCGATGACTCACTGGGAAGTTCAGCAGGAACCACTTCCACGGTGACGTCCAGTGACCCTGGGATGACCTGAAGTTTCGCCATCCTCTCTGGCCTGAACAAGGACAACGATCCCCATAGACAGTGGTGATGATGATGGTGATGATGATGATGATGCTGCTGGCGGCGATGCTAATGATGGTGACAATGGTCGTGACAATGGCGGTGATGGTGATGACGATGGCGGCGATGGTGATGATTATGATGATGGAAATGGTGAGGATGGTGAGGATGGCGGTGATGGGGCCATACTTGCGGAACTCCGAGAGAGTCTTGAGCAGATCCTCGTCAGACAACTTGGCGCTGTCTTGCCGGAAGAGCGCGGAGAAGCGCGAGTCTCTGTCAACCACGCACGGGCCCTCACGGAACACGGGCCTACCACCACCACAACAATCACTACCACAACAACTACCACAACTACCACCACCACGGAACGCGGGCCTACCACTACCACCACAACCACCACACCAATCACTACCACAACCACCACAACTACCACCACCACGGAACACAGGCCTACCACTACCACCACAACCACCACACCAATCACTACCACAACCACCACAACTACCACCACCACCACCACGGAACACGGGCCTACCACTACCACCACAACCACCACACCAATCACTACCACAACCACCACAACTACCACCACCACCACCACAGAACACGGCCCTACCACTACCACCCCACCACAATCACCACAACAATCAATACCACAACCATCACCACGCACAGGCGCTCACGGAACATGGGCCTACCACAACCACAACAATCACTACCACAACAACTACTACCACAACTACCACCACCACCACGGAACACGGGCCTACCACTACCACCACAACCACCACACCAATCACTACCACAACCACCACAACTACCACAACGACCACCACCACGGAACACGGCCCTACCACAACCACCACAATAACCACAACAATCAATACCACAACCATCACCACGCACGGGCCCTCACGGAACATGGGCCTACCAACACCACTACAACCACCACCATGACCACCACGACCACAACAATCAACACCATCACTACCCACACGACCACACACATCACTACCCACACGACCACACACAGGTTTGTGGTCATGTTTACGTTCTGGTCGTTTGTTATGGTTGTGTTTGCGTTGCTCTGGCGTCCACGGTTGTTACGTTGTAGCGCTTGTGGTGGTTGTTGCATTGTAGTGGTTGTCAAAGTGGTTGCATTGCGGTGGTCGTGGTGGTTGCATTGTGATGGTTGTTGCGTTGTGGTGATTGTCTCACCGTGCGGCCCAGGCGAAGGGCATGTGGTAGGGAGCGAGCTTCACGCACACCTGCCTCATCTGCTTTTGCACCTTCTGCGCGATCTGCACACGCAGCACCACAATCCCATCACAACCATCTCATCACTGCCTATTCACCACCGACTCTTCACCACTTCGTCATCACCTCATCACCAACTTTGTACCACCTGCATGTCATCACCACCTTGTCATCACCACCACCGCCACCCCTCCTCACCCCATCCTTACTCCTCCTTGCCACCCCCTGGCCACCGCTCCCCACTACCCGGTGCTCACCGCTCCTCACCACGCAGTATTCACGGCTCCTCACCACCCGGTGCTCACCGCTCCTCACCAACCCGGGGCTCACCTTGCCAGAGTCGTGGTTCTTGATGTAGGGCTCGGCGCACTGCGCCACGCCGCCCTGCAGCACCTTGTCCACGCGTGCCACCAGGAACACGTCGCAGTGCGGCTCCGCTACGGAGAACACGGCCTGGCACGCACGCACACAAACGTACACACACACGTACACACACGTGCACACACACGTGCACACAACACAACAACCGCCATTCGCCACTAAGTGGCGGTGATGTCACCACGACGCTTGTGCCAGGCCATGGGCACCTTGAGGCCACGTGCTGTGCTTTAGCCACCCGGCGCTCCGCTCGTTGTTGTGAGCGTCGCTCCTCCGCCCTCCGTTGTTGTTGGAGGGCGACTGCCTCCAACTGCCCAGTAGCGTCCTTCACGAGCCTCCTCCACAGAGGCTGATCTTGACACCGCTGGTACCAGTCATCGGCAAGTCCACTCAGCTCCACGTCCTCCTGTACCACATCACTCCATCTCTTCTCTAGCCCGTGCTGCGCCCGTTTAGCCCCCTCGATCCGGCTGAACAAAAGCTGTTTCGGCATGCGGTGGCTGGGCATGCGGGCTACAAGAGCCAGCCAACGCAGCCTTGCCTGCCGGAGGAGCTCACCGATGGGACCGTGCCCAGATCTTTCAAGGATTTGTGAGCTCCTCACACAATCAAGCCTGGTTAAACTCAGGATGGATCGTAGGCAGGCCAGCCTAAATGATTCTAACCGGCGAAGATGTTCCATTAGGGGGGTCCACGTTTCGCAAGCGTAGAGAAGGGAGGGAATGACCGTGGCCGAGAAGACCTGAAGCTTAGTGCGGAGCGACAGACCAGGTAGCTTCCACACAGCGTTACGCAACCGATGAAAAGATATTGCCGCTCGACTGATTCGGAGTGAGACCTCTGCTGTTAAACTGGAGCCGGTCATAAGCACACTGCCCAGGTATGGGAAACTCTCCACTCTCTCCACAACTGCCCCATCACCGATTGGGAGTTGTGGGGGTGGAGTGTCCGATGGTACAAAATACCCAGGCAGGTGCTTATTTTTGGTGGGGCTGATGGTAAGGCCCCATCTCTTAGCGGCACGCTCCGGTCTCAGCAACAGCGTCTCAAACTCTCCTCTGAATGAGCAGCTATTACCAAACCATCGACATACATAACGTGGTTGAGCAATAGGGAGCCATCCCTTGACCGCACCCGGGCATCGATTAGCCTCCCATTATATCTGTACCATATGGAGATTCCCCCGGTACAGCTATTGAAGGCTTCACGAACTACGTGGTCAAAATAGATGTAAAATAATGTGGGAGCCAGAGGACATCCCTGTCGCACCCCAAGGTGTACAGGGAATGGCTCTGACTCCCGGCCACGTAGTTTTACCCGGGCCCGCTCACCATCATGAAGGTCCTTAATGATAGTGAGCAGAGGGTCAGGTACTCCAAAAGCACGAAGAACAACCCAGAGCCCAGGCCTACCGATGGTATCATAGGCCTTGACCAGGTCAATAAAGCAGAGATGTAGGTCTTGCTGGAATTCCCTACACCTCTGCTGTAGCAGATGGACAGAAAATATGGCATCTGTGCAGGACCGCCCTTTCCTGAAACCGGAATGGGGCTCTGCAAGCCTCTCCTCAGCGTGCCTGGCAAGGCGATGTTGAATAATCCTTGCCAGGACCTTTCCCGGCACACTGAGGAGTGAGATGCCCCTGTAGTTGTTACAGTCTGTGCGGTCCCCTTTCTTAAAGAGGCGGACCACCAGGGCATCCTTCCAATCCTGCGGAACCCGTCCAGTCATCCAGACTGTTTTTATGATGTCATATAGGGCAGTCTGTGCACAAACGCCACCCTCCCTCAGCATTTCGCTTGGGAGATCATCTCTGCCCGCTGCCTTTCCTGGTCTCAGACTCCGGATCGCCTTCAGTACTTCCTCAACAGATGGCACCTCAGCCAGCCACTCACAGGGGGTGATTTCTTCCAATATTTGAGGCACCGCAGCCTCAGCAGGGTCTTCTTCACACGTACACACGCACGTACACATACACGTACGTACACACACACACACACACGTGCACACACACACACGTGCACACACACACGCACACACACGTACACACACACACGTGCACACACACACACGCACACACACGCACACACACGCGCACACACACACGCGCACACACACACGCACACACACGTACACACACACACACGTGCACACACACACACGCACACACACACGCACACACACACACGTACACACATGCGTACACACACCCACGTCTTCGTGTCCCTGTGCCGTCCCCCTTGTCCCCATGCTGTTCCCCCATGTCCCCCCAGTGTCGTCACGATGCCATCACCGCGTGCCGCACCTGCGTCGGGTAGCGCAGGTTGTCCGCCGAGACGCCCACGAGACGCGGCTGCCCCAAGCCGCCGTCGCCCCCCCACGGTGCCCCCCCCCCAGGCGCCCCCTCTTCCTCGCCTCCCACCCCACCGGCCCCCGCCAGCAGCACGCGCCGCATCCACGCCTGGTTCAGGTCCACGTGGAAGTCGGAGGAGATCTTGCGGGAGGCGCGCGCATCGAACAACGCCAGAGACACGAAGAACGGCTCCACCTGAGAGACGCGGGGAGACATGGGGACGCAGCGAGACCGTCACCATGACAACATGTACACAAAGACAAATATCCCCCGTGTAGCCTTTAACAGACTCTTGAGGCAAGTGCTCTTAGCGAGTTGCACCTACGAAGGGCCAGTACGGCACACGAAAGGTTGGGTGGCCAGCACCACGCCCGGCTGTTTTTGTCTCCCTCTTGGCGATGTTTACACACCGCACCAGGTACTCATTTGAGAATGAGTCGACCTAGGGGAGGCCCGGGACCAGTTCAGATAATCGTCACTGGTGTTGATAGCCGTGAGCGGGAATCGAACTCGGGTCGCCGGGTTCGTCGTGCAGCGTGTTCAACGCTACACGATAGGGACATTGACACACACACACGTACACACATCAACACATGTGCAAACAAAGACACACATCCGTATCAATGATGACTGTGTCAGTGATGTTGATGCCAATTATTCTCCGATTGCCGACGACGACAACGACGCGAGCGATAGTGACGACACGACGACAGTGGCGGTGACGACGATGGTGGCGACGACGTGAGCTCACGTTGGTGGTGCCGGCGCCGGTGGAGTCGCCGTCGCCACCACCGTCGTCGCCGTCGTCGCTGGCGGGCGCCTGCAGGGCGAAGCGAAGCGCGTGGCAGGAGACGAGGATGCGGTGGGAGAGCGCCTCGGCGTCGTGCGGTAGACGCGGCGGCGCCTCCGCCGCACCGCCGGCGCAGCGCTGCGCCCCGACACACAGGCAAAGGTTTCCCTTGAAGGCCACGCATTCCCAGCACGCCCGGCCACCTTTGTCTCCCCCCGCTGCTGCTGTTTGCGCACCGTGCCGGCTACTCACGTAAGGACGAGTCTGCCTTGGGAAGGACCGGTGAAGGACCGGATCAGATAATCGTCACCGATGTTGACTTCATCACGTGGCCTCAGAGTGCATCTGGCCTGGCACTAGCGCCATGACATCACCGCCACTTGGCGGCGAATGGCGGTTGTTGTGTTGTTGTTGTTGTGTATGTGTGCGAGTGTGTGGAGATGGAGTCTGCCTCAGTAGCCCGCGACAAATCACCTTTTACCTCCATCAAAAAAGTAACTTGCAGCACCACACCTATCACCATCATTAGAGGAAATAAAGGTGATCCGATCTCCGACCCCCAGGAACAGGTTTGCAGATTTGCGGAGTAATTCTGTGAGGTATTTGGGCAGGGGAAATCGCTCAGCCTGGAAAAAATCATGGGGCAAAAGTGGGGATGACCCTGCTGAGGCTGCAGTGCCTCAATACTGGAAGAAGTAGTCACCCCCTGTGAGTGGCTGGCTGAGGTGCCATCTGTTGAGGAAGTACAGAAGGTGATCCAGAGTCTGAGACCAGGAAAAGCACCAGGCAGAGGGAAGGTAGCGTTTGTGCGCAGACTGCCCTATATGTCACCATAATAACAGTCTGGACTACTAGATGAGTTCAGCAGGATTTGGAAGGATGCCCTGGTGGTCCCCCTCTTTAAGAAGGGGGACCGCACAGACTGTAACAACTACAGGGGCATCTCCCCCCTCAGTGTGCCGGGAAAGGTCCTGGCAAGGATTATTCAACATCCCCGTGCCAGGTACGCTGAGGAGAGGCTTGCGAAGCAGGAATGTGGTTTCAGAAAAGGGCAGATAAGCACAGATGCCATATTTTCTATCCGTCTGCAAACAGCAGAGGTGTAGGGAATTCTAACAAGGCCTACATCTCTGCTTTATTGACCGGGTCAAGGCCTATGATACCATCAAGTAGGCCTGGGCTCTGGGTTGTTCTTCGTGCTTTTGGAGTACCTGACCCTCTGCTCACGATCATTAAGGACCTTCATTATGGTGAGCGGGCCCGGGTAAAACTACGTGGCCGGGAGTCAGAGCCATTCCCTGTACACCTTGGGGTGCGACAGGGGTGTCCTCTGGCTCCCACATTATTTAACATCTATTTCGTCCACGTAGTTCGTGAAGCCTTCAATGGCTGTAACGGAGGAATTTCCATCTGGTACAGATACAATGGGAGGCTGATCGATGCCTGGGTGCGGTCAAGGGATAGCTCCCTATTGATGAATCATGTTTTGTATGCCGATGATCTGGTGATTGCTGCTCACTCAGAGGAGGAGTTGGATATGCTGCTGCTGAATCTGGGCATGCCACTTAGAGATGGCCTTACCATCGGCCCCACCAAAACTAAGCACCCCCCCAACTCCCAGTTAGTGATGGGCCAATTGTGGGGAGAGTGGAAAGTTTTCCATACCTTGTCAGTGTGCTCATGACAAGCTCTGGTTTGAGAGCAGAGGTCTCACGCCAAATCAGTCGAGTGGCATTATCTTTTCATCGGCTGCGTAACGCTGTGTGGAAGCTACCTGGCCTGTTGCTCTACATGAAGCTTCGGGTCTTCTCGGCCACGGTCATTCCCTCCCTTCTCTACGCTTGTGAAACGTGCACCCCCTAATAGAACATCTTCGCTGGTTAGAAACAATTAGGCTGGCCTGCCTATGATCCATCCTCGGTTTAACCAGGCTGAATTGTGTGAGGAGCTCATAAATCCTTGAAGGGTCTGGACAAAGTCCCATCGGTGAGCTCCTCCAGCAGGCAAGGCTGCATTGGCTGGGTAATGTAGCCCGAATGCCCAGCCACTGCATGCCTAAACAGCTTTTGTTCGGCTGGATAGAGGGGGCTAAATGGGCACGACACAGGCTACAGAGGAGATGGAGTGATGTGGTACAAGAGGATGTGAAGCTGAGTGGACTTGCCGATGACTGGTACCAGCGGTGTCAAGATTGGTCTCTGTGGAGGAGGCTTATGAAGGACGGTACTGGGCAGTTGGAGACAGTCGACCTCCAGCAACAACAGAGGGCAGAGGAGCGTCACTCATAACAACGAGCGTAGCGCCGGGCGGCTAAAACACAGCAAATTGGCACAGGTGGTGCATTGGCCAGTCATCTCAGTCAGTCGGCCCATGGCACCTGGGTCTGCCCCGTGACCTCCTGCCAGCGGACGTTCGACACTTCACAGCCTGAAGTGTCCAGCTCAGAGACACTCGGAGACGGCGTGGAGGCAACACGTTTATTACAACTTCCCCTAATACACACAGAAGGGTCTAGCTGGCCCTGTGTCAGCTACCCAAGGAGAGGTATCTCCTCCGGGCCAAGCCTCCACAGCTGTACAGGGTAGCTAGCCACGACCGGACCCTGGCTTGGGTCCGGGTCTCGGCTATTGGCAAGTTTTCTCCCGACATGACGGCTTTCCGGTTTCTCCTAGTCGGCAGCCCACCTAACCGGTTCCCTTTTCGGGCTTTTTAGAGGGGTCTCGTCTCAGCCCCAGAGGCTGGCACTGCACGCAGAGCTCTCCATCCTTCTCAGACGACCTCTGCCAGCCCTTGCTAGGCCCGGTACTGCGCTCCTCCTGCACCGCTGTTGGCGGCGTGAGCGGCGCGTGTCTCGCCTCACACAGGCCGGCTTAACGGATCCTGCAGTGGCATCCACCGATACCACTACACAAGCACCATGGTGACGTCACCGCCACTTAGTGGCGAATGGCGGTTGTTGTTGTTGTTGTGTACATGTGTGTGTGTGCTCACCTGCATGTCGGGGTCCAGGCTGAAGAGTTTGTGCCGAGCCTCGCTGCGCAGAGTCTTGTTCATGTGGTCCGTCTCCCTGGCATACTGATCCAGAGACAAAGATCCCCCGTATAGCCTTAACAGACTGTTGTTGGCGAGTAGTAGCACCTATGAAGGCCGACACCGCACACGGGGGGGTGGGTGGCCAGCATCACACCCGGCCGTCTTTGTCTCCCCAGTGGCAATGTTTACATACCACAACAGGTACTCATTTGAGGCTGAGGCGACTGAGGGGAGGCCTAGGACCGGATCAGAAAATCGTCACCGGTGTTGGCCGTGAGTGGGAATCGAACTCGGATTGCTGGTTTCCACTGCTACACTACCACTCCCCCACATAGACACCAATAACCAGGCGCACTTTGAGGCCACGTGAAGTGTCGAAGGTTTGCTGGCAGGAGGTCACGGGATAGATACCATGGGTTGGCCGAGATGACCGGTAGATGCACACACAGACACACATACATACGCACGCACACGCACGTGTGTGTGTTCCCCCCATGTCTCTCCACGTCACCTTGATGAGCTCAGGGTGCATGCTGCTCTCCAGACTCTCCGTGAGACTCTCCGGCTTCACCGCGTCCTCATCTGTGGCGGAGAGACGAGGGGGGGGGGGGATGGGAGAATCAGCGCCCGCTCCGCTCGTCCCCCACAAACCCATCCCCCCTCGGCCCCCTCGGCCCCCCCTCTCACCGTGCTCCCCGCCGCCGTCTCCGTTCCTGCGCTCCCCCCCGGCGGCGCCGATGCCGGCACCGGTGCCGGCGAGGGCGAGGACGCGGGTGATGGCGGCGCTCCACTCGTCGCAGTCGGCGTCGCTCTCGGCGGCGAGGACATAGCCGGCGCGGTGGTGCTGCATCCTCAGCTCAAACGCGAAGCGCCGCACCTTGGGGGTCTGCTCGCGCGCGCCGGACACAGAGTCGCAGAGCCGTCTACGCGCCGTCGGTGGGTGAAGAGTGGCGGCGCTGGCGAGTACCGGCGAAGACCGGACACGGCGGTGTGCGGGGTTGGCCGGCAAACCGCACCATTGTCATCGCGTGGCAAAGATCCGTGTTGGCCACGAGCGGGAATCGAACTCGGGGGTCTGGTGCGCGCTGCGCCGTTGCGAACCTGGCAAAACCTGAGTTCGGCTCCCGCTCACGATCCACGCCAGTGACGGCGAATATATGAACCGGTCCTGGGGCTCCCCTATGTCGACTTAAAATGAGTACCTGGGGCGAAGCGTATATATACAACATAAGCACTGGGGAGACAAAGGCGGCCAGGCGTCGGGTCTAGCGCCCCCACCCGCTCTTGTACCGTGCCGGCCTTCATAAGATGCTGACAGCACTTGCCTCTACAGTCTATTAAGGCTAAATGGGAGATGTTTGTCTTTGTGTATCAGCTTGTGTAACACGTGTCACGGGGTTCTGTGTGTTAGTGCGTGACATGTAATAAGGTTCTTTGTGTCAGTGGTGTCTATGTCAGCATGTCAGTGTCTATGTCAGTGTGACACACGTGTCTGCGTTCTGTGTGTCAGTCTGTGTCAGTGTATGTGGTGCTGGCCAATCACCCCCTCGTGAACTGTGCCAGCCTTCATAGGTGCGACTCGCCAACAGAACTTGACAGTCCTGCTAACACTATAATGGCGGATCTTCGTCTCTCTGTGTGTGCGTGTGAGTGAGTGGGGCGTACAAGGACCTGCACGACCCCGACGCAGGAGTCCAGGAAGATGGAGCCCTTGGGCTCCTTGCTGAGCTTCTCGTCCTTGTAGAAGTTGAGGATGAACGATCCGTCGGGCAGCTGGGTAAGCGAGAAGTAGCGGCGCTTGAAGGACTGTGGAGGAGTCAGGATGCAACAAAGGAGAGGGCACGAGGAGATCATGGTCACGCTGTGCGACCCATAGACTCTCACAGAGATCCATAAACTCACACAAAGACAAATAGATTCACGCAAAGACCCATAGTCACAGAGAGATCCATAAACTCACACAAAGACCAATAGACTCACGCAGAGACCCATAAACTCCCCTCTGTTCCTCTCCCCGTCTCGTATTCCCATCGGTGCCCCTCTGTTCCCCTCCCCATGATCCGCTCCATTCCTCTCTCCGTGTCTCATGTTCCCCTCCCCGTGTTTTCCAGCGGAAGCCTCGTGTGTGCGCGCTCTCCTGGCGGAGCCACAGGAAGTGTCGCCACTCCGCGGGGACCCGGCTCACAATGGCCTCCTCCTCCCCATCTCGGCGGGACGCGGGACGCCAGCGGTTCCGCTCCGGCGGAAAAATCAAAACAAAAAACAAACGGCGACGCTCGCCCTCCACGCAACCTCCGCCACCCTCCCACTCAACTCAGCCGCGCTCACCGGCCAGGGTGAAGGTTCACCTCCCGGCCAGTGGCACGGAGCCACTGGCCGGCACCCACCAGGGCACCGTCTTCGTGGCTACAGCTGCTTTAACCCCCGCTCACAGACTCCACCAGGCGTGTTGAGGACTGTGACGTCTCAACCACCGCCAACACCACCACCACCGTGTTCAACCACCACCGCTGCACACTCGCTCACATCATCACTCACCCACTCTGACCCATTCACCCAGCACACTGCAGGTCACCTCGCTGCTCCGTCCCTCTCGCTGCTCCGCTATCCCGGATGCTCGGCGGCTGCGTGAACCAGAGTCGGGAACCCACAATGCCTGGCGCACCGCCACGGTCACCCCGTGTGGGCACGAGGACCACCACCCACCGCCACCGCCACCGGACGGGGCACGAGGGCCACCGCCATCGTGACCGCACAGGGCACGAGGGCCACTTACCCGCATGCTGACGCTGTTGACGTTGCCCTTGTAGAGCCAGCCCTGCTTCATGATGCCGCCCTTGAGTGACGCCAGCGACGCCGTGTCCTGCGGGGGGGTCACGGGAGTCAGAAAGCTCAGGGCGGAGGGGGTGCAGGTTAAATCGAGGGAAGGTGTTCGAGCGCAAGGATCGACGGCCGGGGCCGGTCACGTTCAGGAGGTTAGGCAGAGGTCGAGTGCGGGCTGTCCATCGAACAAAGACGGTGGTCACCCTTCATCACCCGGCGCTTGCAGATGCGCTTCTGCAGCCATCTGGAACGCTCTTCCTTCCGATATTAGGAAGCCACCGGGAGCTGTACACTTTTTAACACTGCACCTCCGATGAGTACGGTTGGCTACGTACAGTGCAAAAGAAGTTCAACATACGAAAACTCCATAATAGAGGTTTGCTTTGGGTTACATCGCGTAAATATATAAATGTGTCGTTAAAACCCGACACCACCCTCCACAGCCAACTAGTAAGGGTCGACACGTAAACAAAACGTGGCCAATTCGTCACTAGTACAGCACACTGGTTTGTTGGAGAGCCAAGCCACAACATTTACAATCTGAGTACGACGTTTCACCAGTAATTACAACTGGCTTCATCAGGCGACAGACAGATTTGTGGAGAAGTCCACCTGTTTCTTTCTTTATATAGAGGCGTAGATGTGGTGACCACACTTCTGCGCTCTTCCACAAAGTGGGGGGGGGGGGGATTACGGAGTCAACGTACATTATGCATGCGCATTATGCGAGCTCTTCTATTATGGATTATATTGGTCATAAAAGCCCACGTGTTAAACATACGTACATAATGCCCATAGACTAACACTACCCATAGACTCTGATTCGCACAGTTGGCTACGTATGGTGCAAAAGAATTTCAACAGCCGGGCACATACATACAGGGGTCAAGTGCAACGGTCAAGTGCAGAAGTGCGCCGGTCTCTGTCGGGTACTGCAATGCAACCCTCGTCTCTGCCCCCCTTCACTGCCCTCGGCTGTCCCTCACCTCTTCCTTGTCCACGTCCTCGTCGATGTCGAACGTGTGGGTGGGCAGCTTCTCCAGCCATGCCGCATTCCTGCCACGGCGCAAAACACGCAGAGGGGCGCGAGGATGGGCAGGACGGGGATGATGATGGTATGTGCAATAATGATGATCATGAGAGGTGCAATGATGATGATGAGAGGAGCGATGATGATCATGAGACATGCAATGATGATAGGTGTGATGATGACGAGATAAGCGACGATGATGATGATGAGAGGTGCGATGATGATGAGAGGTGTGATGTTGAGAAGTTTGATGATGAGGTGCGATGATGATAAAGAGGATGATGATGACCATAACAATGGTGATGATGACGGAGATGAAGACATCGGCGATGATGCGATAGTGAAACGTGGACGTCTTTGTCTTTGTACACGTATATGTTTATGTGCTCGCCAACAGCACTTGCCCCAACGGTCCGTTAAAGGTTATACGGGGGATCGTTGCATTTATCGTTGATGTGTGCCTGGGTATTTTGTGTTATCCAACACTCCACCTCCTCCACTCCCTATGAGTGATGGGGCAGTTGTGGAGAGACTGGAGAAGTTTCCATACCTGGGCAGGGTGCTTATGACCAGCTACGGTTGGTTATAACCGTAGCTGGCCACTCGAATCAGTCGAGTGGCATTATCTTTTTATTGGCTGCGTAACGCTGTGTGGAAGCTACCTGGTCTGTTGCTCTATACAAAGCTTCAGGTCTTCTCGGCCACAGTTATGCCCTCCCTTTTCTACGCTTGTGAAACGTGGATCGCTCTGAGAGAAACATCTGGGACGGTTTGAAACATGCAGACTGGCCTGCCTACGATCCATCCTGGGTTTAACCTGATTTCGACACAGTCCCATCAGTGAGCTCCTCTGGCAGGCAACGCTGTGTTGGCTGAGGTACGGAGCCCGCATACCCAGCCAACGCATGCCCAATGCCCAAGCTGAGGGGGCTAAACGGGCGTGGCACAGGATGTAAATTAGATGGACTGATGTGGTACGGAAGGATAAGGAGCTGAGTGGACTTGCCAATGACTGGTACCAGCGGTGTTAATATCGGCCTCTGTGTAGGCGCCTCGTGAAAGACGTTACTGGGAATAATACAGTATGCGAAATGATACAGTACGCAGAATGATATACAGGGAATGATCGGGTAAGCAGAATGATCATGTTAGCAGAATGATACAGTACGCGAAATGATACAGTACACAGAATGATATACAGGGAAAGATCGGGTAAGCAGAATGATACAGTACGCGGTGGCGTACTCTCATCTCGGTTCCTTTGTCCCGCCATCTCAGTGCGTGTGCGTTGGACACCGTATCTTGCCAAGCTTGCCAAACTTTACCGTGATTAGATTATTCTTATGTGGAAATTGTTTTCGCTTCTCGAGTTTCATCACCTAGCACACCACTTTTCATGACCGCATCCACCATGCTAAATGATGACTGACTACACACGTGTGTACATGTGTGTACGTGTGTGTATGAGGGGCGGATGTGTAGCGGTAAGCGCGCCACGCTACGAACCCGGCGACCCAAGTTCAATTCCCACTCACGGCCACCGTCAGTGACGATTTTCTGAACCAGTTCTGGGCCTCCCCTAGGTCGATTCAGCCTGAAATGAGTACCTGGTGCGGTGTGTAAATGTCATTACTGAGCAGACAAAGGCAGTCGGGTGTGGTGCTGGCCATCCGCCCCCTCATGTACCGTGCTGGCCTTCACAGATGCTCGCTAACAGCACTTGGTCCAACAGTCTGTTAAGGCTATATGGGGGATATGTCTTTGTTTTGTGTGTACTTGTGTGTGTATATGTGTGTGTACGTGTGTGTGTGTGTGTACGTGTGTGTGTACGTGTGTGTGTGTGTACGTATGTGTGCACGTGTGTACAGTGAGGGAAAAAAGTATTTGATCCCCTGCTGATTTTGTACGTTTGCCCACTTACAAAGAAACGATCAGTCTATAATTTTAATGGTAGGTTTATTTGAACAGTGAGAGACGGAATAACAACAAAAAAATCCAGAAAAACGCATGTCAAAAATGTTATAAATTGATTTGCATTTTAATGAGGGAAAAAAGTATTTGACCCCCTCTCAATCAGAAAGATTTCTGGCTCGCAGGTGTCTTTTATACAGGTAACGAGTTGAGATTAGGAGCACACTCTTAAAGGGAGTGCTCCTAATCTCAGCTTGTTACCTGTATAAAGGACACCTGTCCACAGAAGCAATCAATCAATCAGATATCAAACTTTCCACCATGGCCAAGACCAAAGAGCTCTCCAAGGATGTCAGGGACAAGATTGTAGACCTACACAAGGCTGGAATGGGCTACAAGGCCATTGCCAAGCAGCTTGGTGAGAAGGTGACAACAGTTGGTGCGATTATTCGCAAATGGAAGAAACATAAAAGAACTGTCAATCTCGCTCGGCCTGGGGCTCCATGCAAGATCTCACCTCGTGGAGTTGCAATGATCATGAGAACGGTGAGGAATCAGCCCAGAACTACACGGGAGGATCTTGTCAATGATCTCAAGGCAGCTGGGACCATAGTCACCAACAAAACAATTGGTAACACACTACGCCGTGAAGGACTGAAATCCTGCAGCGCCCGCAAGGTCCCCTTGCTCAAAAAAGCACATACACATGCCCGTCTGAAGTTTGCCAATGAACATCTGAATGATTCAGAGGACAGCTGGGTGAAAGTGTTGTGGTCAGATGAGACCAAAATGGAGCTCTTCGGCATCAACTCAACTCGCCGTGTTTGGAGGAGGAGGAATGCTGCCTATGACCCCAAGAACACCATCCCCACCGTCAAACATGGAGGTGAAAACATTATGCTTTGGGGGTGTTTTTCTGCTAAGGGGACAGGACAACTTCACCGAATCAAAGGGACGATGGACGGGGCCATGTACCGTCAAATCTTGGGTGAGAACCTCCTTCCCTCAGCCAGGGCATTGAAAATGGGTCGTGGATGGGTATTCCAGCATGACAATGACCCAAAACACACGGCCAAGGCAACAAAGGAGTGGCTCAAGAAGAAGCACATTAAGGTCCTGGAGTGGCCTAGCCTGTCTCCAGACCTTAATCCCATAGAAAATCTATGGAGGGAGCTGACGGTTCGAGTTGCCAAACGTCAGCCTCGAAACCTTCATGACTTGGAGAAGATCTGCAAAGAGGAGTGGGACAAAATCCCTCCTGAGATGTGTGCAAACCTGGTGGCCAACTACAAGAAACGTCTGACCTCTGTGATTGCCAAAAAGGGTTTTGCCACCAAGTACTGTCATGTTTTGCAGAGGGGTCAAATACTTATTTCCCTCATTAAAATGCAAATCAATTTATAACATTTTTGACATGCGTTTTTCTGGATTTTGTTGTTGTTATTCTGTCTCTCACTGTTCACATAAACCTACCATTAAAATGATAGACTGATCATTTCTTTGTCAGTGGGCAAACGTACAAAATCAGCAGGGGATCAAATATTTTTTTCCCTCACTGTATGTGTACTCACTGGGGTAGCTGCCGGTAGTCCCCCGTGTACTGCTGGTAGCGGTAGTCCAGCACATTCCAGCTTGTTGTGTATGACTTTATGCACTATCAGACATACACACACGCACACCCCTCCGATTAAGTACGGTTGGCTATGTACAATGCGAAAGAAGTTCAACGTACGTACGCGCAGGTACACACAGACCCACACACACACAGAGCTCAACACATGCAAAGGTACCGATCGCCATTGCCACCGCTGCCGTGCCCACCTCGGTGACGAGGAGGCTGCGCGCCTCCTGCGCTGCTTCGGGCGGAACGGACGGCACGACGGTGCGACGCTGCCTGGGCTGGCGAGACACCTACACAGGGGGAGAGGAGCTGGTGGGTTAGTTGTGGGAGAGTGGCGAGTGGGTGGCGAGGTTGTGGGCGAGTGAGTGGCGAGTGAGCGGTGAGCGAGCAGTGAGTACCGTGACGTCGTCGTGAGGGAAGAGGAGAAGGTCACGGAGTGGGTCGCTGTGAATCTGCGTGCGGCGCTGCTGGATGACGCTCTCATAGTCCAGGGGCTCCACCATGCGGGGACGCACCTACACCACAACCACCGTCATGACCACCACCACAACCAATACTAAGTGATGGTGACATCACCACGGCGCCTGTGCCAGGCCAGGTGCACTTTGAAGCCACATGAAGTGTCGAAACCTCGCTAACAGGTCTCTGGACAGACTCAGGTAAATGGTTTGGCCGACTGAGATGAACGGCCGATGCACCAGCTACACCCCCCCGCTTTGCTAAGTTGCTGCATTTTAGCCGCCCAACGCTCTGATTGTTGTTGTGACCATCGCTCCTCTGCTCTCCGTTGTTGCTGGAGAGCGACTGCCTCCAACGGCCGAGTAGCGTCCTTCACGAGCCTCGACCATAGAGGCCGACCTTGACACCGCTGTTACCAGTCGTCGGCAAGTCTACTGAGCTCCACATCCTCCTGTACCACATCACTCCATCTCTTCTCCAGCCATATCGTGCACGTTTAGCCCCCTCTATGCAGCCAAACAGAAGCTGATTGGGCATGCGGTGGCTGGGCATGCGGGCTACATGAACCAGCCAATGCAGCCTTGCCTGCAGGAGGAGGTCACTCATCGGAATGTGTCGAGATCTTTCAAGAATTTGTCAGCTCCTCACACAATCCAGCCTGCAGGTTAAATCCAGGATAGATCGTAGGCAGGCCATTCTGAATGTTTCTAATCAGCGCAGATGTTCCATTAGAGAGGTCCACGTTTCACAAGCATAGAGAAGGGGGGGCATGACTATGGCCGAGAAGACCCAAAGCTTCGTGCGGAGCAACAGACCTGGTTGCTTACAGACACCATTGCGCAGCCGATGAAAAGATAATGCCGTTCGACTGATTCGGAGTGAGACCTCTGCTGTCAACCGGAGCTGGTCATAAGCACACTGCCCAGGTATGGGAAACTCTCCACTCTCTCCACAACTGCTCCATCACCAAAGGGGAGCTGAGGAGATGGAATGTTTGGTGGCACACAATACCCAGGCAGGTGCTTAGTTTTGGTGGGGCTGATCGTAAGATTCCACCTCTCAGTGGCATACTCCAGGTTCACCAGCAGCACCTCCAACTGCTCCTCTGAGTGAGCAGCAATCACCAGAAAATCAGCATACATAACATGGTTGACCAATAGGGAGCCATCCCTCGACATCACCCGGGCATCGATCAGCCTCGCGTTGAACCTGTACCAGATGGAATTCTTCCGGTACAGCCATAGAAAACTTCTCGAACTACGTGGTCAAAAAATTATGTTAAATAATGTGGGAACTGGAGGACATCCCTGTCGCACCCCAAGGTGAACAGGGAATAGCTGTGACTCCTGGCCACATAGCTTACCCGGGCCTGCCCACCATCATAAAGGTCCTTAATGATCATGAGCAGAGAATCAGCAACCCCAAAAGCACGAAGAACAACGCAGAGCCCAGACCTACTGATGGTATCATAGGCCTTGACCAGGTTAATTAAGCAGAGATTATAGGTCTTATATTAAATCCCTATACCTCTGCTGTAGCAGACGGAGAGAGAATATGGCATCCGTTCAGGACCGCCCTGGTCTGAAACCACACTGGGGCTGCGCAAGCCTCTCTCCAGCGTGCCTGACAAGGCAATGCTGAATAATCCTTGCCAGGCCCTTTCCCAGTACACTGAGAAGAGAGATGCCCCTATAGTTGTGACAATATGTGCGGTCCCCCCTCTTAATGAGGGGAACCACCAGGGCTTCCTTCCAATCCTGCAGAACCCATCCTTTGGTCAAGACAGTTGTGATGATGTCATGTAGGGAAGTCTGCACACACATGTCACCATCCCTCAGCATTTCGCTTGGGAGATCGTCTTTGCCCGGCGCTTTTCCTGGTCTCAGACTTAGGATCGCCCCTCACACTTCCTCCACAGAAGGTTTGGCTACTTCTGCCAATATCTGTTACACCACAGCCGTAGCAGGGTCGTCCCCACCTTGCCCCATGATGTTGTCTGGGCTGAGGAAATTCCCATCCCCGAAGAACTCACAAAATTATCTGCAAACCTGCAGACCTGTTCTTGACGGTCCGAGATCGGGTTACCGTTCTTTTCCCTAAGGATGGTGATAGGTGAGGCACTGCAACTTTTCTGGAATTAAATAGTGATTTGTGATTGTGGCCTACTGAGGCAGATTCCACCTCCTCAGCAACCCGCCCACACCACTCATCCATGCCGCACAGCCCTCCGAATCTTTGAGCGAAGGCTGCGGTAAGCCTCCTCATTCTGTAGATGACGGGAGTGGGCCTATCTTTTGCTTTCAACCAGCCAGAACACCTTCTCCTTCAGCGAGGGTATCTGGGGAAGTCTGGACCATATATCCAAAGCAGCCATTGCAAGTGCCATGAGCTACAGTCCTGAACCTCGCCCATTTCCCCTCAGCATCAGGAGGAGGGGGGCACGATGCCAACCCCAGCTGCAAGCGATGTTGAAATGTCTGCCTGCAACTATCCTCAGCAAGATGAGACCTGGCCACTGTGGGATTGAATGAGGTCCTAGATGGACACCCACCACTGGAGTGGAAGAATGGCAGGCGCATCTTACAGATGACCAGTCAATGGTGAGTGGGCAGATCAGCTCCACGGTAAGTCCTGGTGTCAAGGACATGGGCCCGCGTCTGCTGGTCCGTAATTATATAGTTCAGCAGATGTTCTTGCTTGGACCAGGCGTGCATCCATGATGTTGTGTGGATGCACCGATACCGGAACAGCGTGTTCATAATTTCAAGCCCATGGGATGCACAAAAGTCTAGCAGCCTCCTTCCATTATTATTGGGCTGATCTGGCCCGTGCCTTTCGATCACTCCTACCCAGGTGTCAGCATCATGACCCACTCAGGATTTAAAGTCACCCAACAGGATGACTCTATCCGGAGGGGCCATTTCAGCTAGCACCTGGGACAGGAGGTTATAGAAGGCGTTGTACTCATCAGCCTTGTCTGCATCCCTCCACTGGTGTCCATCTTCGGGAGGGAAGTAAGTAACCACCACCACCATTCCTCACTTCTTGTTGATAGGGAGCTCACAGTAGCCTGGGACTTACAGCTTCCCACACCTCACCGTCACGTTCCACACCCCCTTCATTATTTTGTTAAATAGTGCCACACCACCACCACAACCATCACCCACCATCACAACCACCACCGTCACAACCACCACCGTCACAACCACCACCGTCACAACCACCACCGTCATAACCACCACCGTCACAACCACCACCGCCACAAACACCACCGTCACAACCACCACCACCACCACTACCACAACCACCACCACAGCCACAGTCACCACCACCACGGTTACAACCACCACCATCACCACCACCATTTCGACCACCACCACAACGTACATCATTACCACCACTATCACTACCACCAGGGCTGGCTGTACTCACGAGCATTGAGGCCCCGGTACCCATCTCCCATTTACCGCCGTGCAGAGCCAAATGTGGAAATTCCACATTTCTATCATGAGAGATGAGTCCATCCATTGAACAGCCAGAGTTGGACTTCGCCACAAAGCGCTACTAATTATCTCGAGTCCGGCGGTAGGGAAGATGTTTGTTTGGCTGAGTCAACCTCTTCCCAACCTCAATGTGAAGCCACGAAATTCCGATTGCCGTTCGCGCTACCTCTGAGCTTCCTGGTTGGATACCGACATCAACATCACTGCCATCGCCACGACATCACCTGAGACACCGTCACCAGGACGTTCTCAGCATGATGCCAGCCACCCATCCCCCTCGTGTGCCATGTCGGCCTTCATAGGTGCTGCTATTCGCTAACAGCACTTGCCTAAACATCCTCTGAAGGCTACACGGGGGACATTTCTATTTGTGCATGTTTATTGTAGGGGGCGGATGGGCGTTGCCCCGTTCTGTTTGAAAACGAGCAACCCCCCCAACCCCCGGGAGCTACTGTGCTACAACAACCACAACACACCACAACACAACCACAACACACCACAACTACAATACAACCACAGTTCCCCACAATAACCATACACCCTTTGTGTGTGCCTGCGTGTGCGCCATGCTGGCCTTCATAGGTGCTTTCTGTACTCTATTCGGTAAAGTCACGTAGGTTAAAAATAAAATAACAAAAATCACGACGTTTCGGCCACAACACAAGTGGCCTTCATCAGGTGAAGGGACCGTGCTGTCATGAGGACAGCGTTGGAGTGAAAACAGCCAAGCCCAGGTCGAGTCCTTTAAGCTGTGTGGGAGGAAGCAAAACGCTTGACCAAGGAATTAGCATAAAAATGAGCACGATGTACGTAGGAGGTGCATGGGCCATGATGGACCAGGAGCGGGTGGGGACCATGACGGACCAGCAGCGGGGGGGGGGGAGAGCAGAGTGAGTGAGTAGAGTGAGTGAGTGAGTGGAGTGAGTGAGTGAGTGGAGTGAGTGAGTGGAGTGAGTGGAGTGAGTGAGTGGAGTGAGTGAGTGAGTGGAGTGAGTGAGTGAGTGGAGTGAGTGGAGTGAGTGAGTGAGTGGAGTGAGTGAGTGAGTGGCGTGAGTGAGTGGAGCGAGTGGAGTCAGTGAGTGGAGTGAGTGAGTGGAGTGAGTGGAGTGCTTTCTAACAGAACTTTCGCCCAACAGTCTGTGATGGCAATAAGGGGGACCTTGTCTTTGTGTCTATGTGTGTGAGGGGTATGTCTGCGAGTGTCTGTGTGAGTGTAGGCATGTATAAGAGTGTGTCTGTGTGTAGGGTTGTGTGTGTGCACCTGTGTGTGTAGCTGTTACCGCAGTGCACTGCGAACCTGGTGACCTGAGTTCGATTCCCGCTTACGATCAATAACAGTGGCAATCGAATATTTTATCCAGTTCTGAGCCTCCGTGAGGTCGACTCAGCCTCAAATGATTAGCTGGTGCGATGTGTAAACATCGCCACTAGGGAGACAAAGGTGGCCAGGCGTGTGCCGTGCCAGCCTTCATAGGTGCTCGCTACCAGAACTGCCCCAACAGTTTGAGGAACGGTTGGCTACGTACGGTGCGAAATAAGTTCAACATGGATAC